TTCATATGCCCTTTTCCTTCGCCCACGTGAAGATGGCCGCGGAGTCGGCGGTTCAGTCTACTGGGTGGTGGAGATGGCGGAGAAAGTCGCCCTGCTTGGCGGGGTGGTAACCGCACTACTCGTCTGGGGTACAGGGCAATGGGAACGAGGAATCAGATGGCCTCGGCGCTGGCTCGCTGTCTCCAATCGTGGCCTGCGCGTAATGAACACCAAGATCATCATCATTCGCGGTCCCTTCTGGCAAGAACTACTGTCCTACATCTCATTCCTGTTCCCATTCTCCGCCCCGTTCTTACCCTCTCCCAATGGAAACTACCATTTCGTGGAGCAGAGCCCCTCCGATAAACGCGCTGGTGGTAGTCGGCAGCACTATCAACAGTACTACAACGGCACCGACACCGAGTCCGGCCTGGTAGAAGAAGACCTCAGTCCGGGAGGCGACTACATCCGTCTCCTCCTGCTACCCAAGTCCTTCTCCCCAGAATTCCGCGAAAACTGGGACGATTACCGCACAGACTTCTGGGAAAAGGAAAACGAGCGTCGCGCCCAGCTCCGCCTGAAACTACGCGAGCGCGAGCACCACCTTGCCCAAACAGAAGGAGGCTGGCTCAACAGACTCGGGTTCGGCTGGCGCGCTTCCCAGCGCCGACGTCTCGTTGCAGGAACCCTGCACCGCCCAATCGAGCCGGAATTCAAACACCGTCTAGGTCACGGCCATCACCCCTCCATCACGAAACTCAACCAGGAGCAACGCGGCCCCTCCTCCCGCCGCAATACCCGCTCCGAGTCCCATTCCCGCACTTCATCCCGTAGCACCACTCCCGTCGATGCAAGCTTCGAAGACCGTCCCCCTTCTCGCTCTTCTACTTCCAGTCGACCCCGTCGCGGAAGCACGGCCTCTGGACAGGACGCGAGCCCACAGCAGCGGAAACGGAAGGGCTCAACGCTTCGGAGGGGTCTGTCGCCTCTCACACAGGCGCAGATTCGGGAGGGTGTGCGTACGCCGTCGTTCTCGTCTGATGACTCTGTGTTGCCTATGGCTATGATTGAGAAAGATAAAGAGGAGGCTATACCGAATTCTGTTCCGGCATTGTAATACTGCACTGGCACCTTAGCACGAAATGTTATTCATGCTTATGCTCTTCATATCTCTATACCCTGTTTTTTGGTCTCTTGTCATGTTTATCAGGTAATTGTTGCTCAGAGCGCTGTCTTTGAAAACTTACATTAGCTATGTATGCATATCCCTTAGAGCGCGGTGTCGTTAGTTCTATAGATAAGCCCGAGTACCTCACCTATGTATGCTGGTGTGTTGGATCTGATTCCTATGGAAAACTCCTATTTTACTGCATCATTTCAGTGTCAGATAAACGAATCACTGCTACTCTGATCACATGGCATGGCATGGCATTACAATTGCAGGTGAGCCAAGCGTAGGACTGCTATTCAGGTCTTGATATAAGTCAAGGATCGAGTATTCATTCATATTTCTCGTATTGAGTTCACTAATATTCCCTCACAAACCCACTCCATGCGCCAAACACAAAAAAACAACATGAGATGATATCAATCCCAATGCAATGACAAGAAAGCATGCTCGTAAAACTGGACGTAGACAAGTCCAGCATTCTCTCCTCTAGTTATTTTCCACATGGAGGAGAAAGGTATAGACAGTGCCACATAGCCCAGATAAATTAGACCCGGTACACATCCTCTTCGTCCTCGAGGTACATCAGGATATTATCGTTGGTCATGACTCGCAAGGCTTGGATAGCCTCGGAGCGGGAGAAGACCTGCGAAGCGCCAAGCTGGGGCGATTCCCGGATAGCAGTATTAACAGCATTGATCAAGTCATCAATCTTGCATGTATCGCTGTCCTTGAACACAGTCTTGCCCATGAGTGGGCCCAGAGTCTGTCGGAAGACTGCCATGCGGGCAGGAGTGATAGGGACGTCTGTGGAAGTGGACTGCGAATCCGTCTGAGACTCGATGAGCTGCGAGGCTGGCTGTGAGGATGCCATTGACATCTGAGAGTCGGTTTGTGTTTGAGTGCGGGCCGTCTGGCTCGAACGCAAGCGTTGAGCGCGAGGGCTGGCTGTGTATAGGCTGTCTGGGTCTTCGTCCTCGTCGGGGACTGGAACACTAGACTGCGTTGCGGTACTGCGGGTGCGTGCTGTGCCTGTGCGTCTACCTGGAGTGGCGGTTGATGTGTTGCGGGCGGTGGTGTCATCATCAGAGTTGTCGTCAAGTTCGGCATCGCTGTCATCATCGGAGGAATCATCGAAGGTGGTCACCTTTCGTCTCTTCCGGCGCTCGTCTTCGACCACTTCCTTGAACATGGCGAAGCGCAGGATCGCCTCGGCATGTTTGGCATCCTTCTCGTCTACTCGGTTAGACAGGCGGGCCTTGGCATGTGCAGTGGACAGACGAATCAGCGTCTCCAGGGTACGGGGTGTGATCGGTGATGTGCGACGCTTGTTGCCGGTGAGTTCATCGTTTCGCAGAGCAGAGTATGTGGCGATGACGTGGTCAGCAGCACCCTTGGTCAAGACGGGCATGATTCGCTTCTTGGCGTATTGGATGTACTTCTTGATGAAGGGAATACTAATGATTTCCACATTCTTGCCACGGCGGCGGCCAGCATTGGCAGCGTCAACCATACCACCGTGGAGCATGACATTGAACTTCTCGAAAACCTCACTTGGCGCGTTTGCATCTTGGCGGTCTTCACCACCCACGCCCAATGTTTGGTTGAGCTGTTCCCGAACGGGCGCACCCTCCTCGGTGCCAGGCTGGCGGTAACGGTGCATGCGTAGAACGTGCTCTGAGATTATTCGGTCGTGCGCATCCTCAATATCATCAGTCACGACGAATAGCAAATCGAAACGAGAAAGCAAGGAGTCAGGAAGAGCAATGTTCTTATGCGGGTCCTTGTGGGGGTCATATTGGCCATAAATTGGGTTGGCCGCTGCAAGAACACTGCAGCGAGCGTTCAAGCTTGTGTGGATACCAGCCTTTGCGATTGTGACAGTCTGCTGTTCCATGACTTCGTGAATGGCAACACGATCGACATCACTCATCTTGTCAAATTCATCAATACACACCACACCACGGTCACCGAGGACCATAGCACCAGCCTCCAATCGACGTTCGCCGGTTTCCTTGTCGGATGTAACGGCAGCAGTCAAACCAACACCGGAAGAACCACGACCGGTAGTAGCAATTGCCAGTGGCGCCGTGTTCAAAACAAAACGAAGAAGCTGGGACTTCGCAGTCGAGGGGTCACCAACCATAAGGATGTTGATATCACCACGAAGATGGGTTCCGTTATCCAAGTTCTTCTCCATTCCACCAAGAAGCATAAGAAGGATGGCTTTCTTGATGTAGTCATGACCGTGGATACTGGGAGCCAGAGACTTGGACAACAAGTCAAATACGTTCCTCTTCTTGGCGATCTGGTTGATGTTTCGAATATCGGTATCTGTAAGCACGGCCTCTGCAATACCTCCGCCGCTCTTCGAAGACAACTGAATAATGTTGTTCGCCATGACCACGGTGCGGAACGTCGATGAGCCACTACCACCATTGCCGAGGGTACGATAGATACCGACCAACTGGATTCTGTCACCAGGTTTGGCAGTGTCGACGAGGTCGTCATCCAAAAGGACATCGACACTTCGGGGCAATTGTCCTGCCGGGGCACGTTCGGGCATTTCTTGGATGGAAATCGACTGGTGATCGAGATATGTTGAGTAACCGTACTCGGTGATAAGCTAGAAAATCTATCATTAGTCTCAAAAAGGGTAATAATTGTTGGGATATACTCACAGGGTTCTTTTCGTCGTCCTCTTGAGGGTAAACATTCAGACTGGTTGCCCCACTAGCACCCATTGTTTGATCCCGATATTTTCTGGCAACAAACCGATCCTTCCTCTCGACATAGTGGACACTCTGGACGACCTTGGGGCGAACCAGTGAGCATTTTGTCACAATTCCCTCGAGCGAGACCATGTGGTTCAATTGTTCTGAGCCCAGTGTGCGGGGGTTGCAAGAGAATTCTCCAAATGCGCCAACATAGGCGCAGTAGTAGTTCTATCGATATCGTTAGACATTCAAAGCCTGCTAAGAATCGTCCAAAAACTAATACACACCGCTTCATCTGAAGTTTCCCTCAGTGGTCGACCGGGTAGGGTTTTGACAACCGCCTTCAAAGCAGCGTCAAAAGCTTGTGAATAATCGAATGGCGAAGAGAGCAGCCTACAGCCATAGCCATTAGTCCGTGGATCCAATTGCACTTGTTATAGAGGTGTAGTTTACCCATCGGCAAGCTCCCGGTTGTGTGCTCTGATTTCATCGATGCTGACCTGTCCAAAATTATCAGCACCACCTCCTGGCAGGGAATTTCGTAGGTCGACGTACTGTCAATCGTCGCGCACCCTTATTCAGCATAACCACAATATCCGCTCGATAACTGTTCCAGTCTGTTAGATGTATATTATATAACGTCAAGCTTCGAGTTCGACGAACCTGCGTGCCCGTGCATCATCTGGAAAAAAAGGACTTGATTAGTTCAAGGGAGCACAACACATAACTCAATGGACTTACTAGGGTCAAGAAATTCAGTTGCAGCACGCACGCGATCTTGCGCGGCCTCATCACGTAGTTGAAACCCGTCCATGATGTGTGATGCAATATAGTGTTGGTGGTAAGGAGGGAGTCGAGGGGGGCCGATTGGGATTTCCCGATTTGCTAAAGTGGAACGCGTGAAGTTGCACGCGAGGAAGGCGCGTCCCACGGGTACCACGTGCCATGATGACTCAGCGAATAATTTTTCAAAAAGCTATATAAACCCCCATCCCCCCGATCCTTTTTTTCTTCTTCAAGCGACTCTACGTGCGTTCTCCTCCCCCTAACAGTTGGAAAACCTTCCGGGTTTTCCATACTGGACTTTGTCATTTTGAACTTTTTCACTGACTTTTCTTCCTCTACAGTTCAAAGAATCACTTTAGAGTAGACGTCCCCTTTCTAAACTCTTTAAAAGAGCCACAGAATCTCCACCCTTGCTGATGACTACATGTCCTCGATGCCCTAAAGTGAAGCCTTTTTACTCCCGCCTCGACTGTCACGCGTGCTGTCCGCAGTGTCTGTGTTTCGGTCTAGGGAGTGGTGATGATCTTGACCTGGTCTCGACGTCTGACTTCGGTCGGTCGGTCCTGGTGGGTGTCGAGGAGGTCTGAAAGGTCCTCTTCCATTCTGGTTGATGGTATGGAGCGCTGTGTGGGGTGTTCATATATACTTTTTTTTACCCACAATATGAAATTTTTAATCCAACTTGATACCGATTCATAATTTTTCTCGTACCTTATTCAATAGTCTATATATGGTATGCACTGTTGTTGGGAGTTGGTGTCCCCTGACCCTATTTGACAGGACTGCTAGCTAAATAGTCTGCTCTCCCTCTCCTTCCTTTCCCCTTTAAAAGTTAGCACTTCGAATACAGTTGCATTTGCTCTCTGTCTTCTCCTGGCTTCTTATCGACTGTCCTAGTGTAGCTGTGAAACGATAACGTTGCCCATATGTGTGTTAATGAATGAATGTTCGGCTTAATATGGCATTCTCTGCACTCTGCCCTCGCCGGTTCAACGTACCATGGCAACGACAAAATAATGCTACATGTAGATTCAGGAAGACAAGAAAACTTGACTATCCTTGATGTTACATTTAATATACCAGAACGCCTTTTTGAATTTCTTTTTCCACTCTTGCTTCTAGAACTAGAAAATGGAAGGGGAAAAAAAAGGCCAAACAGTCCGGAGTCCGCACAGACTTGAATATATATAACCAGAGATGTCTAATGAAAGTTGAGAAGATCATTGGGTTTATTGTACAAATCTGGACGTTAAAACAAGGATATATATACAAGCTAAAATTACAGAATCACTATACATACATGGAGCATGCTGCTCAACGGTCGCCACTCGGTTCTTCTCTGGGTGCCGTCCAGGGTCCCCTATACTTTCGTCGCACGGCGTCTCGTTGGGCGTGTGACCGCCCGGGTTTCACATGCAGCCCAGAATCAACCTTGAACTTAAGGTGGGATGGAGTATCCAGCTTCCACTTGCGATTATCCTTATCGAACAGTTGCCGCTCGGGGGTCTGCCTCCTGATGTCGGGATGTTGCAACCTCTTCAAACGTCGCTTGTAGGTCTCAGCGCGCGGGATATCATTGGAACGGAGCGCCTCACGGATGCCCGCATTGTAACGGCTGACCTGGGGCCTCCAACGTGTTGTCACATCATATTGTTCTTCAAACGAGGTCTGTAGGTCAACTCGGTCCTCGCGAGGAAGGATGCTTGCCAAAGAGTCCAAGAATTTATTTTCTTTACTGCGGGGTATGACAGTATAATTCAACTCATCAGCAGAAGGCACAGGGAATTGGTTTCCGCTCAATACGAGAGGCTCCTCAGTCGCTGCCTCAAAGCTCCGTTCACGCATGTCGCCACTAGGGCCAAGAGCACCAGTGCGCGAGGAGAAGAGGTGGACCTGGCGTGGGCGCATCCCGCCCCTTGCTGCCTTGCCGCGAAGGATTGTATCCTGATATTTATCAGGCACGTATGGCATGGCGGCGAGGGTATTGACAGTCCGTGGCGCAATTTTGTGGAGATTCGCCAGATGCTTATTCCCCTCCGTGATACTTGTTTGCCGGAGCCGTTGTAGTGTGCTGGCGAGTTGAACCATGGTGGGGTAATGGGGGTGCATGTAATCGGGCTCGATTTTGCGCCAATGTTTTCGGGCCAACTTTCCCATCATTCTCCGAGATTTGGTGATACCTGAACGACCTTCGAGATGGAGGATTGTCACAGGGGCATTGAGTGGTCTCACGCCATATCCCTTGAGAAACCACGACCAACCAGGGAAACGAGCAATGAACTTTTCCTCAAAGAGTCGAAATGCCTCCACATTGTCGGGATAATTATCAGATGTCGCAAGCATTCGAACGTAGGTTGACCAGTTGAAACCAGTCAATGCAAAGCCTGCCGTCTGAACTTCGGCCACAACTTGATGTATTCTCTCAAACATGCCTCGGCGGGCCAACGACTCCAGATAAATCGAGAGTGGGAAGTCCAGGATGAAGCGTTGGGCAGGAAGGATTTTGGGCTTATCTGCTTGAGTGGTGGGTGTTGAAAGCATCGACGGGAGAGGGGACTCGGCTGGTGCTGGCAGGGTTGATATCGGCGACTGTGAAGACAAGATTTTGTCAAGGTCAAAGGTACCCGCTGTCTTGTTTACACTTGCCATAATACTGTTCCAGCACTCTTCCACTTTCTCGTAGTTCTGGGTTCCTAGATAGGCATTCATAACGGCTTTTATGAAACCAATCGGCAAGGAGTCCAATCCATCGCCGTCCAATGATCCCGTAGTTCGTCTGGATTGCATGTAATGGTTGAAGGTTTCGAGTGCCTTTTCAGCGCCACCTTGGAGTCCGTATGCTTCGATCAGCCGTTGATAGTGCGTGTCATTGAAAGACTGAACAGCAAAGCCCTCTAGCGGTGTAGATAATGGACTGTTGACTGGCGAGGGATTTCCATCGAATTGTGCGATTGATTTAACAAGTGTCCTTTCTGCGTTCTCGAGGACAATATCTTCAACAGGAGTCTGAAGATCTTTTGCGTTTTCCACGTCTCTCTCAATCTGCATTCGCAGGTTCAACAGGCTCGGCTCCATCCCAACTCGACCGAAGCGAGTTTGCATTTCGCGGGAGACAACATGTACCATATCGCGGTTCCGTTGCTTCACATATCCAAGCAAGAGAATGGAAAAATGGTGCTCGGTGGCTTCCAAGTCACGTTCATGCATCTCCTTGAGAGTTTTTTGCGCACGATCCACTTGATTAGCGTAGACATAAGCAAGCATAATAGCCGCGTAAGTCATGGCATCCGGTTTCAAGCCTAGCCGATCCATGCGGTCAAGGACACGCCGGAAGGAAAACTTGGATACCCTGAATGCATATCGCATTAGAAGAAAATTCCACATTCGCAAGGGAGACCCCCCCCACCGCTAAATTCCAGCTGCTTGCGACAAGCTCTTCTGCATGACCCAATTGCCCATTCTTGCAGTACGCCTGAACAGCCGTATCAAGCATTGGCCTCGTGATTCGTACGCGACTCTTCTGCGCCTCTTTGAGTAATTGACGGATGGCTTCGATGTCCCCTCGTTGGGCGAAAATCCCCATCAGTGTGCCAAATGTGAACGAGTCGGGAGGCACATGATTTCCTCGCATTTCCGAGAAGGCAGAAATAGCACCTGGTAGATCCCTGGCAGTAGTGTGCGCCAGAAGCAGTATATTCCAGCAAACTGTGTTCAGCGGAAGACCAAATTCTGTAGGAATTCGATCGAATTGTCGCCGTGTCTCGCGCACATCACCTAGCCGCGCATGGACGACAAGAAGGGGAGTCACCAACCTTTGGGACCTCGGGTTGCCGTGATCTGCAAGGTACCTGTCGAAAAAGTATTGGACATTTCGTACATCCCCCATTTGGGAAAAAGCAACCATTGCGTCACTGTATGAGCGCATGCTTATTTGCTTATGCTGATTAAAGTGCGCCTCTTCCTCCAAGAAGTATGGCAAGCTGTCGGTCATCTTGAATTCCAACAAGCGTTCAATGATGGAACGACGCAGCTGCAAGTATGGCCTTGTTTCCGGAAATTCTTCGCGCAATTGGCGGTAAAAAAGGATGCACTTGACAAATTCCGACCTCTCCTCTGATTTGAGGTAGAACTTTATCGCACGCAAATAGTGCCCCTTGGCTACAAAACCAAAAGGACGGCAATTGCGCAACAGTGAAAGCACGGTTGGTATCGGTGTGAGCTTGACCATGTCATCAGACTTGAAAAATTGTTGAAATATACGGCAAGCAAAGTCTTTGCCCCCATCAGTAAGATACTGGTGAGCGCTTGACATGTGCGTTTTTAAATCAAGGAGATGCCTGGCAAGGGAATAGCTAGGAAAGTGAAAGCGATCAATCCGACATAGCAAAGATTCCAATGGCGGTCGCTTGTTTTCAGGAATACTCAATAGGGTTCCCCAGAATGCGGCAAGTGCGTTCCACTGTCTGTTTTTCACCATGTGCATCAGACACAGCGAGACGATCTCTTGGGCAAATGGCGTGGAAATGGCTCGCCGGCAGATACTGCTCAAATAGGTCGGTTTTCGATCCGGCAACGAAAGAACCCGTGATCTTATAATGTTCTTGAAGTCTGACTCGGTGAGATCTTTGGGTGGGATTTTTATGAACATTAACCATACTAGTGCTCGCTGCCACTCTCCGGATGATCTACTCATATAAGCACAGAGTGCAGACCTGAGTTCTGACGGCCGTCCGGCTGCGACGAACATCACCCAAGCTTTATCAAAATCGCTGCCGTTTTTCCGAAGGAAAGCCTGGAGGGCTGCGCTCGCTGACCCGTCCTTATCGAGAGATTCTGGATGCTGAGGCCCTTGTGCCCGCATGGATGCATCTTTGTGGGCGAATGAAGTCTTTGCGGTAGCTTTTTGAGGACTTGAAATAGAAGCATAAGATCTTGAAAAGCCCAGGTTTGGTCTCCTCCGAAATCCAGTCCTATTCTGGGAGCGAGGCAGACGCGAAGCTACCAAAGTTTGAGCATGCCCAGGATATAAGAATTCGAGCGATGGCCCTATCCAATCACTTGACTCTCTGGTTTCGTGTTGACTGTCAAGAACGGGGGACGGTCGTTGGCCTGACGCCTGCAAAAGCGCGATAAACCACTGAGGAGCATCCGCTCCAGCGCCATTTTGCTTCCAGAAATGACCAGGCAGGCAGTTTCTTTTTCGGATAACACCATTGGAATCTTGAAGAAAACGCCGTCCCGCGTTCTCGAGGCACCCTGTTGCACGTTCGAGCATCACCCTCAATCGTAGTTTCGAGCCGTAGGATGCCGCTATGGTTCCTTGGTATGTATTGTGTTCGGTTCAGAAGCTCTGTCTAGATGATCCTCGTGTCAGAAAACTGTCCTGGATTTGAATATGACAAGTAATTGAGCAAGTTGTCCTTGATGGTGCCATTCGTACCAAGGAAGGAAAACCAGACTCCTCGAATTGTGCACCACAATGTCGCTCACACACAGGTCCCGGACATGAATTGCCAATCAAGGCCAAAGCACCTTGATTTGTACAAAAAGGCAATGATAAATCCGAGGTCCCATGAGCTTGGAGAAAACAACGCGAAAGATTCGGAGGTGCATGAAATTGCCGGGGTTTCACCGCCTTTACTGAGCCCACCACTTCAACCGTGTCCCTCCCATTCTCATCACAAGACCCCGAATAAAGGAACGAGTAAGAAAAATATCATGGAGGTCACTGAGTTTATCTTCAAAGAGAGAGAGGAGGTTCTCCTTGTGGGCGACTACAATGCCTACCGGGCACACACTACCAGAAAACTGCAGAAACTCCGCAAGAAGCTTGGTCAGGCCACAGTCAAAGGCCGCAAGTATACTGCCAAACCAGCTGTGACAGCTGAAAATGTTGGAAGCAATGTGTCGTATGTTGCTTACCCATATTTCCATTCCCAATTACTGCTTTTTGACTAGGTTTCTAACCTACGCTAGATATGTACATCTTTTGCTTCTTAGTTCCGAACGAGCTTGGGCGCAAGCAATGCACATGAAGTCCACACATTCCGCAGATACTTCCACAAAGGGCATCTCTGGTGCTGCTCGGCGCCACATTATTTCACGACTGAACAAGGCCACTGGGTATGCGCAGCATCTAGTCTCGCTGTTTCACGAACAGTCACTTTCTGGGGCAAGTGATATGGATATTCTGGAGACTCGGGCTTATTTGGCAATGATTTCCGGTACACTGTGGCTTGAAAAGCGGAAATGGGAACAGTGTCTCCAAGACTACTCCATCGCAAGAGTGATTTACACGGCTTTGGGCCAAAGGGTCAAGAGAGACGCTTTTCGGGACCTGCTCTCGGGGACTGTTGACCCAAGTCTCCGATATGCCGCTTATCAGATGAAGCTCCCCCGCTCCAAACCTACCTCATCGCTCGCCATTGAATTCTTCCCACTGGACTCAGAGATTCGCGCCGAGGTTGAGAAGATCGACCCCTCTTGTCTCGCCGAAGAAGCAGCCGGTACTCGACGAACTGCAGAGGGAGAGGTGCAGGAGTTGCCCCAATCTGTCACTTGGAGATCGCGAACCGTCCCACTGGACGACGCCTCAATTTCTCAATCGCTAGCTGCTGCTTCGGCCGCGGAGGCTCGCCTAACTACTTGGCTGGCAGACGCAGGAAAGTCAGCTGCCGCTAAGGATAAAGCTGCTGCATATGACAATGTGATTATTGCCAGTCAGGATGCTGTCGATGCTACCAAATCTGCCATTGATGACTTGGCTAGTGAGGGTGTTGATCCCAGTGATAAGAGAATGCAGGCACTGCAGATCACTCGAACTGCAGTTAATTACACTTTGGTTGGCTGGCGAGTCGGCCGTAACCGGGTGTTGTGTGGAGAAAGGGACGGTCTGTCATTTGAGGAACAGCAACCCGCATCGAATGGAAAGGACACTGCGAAGCACACCACAGGCAACGGCAAGAAGTTGAATAAGCTCCGTGAGCGCGTCGTCCTGTATGATTCGACACTCCAGAGCTTGGAATTTATTCTCGAGCTTCCGGGTGTTGCGGCCGACTCAGCCTTTGTGCAGGATCTAGAGGCAAAGCGGCACTACTTCCGTGCTCTCAGGTATGTTTTTTTTTCTTTCACTACGATCTTCATTTATTGTCGCAACTAATCACCTTTTCTCCCCCCTCTTTAGATGTCTTGCTTTAGGAAGATCCCATGGAGTGCTTTCGAAGTCAAAGGAGGCTCTTGCGTTGTTTTCTCAAGCCCTGAACCTCGTCGCATCCGCTTCCCCCAGTCAGCAACAGATGCCGAAGGTGTCCCCAAGCTCGATGTCTCGCGAGTGCAAGCAAGTGCCTTGGAGTCAAGTTTGCGAGAATTGGTTGCTCAGTACCGTGGACTTGTCACTCTGGAGAAAGTGACTGCTGAAGAGGCGGCACAATCGAGCCAGCGTCCAGTGGTAGAACGACTACAACAGTTCGCAGGATCTGGGTTGGACCTTAATAATTTGGTGCCATACCCACCTCAAATGCAGCCCATCCCTGTCAAGCCCTTGTTCCTTGATGTGGCATGGAACTACATTGATTACCCGCGCGAAGGTAGTCAGCGACAGGAGGGACCAACTCAGGCACAAGCTCAAGCCCAAGGTGCCGTGGAAGAAGAAACGAAAGGTCGTCGTGGATGGTTTGGTTTTGGTGGTCGCTGAAGCCCCTTACATAGATGCCATACCACGAATACCCATTGATTCATATCGATACCTACATGTGTACATATGTATATGTATGTACGGAGTAGATACCTCTAGTAACTTTGAATGTGTACAAAATCCATGGATAGTACTTAGGTACGATATGTACGTTGTAGTAACAAGCACGAGCACGTGCATATATGAACCCTTACTTCCGCCTTCGACCAATCAGCGACGATCCAACTCTCGGGAATTCTCTACCCGGGGTCACGTCGTGCTGAGTAATTATGATATGGCTTTACGCTGACTTGTTTGTATTTTTGGATTTGTTAACTATAGGTAGTTGTCCTACTCTATACAGTACTCCGTACTATCTACTACGGAGTAGTTATAGACTCAGGTATCCATATTTTTTTACCGTTCGTGATTTTTTAAGAATTCTCAGAAATCAGCTTGGGATTCACATCAGTACTCCGTATCCGTATACTAATATTTAAACCCGGCTCGGAAATTAGTTTAGTAGAACCCCCCAATCTATAGTATACACAAGCTAAAGCAGAGATTGTCTGAAGAATAACACCAAAAAACAATACTACAAGTACTCCGGAAATAGTTAATCAATCTGAAAATCAACCTAATAGAATATATTGAATATCAATTACTCCAATAATTCAAAATACAATGAACATTATTTATGCATCTGATATGGGCTAATGCTGGGCATCCCGGGGCCTCCGTGTAATTGGCGTTCCCGCCCCTGAGGGCCCCAGTCAATTATTTCTCCCCCTCTCCACTCACTTTTTTCCCTTTTTGTTCTGGCTTCCTCCCTTCTCATTAGCAATTCCCTTTCTCTTCAATTCTTGCTTGGAAATTTGATCCCGTGGACTCCCCAGTATGGTCGATATGGCCAACCTCACCGGGAGCTTCGTCTCGCCATCGGCGGATGCGACAGTCTCGCCCCAACTGTTCGCGCCGGCCGGTCTCGTTGCCACCATATTGGATGGCTTCACTATCTGGAAGGGCCTGTTGACTCTATTTGTCGCCGCCGTCATCTATGACCAGGGTGAGTGCGAATGCGACATGGGTGGCCTTGGGAATCGCGTCTTGAAACTAATCACGACCCCCTATTTGCAGTCAAGTACCACTACCTCAAGGGCGCCATTGTCGGCCCTATGTACAAGATCCCCTTTATGGGCCCGTTCCTCGAATCAGTCAACCCCCAATTCACCAAATACAAGGCCAAATGGGACAGTGGAGACCTCAGCTGTGTTTCCGTCTTCCACAAGTGAGAAGTCCCAAATGCACTTATCCCCTGTTGGGTCTGCTCTCTAACATACTATTCTACAAAGGTTCGTTGTCATTGCGTCGACTCGTGATATGTCCCGGAAGATTTTCAACTCGCCCACCTATGTCAAGCCCTGTGTTGTGGATGCCGCGCACAAGCTTCTCGGCAAGACTAACTGGGTCTTCTTGGATGGCAAGGCCCACGTGGATTACCGTAAGGGTCTGAACGGATTGTTCACTCGCCAGGCCCTGGCCATGTACCTCCCCCGCGCCGAGGAGGTTTTCAACTCTTACAACCAGCACTTCCTCAAGAAGTCCGCTGCCACCAACTTCACCCCGACCCCCTGGATGTCCGAGTTCCGCGAGCTTATGTGTGCTCTGTCTTGCCGCACCTTTGTCGGTTACTACATCTCTGATGAGGGTGTCCAGAAAATTGCCGATGACTACTATCTGATCACTGCCGCCCTCGAGTTGGTTAACTTCCCTATCATCCTTCCCTACACTAAGACCTGGTACGGCAAGAAGGCCGCCGATATGGTGCTTATGGAGTTCGCCAAGTGTGCTGCTAAGTCCAAGGCCCGCATGGCTGCCGGTGGCGAGATCTCCTGTATCATGGACGCCTGGGTTAAGGCCCAGCTGGATTCCGCCGCGTACCGCGAGAAGATTGAGAAGGGAATCCCGGTTGATTCTTCAGAGAAGCCTAGCCAGGTTCTTCGTGAATTCTCCGATTTCGAAATTGCCCAGACTATCTTCACCTTCCTGTTCGCCTCCCAGGATGCAACCAGTGCCGCCTCCACCTGGTTGTTCCAGCTAATGGCCGACCGTCCCGAGATCCTGGACAAGGTCCGTGAAGAGAACCTGAAGGTCCGTAACGGTGATCGTGATCTCCCTGCCACAATGGATATGCTAGACCAGATGCCCTACACCCGCGCCGTCGTCAAGGAGACACTGCGCTACCGCCCTCCTGTCATCATGGTTCCCTACCTGGTCAAGAAGGACTTCCCTATCAGCGAGACCGTCACCGTCTCCAAGGGCTCGATGATCATTCCTTCCGTGTGGCCCGCATGCCACGACAAGGAGGCTTACCCCAACGCCGACTCCTTCGATCCAGACCGCTGGATCACCGGTACCGCTGAGCAGCAGACCAAGAACTGGCTGGTCTTCGGCACAGGTCCCCACTACTGTCTGGGTCAGACCTATGCTCAACTTTCCCTGATGTCCATGATTGGAAAGGCCAGTATGGTGATGGACTGGGAGCACACCCCCACCCCTGAGTCAGAGGATATCAAGGTGTTTGCTACCATCTTCCCTCAGGTATGTTCAATCTCATTTTCTTTCATGATCAATTCACTAATATTTATCAGGATGACTGTCTTCTTACCTTCCGCCCCCGCGCTTAAATTCTCCCTTTTTGTATAAAACACCAAAGCGAGGTTGGAACCCAGCCCCATTTCTAGACAGGGCTTGGTGACCTTGACATGATACCTTCCTGTCCTGGAGATGGGGTGGTCCGCTGACACTTTTCTTCTTTCTTCGATTTTGATGCATGATGAACGCTCAATTCAGGAAAAGTCTTTAGCATATGTTTCTCTTAGAGAGACCTTTCATACCCTTGCGCAAAGAACCCCCATTGCGATTATGATTACCTGTTAGCCCGTGAGGGGTCGTGGGGGGGTTTCTTGTTTCTTTTCTTCAGAGTGACTACTCCTAGAGCCATGCATATTAGAACAATATTAATTCTCTTTTTCCACTTGAATATTTATGACATGTTATATAATTGTTGATACGTTTGAATTAATTAAACATCCTATGTCTTGTCGCACCTCGAACTTATGTTGCTATACGTAGCTTTCTTGAAGTTCTCAATCACCAAAGTCTGGCTCATCTCCTCTACTTGGTATACCAACACTCCACTATATATCTGTGCTATCTCAATCTCTACCTCAAAGCCGCACAAAATATATATTGACTCCCAAACAACAAATACGCTATAGCTATATTCCAACTAATTGATTTATTCCCACCAATCAAAACCCCCAATATCTCCCAACAATGCTTGTACATCACAGAAACTCTAAACTAATAATCGGTCACGTGCAGCAGATACTGACATCACAGTCCCTCGTTCCGAGGTTATTTCCGGAGGTGCAATAACTCCAAACTCACCTCCGCGGACAATCAAAATCCAGAATCGAAACAATGACTTCGACATTATCATCCACGATCCAGCGATCTATCGTGCTGTCCTCCGCCGCAGTCAGAACCCCAGCGCGCAGTGTGGTATCACCGGCCGCGGCCTTGCACCGAGCTATCTCTACACCAACAAGAGGACTGGTTACCTCTCCCACGAACCGTGTTGTTCGTGGTCGCCTGGCACCATCATGCAGCATTCAAACCAAGTCGATCCTGGATATCAAGAGTGCGAGTGCGCGCCAAGTGCAGAGGCGGTGGAATAGCGATGATGCTAGCTCGGTCAAACTCCGGGAATGGGGTTTCGAAGATGTATGTAACTCCCCAGAGCAAACTGCTTCAGCCATTCTTCCTCTTCTACCCTATTATTACTTCCTTCTTCGAACCAAATACCCATGAAAATAGCCATAAAAGCATTGTCACGAAACTAACAACAACCAAATTAGATCAACGCCGCTCTCCCCACCTCATCACCCGATTCCCCAACCCACAAGCCCATAATCTTAGTTGACGTGCGCGAGCCCGCCGAACTGAAAGGCACGGGTATAATTCCCACTGCAGTGTGCGTCCCGGTGGCATCACAGGGAGATGCATGGTATCTCACGCCAGACGAATTCGAGACCCGGTTCGGATTCGCTAAGCCCGATCCCACGGAGGGCGAGGGCGAGCCTGCGCAGATGGTCTTCTATTGCAAGGCTGGTGTGCGGGCTGTGGCGGCAGCGCAGATGGCCGTGCAGGCTGGATATGATCCTGCTAATATTGGGGTTTATCGTGGTAGTTGGTTGGATTGGGAGAGACATGGGGGGAAGGTTGAGAAGTGGGATGGGGATGATTATTGAGCTAAGTTCATTTCTTGAGTGCTTGATAGTGTTTCTGGGGATGAAGGTGGTTTACTGAGTAAGTTGGTGTATGGGTTGAGAAGAGGGTTGTACATACTACATAATGCCGAATAGGATATTGAAGGATAGATAGATCGTCTTCTCTATTCTGAGATTCTAGTGCAATCGCTCAATTTGGTCTGTGCCCTAAAAAAGACCGATCTTCTTAGTTTTAAAACTGGGTTGCTCCCGCGTGTTAAAGACAGATGAAGATCAACTATCTAATCCAAAGTGTATTCTCTAATGCAAATACTTGAGTATAAATTCAGATCACTATAGCAGAAACAAAAGATCTGGTATCGACCAGGCCTTGCTTTTCCTATATCATGTACATGCGACTTCTCTCGCTGTTCATCCATCAAGTCATGGTCATTCATTGTATGTTCAAATCGTAATCAAAAATAGAATAACTTTTCCGCTTTTCGATAGCAATTGTCATAGCCTAGTAGATTTCGATTCGTTTCCTCCAAACTGGGCTATGATGGAACCGAAGGCCAGAGGGCCGACGGAGAACAAAGCTCGCCACTTACTGGCATTTGATCGTTAAGTTCGCTCGAGGATAGGTATCGCAAGGCTGGAATGGGTCCGGTGCTGACGATTCTTGATATGAAGACATCGCACACCGGAAAGAAGCCCTAAGACCGAATTCAAGGAATGTCGAACACGGGCTTGAGCTTCTTGACCAGAGCCCATTCCTCCATAGAGACCTCGGACCGGTAGAACTCCTTGAGGGTGTCGATACTGGCACGCGAGATGTGCGAGATAAGCTGGTCCTTCTCTTCGAGGTGACGACCGTACATGGGCTGGTTGGGTCCCTCGACCTTAACAGCAACGGAGGGCTGACCTCTCTTGCAGACAGGGACGGCCTTGTGATCGCGCTCGATGGATGTGCTGTGAAAACGGTTGCGTTAGAAATTAGACAAAAAAAAGATGAAGGGGGCCAAAACTTACACTCTACCAATATCGACGATCTCCCTTACACCAGCGGCGTTGGTCCTGACCGCAGCTAGAGGGGTGTGGAGACGCAGACTTCCTTCAATAACATCAACACCGATGACAATGGGATCGGTCTTGTTGAAGACAGCAATGGGCTTGATGACACAGGGGAAAATAGCAAGAAGCTTAGCCTCCTCCTTACGCTGCTCTGTGATCTGAGCCATGTGCGCAGTGAAGCTATCGAACAAGTGGTAAATGATGTCGGCTGTGAAAATCTTGACACCAATTTCGTTGGCATAGGCCGTTGCATCCTTATCGACCTTGACGTCGAAGCAGAGCATGACAGCATATTCCTTACTCTTCTCAAGCATGGTACCAGCCATCATGACATCACGCTTGTAAACGGGACCGATGGAGATATTGGCGACAGGAATCTTGGAGACCTTGAGGAACTCCAGGAGGGCCTCAAGCGAACCCAGGGTGGAGGCCTGGACAGTGACACCACGCTGATCAGTCGAGACACGGCTCAGCAGGTTCTCCAAATCAGTCATGACCTCCTCCTCAAGATCCTCCTCATCATCGTCAGGGCCGACGACAAGCATGCGAGAACCAGCAATAGCGTGCTCCAAGTCGTTGGCAGCAATCTTAACACCAAGGGCAGCCTTGACCTCCTTGTTGTGAACGTACTGGGACTTCAGACGCAGCTCCTTGAGCGGTGCTGGTGTCAGAAGAGCACGGATATTGGTTGTAATAGGACCGTTGAGACCGCACATTACGATGCGATCACCCTCGCGAAGGATACCGTTGGACAGAATGACATCAATGGTGGTACCGAGACCCTCAATGACCTTGACCTCCAGAACCGTACACTCGACCTCGGACAAGTACATAAGCGAGTTGGTCATACGCTCTTGACTCAGGCTGGTCAGGAGCTTCAGCATGTCAGGAACACCCTCTCCGGTGTGGGCAGAGGTGGGAACGAGAGAGACGTTGCGAGACAGAGACTTGTTCTCGAAGAACAGCTCGGAGTTGAAACCCTGCTCGGCAAAAGCAAGCTTGGTGGCCTCAAGACGAGTGCGGAACTCGTTTTGAACACCCTTGTTCTGCATAGCCAAACTATCCTCGAAACCGTTGTTGTCAATCTTCTTCCAGCCGTAGAGACGATCGATCTTGTTCAATGCGACAATGAAAGGAGTCTTGCGGTCACGCAGCAAACGCATAGACTCGAGGGTCTGGGGCTCGAGACCGTGCATGATATCAACAACAAGGATAGCAATGTTGCAAAGGGAGGAACCTCTTGATCGCAAGTTGGAGAAGGACTCGTGACCGGGAGTATCGATGATCAACAGACCGGGGACCTTGAACTCGAACTTGCCATCCTTGTTGACAACTTGGGTCTTGGTGCGCAGAGCATCGACGGGGAAGTAAGTGGCACCGATCTGCTGGGTAATACCACCAGCTTCGCCCTCCTGCACGTTGGTCTGTCGGATCTTATCGAGCAGCTTGGTCTTACCAGTATCGACGTGACCAAGAATACAGCAAATAGGGGATCGGAGATTATCCTTTGAACGAGCGGCCAGAGCCTCCTCGTGCTTAAGCTTTCTCCGCTCAGCAGCCTCAGCCTTTCTTGCCAGGATGGCCCTTTGGTTGGCGGATTGCTCCTCATCAGATGAGTCTTCATCCGATGAGTCGTCGGAGTCGGAGTCGGAGTCGGATTCTTCTTCTTTCTCCTCCTTTTGGGCGGGTGCCTCCTCCTCAGCGGGCTTCTCTTCCTCATCTGATTCCGCATCCCAGCTGTCCTTGACATCTTCGTCGGCAGCCTGCTCCCAGTCTTCAACTGCATCCTCTTCCGCAGGGGCGGCAGCGGCAGCGGCAGCGGCGGCGGCTTCAGCCTTGGCTTTCTCCTCGGCCTCCTTCTTTCGGTCTTCAGCTTCGCGCTGAGCCCGGGCCCGAGCGGCGGCAGCTTCGAGATCCTCTTCCTGCTTCTTGCCAGCCCTCTTCTTCTTGTTCTCATATGTAGGGCGCGCCTTCTTCTCGCCGCCCTCCTGCAAGCCAGCAACCTTGCCACCGGCGGCAATCATCTGCTGCAAGCGCAATTCACTGCGCTCTTTGGCCTCGCGCTGAGCCTTGGTGAGCAGCTTACCTTCTCTGCGGAGCTGCTCCTTCTTTTCGCGCTCCTTCTCCTTCCTGCGCTCACGAGCCTCGGCACGCGTCTTCTCTTCCTCTTCATCAAGAAGCTTCTGTTTGGCTGCGGCAGCCTTCTCTTCCGCTGCAATGCGCTCCTCCTCCTCACGTTGCTGTCGAAGAAGCTCCTGCTGCTTCTGGAGAGCTGCGAGGTGGGGAGGAAGCTTCTTCTTCTTGCCAGTCTCTGGGGCGGGTGCAGCGGCGGCGGCTACATCTTTCTTGGAGGCTTCGGCGGTGGCGGTCTTCTTGGCTTCGGCCTTTTCTTGAGCAGGGGTGAGCTTCTTCTTTGAGGCAGCCTATATAGATGAGAAAGAGACACGTTAGTAAATAGTTTTAACACCCGGAACGGGCTTTCAGTATGAAGAAAGATGTAGCAACCTACCTGTTCCTTCTTGCGCTGCTTCTCCTTCTCCTTCTTCTCACGCTCCTTCTCCTTCTTACTCTTTACTCGGAACTCGCCCTCGGGCTGCGCTTCCGCCGCAGGCTTAACCACTTCCTTGATGGGCTTGGTCTTCTTTCCAGCGAAAACATCATCATCGTCGAAGTTACCCTCCTCGGGCTGCTTGCTAGCCAAATCGATGGCACCCTGGGTATCGGCACCCTCGGCGTCCTCACCCTCGACGAAGTCGTTGATCTTGCCCTTCTTAGCCTTCTTGGCCTTATTTTTTCTCAAAGCAGCCATAAGGCCGCCAACTGGCGCAGCCTCCTCGTTGGCATCTTCTTGGGGCTGCTCATCGGCGGGAGCAGTGGTGGGAGCGGACTCGCCGAGATCAGCCTCCCAGTCCTCCTCCTGTCTCTTATTTCCCTTCTTCTTGGGCGCCATTGCAATAGATTTCCCTTTGGGGGTGTTTTGACGATCCGATTTGAGTGGTGGCCGGGAAAATGTAGCGCACAAACGGAGTTAACCGGTTATTTGCGACTCGTAGTGATACGCACACGTATTAAAAAGGGAGAGGATGACAGAAGTCAAAAAAAGGACAATCCCCAGAATGAAAGGCGAGAGATAGGAGCTCTCTGTAAGGTGGGCCTAGGGAGGGGTGTGGGAAGGGAAAAGAATTTCGGGAAGAATCATGACCGGTGGGGAACAATGGCATCGGACTTCACTTTCTAAGTCGCCACCACGAACTGGCTGGATTCCCGCCATAGTTGTATATTGTCAACAGTTTTCTTCCTTCTAGGATATCTTATATCGAATTGTGTACTAATCTACTAAAAAACGAACTTCAAATATTACTACTAACATTTTAATTTGAGCTGTGGCGTAGATACGCTCTTACAAGTTAATTCAAACCTCCAGGGCTATGTACTTCCAAGCTTGGTCCTCCACACTTCTTCACCAGGGCTAATCCCCCTTGAGATTAAATCTCAACGTGGAGCAGCTTTCGAAGCCAGCTGAAGAGTGCCTGGGTATGGTTGGCTTGAGCTCCAAGCACATCCTCAACTGCCATAAAGAACATGTGCACTGTTTCAGGAGTCATGTCCTTGAACTGACTCCTGCTGCATGCCGTGAGAATCTCATCCAGGTGTTTCGAGTCGCGACTGGCAAGGCGACCCAGAATGTTGCCGTCGATATGCATGTTGTTCTCGACCTGGGAGATTGCATCAAGGTAGCGATATCTGCGGGACATGGAGGGACAAATGACCTCATCCCTAAGGCAGATTTTGAGTAGGAGTTGAAGAAGGTGCCACTCCTTCGCATCCAGGGGCAAGAGCCTATAGACCGATCCATTGATGCCAAAACCATAAAAGGTCTTGGTGGTCGTCAGGGCATCCGGAGACTTGATGCCCCGAGTGAGCTTGATCAAGGAGACGGGGAGATCGGCCGTCGGACAAGGTATAAGGTCCCCTGGTAGATCGAGGTTTGTGAAAGCCCGGGTAGCTCCACCTCTGGTACTCACAAAAAGGACATCCGGTTCAATGCCATACCCACGCATTAAAGTGTGAGACAAACCATCGCGTGCAATTGGGTCGAAACCATGCATCAGGATGTCTCCATCTGCAATCTTGTAGACCACCAGGGAGTGTCTTGAGGTGGTGACGTAGATCATGCTTCCTTGTACTGTCATCGCGACAGCTGGGGATGGAAGGGTAGCTGTAATATTTCGAACCCATTTTGTTTGAGAGTTTCGAGAGGAGACCGTGAAGAATTTCTTCCCAGATACAATAATCAAGCTATCTTGGCATGCTGCCATCGCATAAACTGGGTGGTCAAAGGATTGTGTGTGCTTGTCAATGCAAGTGATCTGCTCAGGAGAGTTGGCATCCCGAGACGCTTGTATGAGCATCAACCGACCTTTGCGGTTATTGGGTTTGTTCGGCAGGCTGATTGAAGTCCCAATAGCGATAAGATGGTATGCGTTGCCCTCCCTTTGTGGCATCCAGTCAAAAATGCATGTGATTTTCTCACCAGGGACTCCATGTGGTCTCCAGGGGAGAAGGCCGCGATAAACAAGGTCCATATCGTTAGGGACCACTGGCGACTGTGTGTCTGGGTCCACAAACTCGACGTATGCCGTGCGGGAAAGATCCAGAGGCCTTTCTTGGTTTCCGACCTGGGCGACAGAATATGTAATGATAAGGCTCCGGAGATGATTGGAGTAGGTGAGCTTGCTGGGATTTCCGGGAATGTCGATGCGTCGGGGAACAACCTTTGCTTCTTGTTCCAGAGAGCATACCAGAAGCTGACCATCTGCAAAACAAAACAAGTACGTAGTTGGAACCGCAGACCAGTGCTCTCTTACTTCGACAATGTCGAAGCTGCTGAGTCTGGTAGGGAAGTATGCAGGCTGACATGAATGTTAGGCCATAGCTCAAAAGGACATAATGTGATATAACTTACGCAGTTCTGATCCGTAATCCAAACACGAGACAGGAAATAGTCAAAGCCATTGCCATCTGGGCCATATGACACACGCCAGAAATCATCTCCACATGTAAACAACGCAAATTTGTCGTAGGATTTGAGATTGATTGATGTTTTCCCAAGATCGTGTGGCGCTCTTTGTTTCAAACCTGAAGAGAAAGTATCTGGTTAATGAAAAGGACTAATAAAAGAATCAAAGATGACTCACATTTGAAACCGAAGCCAGGGTCACCGTGATCATCAACGATGTTTGTGTCTATCTCAAACGGAACAAGTGTGCCACTCCGCAGCCCACAGAAAAGGAATGCGTGAATACCATCGTCTGAGAGAGTGTGGATAACAGCGAGGCTTTCAATCGTTTTTGTCATGTCTTCTGGATTGTCGACAATGTCGATAAGAGTGTCGGCATGCTGTGTCATTCTACCAGTTTCGTTGTAAACTTCGAATGACAGCACTGTGCCATCACTGGTGCCCAGGAAAATAAACCCAATTCCTCCCCAAGTCTGGTAGGACATACAGATGGGCTCTTTTTGGAGCGGGTATGATAGAGACTCGTGATCAGATAGGGAGGGGGGACTTCCTTCAGTCGTGACTATCCGAAGAAGATGGAGAAAAATTCCCTCTTTACTTCTTGTAGTCATGATAACAGTGGAACTTGGGCCATCCACGATAGCTGCTGTGACAAACACATGGGGATCATGTTCGACACAGCTGTTGAGAGTGAAATCAGTAGGGACGAAAAAGTGCACGGCTCTTTCTGTGACCCGAACAATAATACCGGAGGGTGTACAGTCCATTGCCAAAGTCTGCTGAATACCCAACCCTGAATCGTCCTCAAGGGCAGTAATGCCATCTCTCATGTCGGGAGTCGTACGAAGAAGCAGCGACGAAAGCGGATCGGAGGCCAACAAATAGATTGAGTCCTTAGCACCGAATGACATAGCCCACATACTACGTATGCTGGACAATTCACCCAATGAGGCTGAAATTCCAATCTGAGCCTCAATGCCGTATCGAAGCTCGGTAATAGCTCCATTGCCTGAAGCAGAGGTCGAGCCGACAAAGAGCCGATCGTAATCATATGTATTTTCTTTGGAGACGGCCGGGGAGTTTGAGGGAATAATAACTGCATCGGGAACCGGTGCCCAGTTGAGGAATCGCTGAACGCATCTGGGGTGATCCCGTGCCTCCTGGACAAACAACCCACCATCGCCCTGGCTTCCAGCAGCAATAATGAAGTCGCCACCTTCATGGCCCATATCAAGAATATCAAATGCCGTATCAACATCGCAGTGGAGTTGACCCAGAGAAGTCTGGGTTTCGAGTTCCCCATCGTTGCCGAACTCGAGATAATAGATCCAGCCTTTCTCTTGACAGAGGAAGATTCCATCGTATCTCTGACTGTACATCCAGTTTCGCGAAGGTCTGGCCCAGCGAGTCCACAGTCCAGCTTCGGATGATTCTGCATCAGGAATGATCGATGGGTATCGCATCGGACGAGACGAGCAATTTGGTGTGTACATTGCCATGGAATTTGTGGTAATCAGGAGGTAGGACGATTCTTTGGCCAAAGGGATGACCATGCTAGGCAACTGGTCTTGCCGAGGCAGAGGAGTTGAGGTGAGTTTTGGACCCATGCGGTTGAGCATACTGGCTTCATCCCATTCAAACACCATAGACCGTGTTGTCTCAAGGTTATGGACAATAAGCAGTAGAATAGTCCGTTTGTCATGGTTGTCTTTCGGGTAAAGGAATTCCATAAACAGGATATCGCCATCCACCTGTAAGAAAGTTTCCTGTTCAAAAATTATTGATATCGGGCGCACCATAGATAGAAAGAATAGTGAGAACATACACTTTCAAGTGGGTTCAACTTCCCCTGAGCCATCTGCCTCTGGAGTTCGCTAGGAGGTTTCAACCACAAGACACCGAAGAAATTACGCGACGCGCTGACTGCGACCGCACGCGATCTGGGTCATGGCATAAGCATTTGTGGATCAAATTGAGTTGGTGATATGTGATACTTACTTGGGATCAACAGCTATGTGCCTGCCATACTTGTCGGCTATGTTGACATCGCGCGGCAGAGGTCGATTGTAGGAAACAAATGGGCCATCTCCCACCTCAGAATAATACATGAAAATGAGCTCGTTTGAGTCCGTAGCAAGAAAAAGAATGTGAGGAGGCAAATAATCAGTGTCGTATGGGTTGTAAGACTGAGCCAACAGACTTGATGGAGCTCCAGTTCCCCAAGGTAACTGGGTGCTTACATTGATGACTTTTGCCCCAATCAGCGAGCCTTCCAGGTCGGATTTTTCGACAACATCTTGAAGATGACCACTGGGCAGGGCTTCTTTGATTTGAATTCGCCGCTCTCCAATGAAAACCACATCGTTGTGGTCTTTATTGCGAAGTCGCGCTGGAAGGATCCAGTTAATGACAGGGCTGGGGATCAATGGCTGGGTAAGCAGTCCAGCCATACGCGTCGAACGCGTGACAGGCTGGTTGCCAGGCATTGCGGTAATTGGGTAGGTTTCACAAGAAACCGAAAATGGAGTAGAGCAAACGAGGAAATGATGCTGAAGCCAAAGGCGTGAAGCGGGGTAGAGAGATGTGAAGAAGCTCGGAGGGCGAGATGAAAGACAAAAATAAAGGGTAGAAGGCGGAGTTGTAAGTGAATGAGTTGAAAGGAAAGTAGGTAATAGGCAAATATCAGCCGGTCAGGCAATGGCCTGAGGCGCAAGCCCCAAGATTTGATTGCACTGCACCACACTTCCTATGACTTTCTGTGTTTAAGAAACTGGGAGCATTTGATATTTGTAAGATCCACTTGTCTTCATACTTCAAAGAGTGGAATATCAATATGCGATTGATGCATTGACTGCCAAATGCAATATTTGGCTGTGAATTGATATATGATGCACAACCGACTCTAAAGAGAGTACGGAAAGTTGGTTGTCAATGAATTCACAGCCAAGTATGTCCCAAACAAGCCCTATGATATCTTTATTAACCAATGTACCCCACACATGAGGAACAAATATCAATGTGAGACTTACAGCTTGCCCGAACGCTATACAGTAGTAACTGCCTTCGAAGGTGTGCAAATATCTCCCGCAAGCTCCATTGATTTCTTACCAAAAAGCCAGTCTTTATCACGGAGCTAACGCTGTCACTGCCAGACGACCCGGAGAGCAAGCCAATTGCGGAGTTACGCAATCACCACCCCCGTCGGTGAGCTGTCACAACCCCAGGGACCGTGGACTTCTAAGGACGCACAACACGGCACACAGCTATATGCGTCTGAGATATTGCGATGAATACCGCAAATCTATTAAACTGGAGCGTTGTGCCTAAACCTAGCACAGGGCGAATGTTGTTATCGGCGAAAACATGTCGCGGCTGCCGATCGCTGCCTAAGGCCGCCAAGTGGGACTCCGCCGCCTTCGACTTCAGACTTCCACGGCTGGGTCTATGTACCTAGAGAATCAGCAGCTCACCTTCAGAGAAACTGAATTCATTGAAAGAAAAACCATTCTGTCACATATCTAGCATTGCCTTGTTGGTTTGGACACGCCGTTTTGTTGTCTGGTGAAAAAGCTGAAGCTCCAATCGATCTATATCCGATCGGTCTCTCGATATTGGGCTTAATTCAGAACACACAACGTGAATTTTGCTTATTCAGATCGAGAATCAAACTGAGCAATAACATCATCTTTTCGGGTGTGCGAAATTTGGCTGCTTGATCTCGTGGGAGGGTGACATCCTAGCAGATGAAGGATGGAAGATACCGGAAAAGAACAGGATTATCCCAGCCCCGAGGACATATCTGAATCCGAAGAATCACTCAAAAATTTGAAGGGAGAGAAAGAAGCAAGACAGATGGCCCGAGCAGAAAAGGCGAGAGCCATCCGCAAAGCGTGTGAAACGCGCGATGTAGAAGCTTTAGTTGTGCACGCAACCTCAGCAGGCGGGTTACTTGAAGACGACTTGAGACAGATAGCATGTGAGTTCAATACCGTTATGATCTACAACAGTGCATATTTAAGCAGACCCAACTAACCGGCAAACAGGGCCTATCTTGCTACGATGCGACGAACAAAGGCAGCAATTTGATATGGCCTCAAGCAATGAACTTTTACGACATGCCGACGAGGAACAGGTAGAACTTGACGTGAATCGGTCGTTTGTCTACTACCCGAAAGGTATGTTATTATATCTCTCCCCGAAAGACGAATTTTGGTGTTAATAAAGTCTAGCTCCCGAGGAAGAAATGTTGAAAAAGAAAAAGCAGCTGTCCAATCTGATCACTCAAGTACTAAGAGAATACCCCATGCTTTGTTATTTTCAAGGATATCACGATATAGTCCAAGTTCTTCTCTTGGTACTGGGCGAGAAGCACGCCTTGCCAGCAGTGGCGCAGATATCTCTTTTCCGCATACGTGACTACATGCTACCATCGTTATCTCCAGCTGTGAAACATCTCCATCTCATCCCTGCAATCATTGAGACAACAGATCCCGAGCTAAGACGACACCTTGGCAACATCGAACCATTTTTCGCTCTTGCGGCTACACTGACGCTATATGCCCATGACATCCAAGAGTACAGCAACATCTCCCGACTTTTTGACTTCCTTTTAGCTCGGGAGCCCGTTGTTGCAATCTACCTCTTCGCAGCAATGATCCTGTCTAGGAAAAAAGAGTTGCTTGAAATTCCAGCAGATGAGCCTGAAATGCTTCATTTTACGCTTTCCAAGCTACCATGCCCACTTGATCTAGATGGACACATTTTGCATGCAGCGCGGCTCTTTGAGGAGCACCCGCCAGAATCATTGCCCCTTGGAGCCTGGAAACACATTCCCTGGTGCAGCGTGCTCAAAACTTCAAGAGACCCACATGGCAAGTACACCGCGTCTTCTGCAGTGTACTTGTTTGAAAAGCAATCTCAACAGATTCGGTCTGAAGAGCGCAGGAAACGAGCCCTGGATTTCTTGTGGAGCCACCGTCGGTCTGTGGGTTCTGTGGCATTGGCTATCTTGGTTGGAGCCGCATCTTTCTACATCCGCAAAAGGGGACTCGACACTTCAATTTGGTCTTACGTTGGCCGAATTCAAAGGGCAATCCAAAACTGGGTTTAATCTTCAAACCGATGTATTAAGTATCGTGGATGCTTGGTGCTATTGCACGTGTATGATAATGAGAAAAAATAATAATAGAACCAAGCTAAAAGCCTGAAGATCACAAGCACAAGTTAAAAACTCATATATAAGTAAAAATTTATTTAATTTATAGAAAATAATATGTATTTGATACTCGTGCATGACACTGGGTAGTACCCACAGTTGTGGCTTGAGCGGTGGCTTTATCTGCGGAAGCTGATGTGTACACTTAACAACTCCCCTTCCAACAGCTCACCTGAAAACCAACCACAATGGCTAACCGAGGCTACGATGTCGTAGTAGACGTGGATGCAGAGGTAAGCGCACTTGGATGATCAATACATTATTTCAACTAACAAACCAGCAGGGCGACCTTGGCCACACTGACCTACAAGAAGACCTCGAATTCCACCCCTCCAGTGAGTTCCTCCAAACAAACCGGCCCAGCCCAGCTCTCTCTAACCAAGTAATCCTCCCACCCAGACTTCGAAAATGACCAAAGAACCGCCAAAGTTCAAGGCGACTCCGCCCCGTTCCTGGGCGGCGGGCCATCGCGCCAGCGTGACCGGTCCCCTGGCGGTACGCCAACCAAGCACAGCTGGTGGTCGCTGCACTACTACGAGCGCTTTTTCGACGTCGACACGAACGAGGTCTTCCGCCGCTGTGTGGCGACCGTGTATCCGCGAACCAACTTCCTCGATGTTCTAGAGGGTAACGCAGACCTGTACGGACCGATCTGGATCGCGACTACGGTGGTTGTTATCCTGTTTTTGACAGGCACTATCTCGCAATGGCTGTCGAACAATGACGACAAGCACTTCGAGTATGACTTTACTTTGCTATCGGGCGCGGCTGGTCTGATCTATGGGTACACGGGTGTCTTGCCTATTGCCCTGTGGGGTGCGCTGCGTTGGTTTGGCAGCTCCACGGCCGACCTTATCGAGTGCTGGGCTCTGTATGGGTACTCCAATTTGTTTTGGATTGCCGTTGCACTTGTCAGCTGGAGTCCATTGACTGCGCTTAACTGGGCGCTTGTTGGCGTTGGCTTTGCTTGGAGTGTCTTCTTCCTCCTGCGGAACTTGTATCCCGTCTTGAATGCTACGGATGCCAAGGCCAGCAAGATCCTCTTGATCTTGGTTGTTGTGCTACATGCCGCACTGGCCATTGCTATCAAGGTGCTTTTCTTTGCGTAAGTTGTGCCCTTGTCTGACGAACAAATTGACATTTAACTGACGAATCTACTAGCCACGGGAGCCCCGTCTCAAAGAAGAACAAGGACAAGGACCAAGATGATAAGAAGACTGACGACAACAAGGGTATGATGTTCCGGGCATAAGCGGGGGAAGGAAGGATCATTGGCTTTCATCTGGAATACTGGCCATTCCGTCGATTCTTGCTCAGGTAGCAGGGTTCGCAGCTCGAGGTTTCTAGTCGTGTTATTGAACGCATGCATGTATTGTACTCTGTATTTATCGCAGATGGAATTTGAAGACGTGAAACAATTCGACTTTTTGAATTTTACACATTTCATTTCATGGAGTGCAACTTGGTCGTCGAGAGGAGCCAACTAGAAAAAGTATGACTGTGGCTGCATTGATTTTATCATCATATCTAACGCCATTTGTAATCCTCTCCATGTAGCAGTCCAGCCAATCCCCATCTCTGGAATCTGCACCACAGCACGCCGAGCACAAGACCGAGGAGCGAGTCGTCTATTTGAGCTTCTTCTTGGGGCGGAGCTGGTTGGTGTGTCCGCACTTCTTCTTGCGGCAGTTGGTGGCACGGGGAGGGAGACGAGCCTGTAGAAGGTCCGAGTTAGTACATGTGTTGACGTAATTGATGGCCTTGCCACGAAATGCGGTTTCATGACGATGATCGGGCGTAGGCGGAGAGGCGGGGTAAACGTACGTAGCACTTGCGGCAGATGGCCTTGTCGCAGTTGAACTTGGAGGCAAGGGCCTTGAGGGAAGGCTCAATGATACCACCACGGAGACGCAGGACAAGGTGAAGGGTGGACTCCTATAACGGGTTGATATCGCATGTTAGCGAATGTTTCATCATGTCGCAGACCATAGACCATAATGTGAAGCGATAATTCCTCCTCTTGCGTATCTGTGCGCAGAGTCATATCTGGACAAGAACATGTCGGATTGATCTGATCCACTCGAGATACCACAACGCCCCCACTTTTGGTTCAAATCATGAAAGGTTCGAGGTCGATCCCTACCTTCTGGATGTTGTAGTCGCTCAGGGTGCGACCATCCTCGAGCTGCTTTCCGGCGAAGATCAGACGCTGCTGGTCAGGGGGAATGCCCTCCTTGTCCTGGATCTTGGTCTTGACGTTGTCGATGGTGTCGCTCGACTCGACATCGAGGGTAATGGTCTTACCCGTCAGGGTCTTGACGAAACTATATCGCACCGTATTAGTCCATATTCATTATTCCTCCATGGGCTTGGGTCGTGTCGGTGATGGATCGGGATTGTGGTTCGCGATGACATTCGAGGGGTTCAGAAAGACCTACATCTGCACTAAAACGGCGCGGAAAAAGACGATGTTAGTTCACTGGTTCCATAACGATGCATAGACGCTGTTGCACGGGGTTTATGGGACGTACTGGTTGCGAGTTTTCGTTGTTGTCGGCTGTCGGTCGCTGTGTTCCAGGCGGAGCTGTCGATTGTCAATTTGAGGATTTCGCTCGCTTAGCAAAGGTGGACCGATCTGGGTACCCTAAGCCCTAGTTATTACCCATTTCCGTTATACATTATGTAAGCAACCCCGGCCGACCCGACCAATTATAACTTGGCAGTGCATCTACATACGTCAGGTATAGTAGATAGCCCTGGAGATGTTCTACTAAAAATAAATGAGTGTCTTTTTTGCCCTTAAAGGTATATCCTGATCAAGCACAACAACTATTTCGATCATGAACTCAGCTGGAAATATCAATACGCCAAGAGAAGGCAACAATAGGCCACAGCAGCCTTAGGAAATCAAATAATTGAACTAGAGAAGGTAGTACAAAGGTGAACGCCAGATACATGATCCCAAAGCCCCAACGCCATGCATATGATACAGCAGACTTTCTTATCGACCCCTAGATGGTCGACCACATCTTTGAATTAGACATAAAATCATCGTCCTCCATATCTTCGGACTCCGCTTCGTACATGTCCTCTTCAAAATCAGCAATTCCATACGTCTGATCAACATCGCTTTCGTCGGTGTCCATTCCTTCTGCGCCCAAACTAGCGAAGTACTCTCTGTTCTGTCGCTCTTCATCTTGCTGTGCGATCCTAAACTCAACAACTGTGACAGCACGGACAAGAGTTTTCAATGGGACTGCAGCAAGCTGTGCTGCTAACTCGTAAAAAGTCCGTGCGGGGCCACTCAGATGTGATTCCCATCGATACCGGTGATACCACTCGCCGGGACGCCTGTGATCAACCTCTTCGTCGTCAGGGATGACCCTTCTCGCCCTAAGGGCTTGCATGACTGTTTGTAGCAAAAGGTCGAGCTTGTCTCCAGTCGTGTTAGGAGGGGGAGGACCAGAAGTAGAGGGTGGTTCCGGGGCAAGGGGGGCAAGGGGAGAGGCTGGATCAGCTGGAATAGATGTAGAAGATGGATCCGGGACAGCGGTAGAGGTTGGTTGGATATCTTGTTCTGCTCGGCTGACGGGAAACATTTCGGCGATGCGATTGGGTTCCTTAGAAGTATCCAGCCAACTGCTTTCGTACCAGTCCATGTAATGGTCCAACTGGGCAGACGTCATGTTCAACACATCTTGATCTGTGATCTGAATGGCAGTCTTTTTTCCAATCTTTCCCCCAAATGGCTGATCATGATCGAAATTGTTCTGGGCACGTGCCCAGAGGGTCCAGTCCATGACCTGCGCCGCGGGCTCTTTAGCTGTAGTAGGATACCTTTTCAAATCATCGATAGGGAAAAGTAGTTTCGTAGAAATGACAATCAGCACTACCATTTGCAGGTCGGGAAGTAAAAGTGTTGTTCTTCGACCATCGTATGAACTTGGCGTCGGATATTGGAATGTGAAGCCTAGTAGATCTTGCAAGATCCTAGTTGCTTCATATATTTCAACTAAAACTTGTTAGCCAACATAAACTGGACAACCACGTGGCAAGTGTTTCTCATACTTGGTAAAGCTAATCTCTTGATGAGCCGGAAAAGAACCATGGGCGAATTTAATGGAGGAAGCTCCAATTCAAACCGTCTCTGATAGAATAGCGCTAGCGCCATGATACCACGGTGGAAACGATCGGCATTAGGTATTGTCTTTGTCAAAATCAGTCCAAGGCCAACCCAGAAAGTGTTCCGGAGTCAGATTACACTCACATTGACTTCAAGGATCGCAGTCAGTTCTGGCGGAAGCCTATCCCTCATTTCCCGAGGGACGGTTGCTAAGACTCGGGCGTAAGGGATCTCCTGTCGCATTATCATACTACAGAATGTAAGTATTGCCCATCCTAGAAGCAAACGACCGAGGAAACAATACACATACTCGTGAAAATCAATGACACAGACAGGAAGCCGCATCAAAAATGCTGCGAGATAACACAGTGCAACGGAATCAATCAGACGAGGCCATTCAAGATATCTCGAGTTTGGTTTAAATCCATCGCGAGATCCATCTTTCCCTGCCGGCTGTGAGCTGAACAGCTCAGATTCGGTATCATCATCGTCATCTCCAGTAGCATCAGTGATCCTTGATTCAAAATCTTGCAGACGAAGAGCCCAGAGATCGCGAACAACAACCTAATGTATGGTGAGCTTTAATCCTTGGACATATAAAGCAACATGTAGACATACCTCAAGTTCCTCTGGGAAACCGTGATCATGAATCAAGACATGGCATTGTTTCCAAAGGATGAGCTGGTAGATTTGCAAGAATAGCGTGTACGCCGGACGGCCACGAAGTGCTTTTGACAAAAGTCAGCACCAAGAACGATGTTCAAACTGCTGATTACATACTCTTGCTGGCCTTCTCCCTGGTTTCTTTTTTCAGGCGATGTGTTTTGCCTAGGTTACCAAAATCGGCATCTTCGGCGACTTGGACACCCTATGCAATCACATTAGCCGTGTACTTCTTGACATATGATGGCGATAGGATAAGGTTAGGAAAGCCGTTGGGCGCCATACCTCCTGCAAATGACCGCGCCGACAATACCAAAGTCCGTTGTCGAGATAGTATCGGGTCTCACGGCAACCTTCTTGACCGCAGACCCCTCGGGTAACGTAGTCCATCCCCAAGGGATTTGTTCATGCTTGTTTGAAAAAGAAAGGTTGGTATACCGAAATGGCGGGACTTTTTTTCTGCCTCCATCCAGTGACCGCCGATTTTGTCGCTCCACATGTCCCGCAATGCGCGCGCTGTGATTGATCCGTGGACTATCTCAGACGATTAAATTGCCAGGTTTTAGGTCCTTCTGTACTTTTTATTATTATTGTTTCGTTTTCTGGAGTTACACTTGTGTATATATTGTGGGTTGAGGGGGTGTTATTAAGCTCTAAATCCTTTCGTCTACGTTATAATTACTGCAACCGATCAGGTAGTCAAGCAAGATTGAGTATTTATTCATTCATCACACTATCATGAGATGCTGAGACTCAGAACTGTTCGGACAACACATATCATGCCAACCAAAGCAATTCTCGGTCCAGCCCACATCCAAGGTTATGTGGGGGACAGATCTTGAAGCAATAGGAATAATCGTTCAGAGAATCGTATCCTCCTTTGAACCATGAAAGATAAAATTTTTGGCGGGCTTTGAGCCCTCGTGGAACATAAAGGTTGGCATAACAGGTAATAAATCCAAGTATTAAATTTAAGCCTTGGGGGCCTCCTTGCACTCCATAGCGGCCTCCTCGCCCATGGCGGTAAGGACGACGATGTCTAATTGGCACTATGTCAGCAAAACTTCTGTAGAAGTTTGGAAATGGTGTAACTTACTGCACTCCTTCTCCTCGGTAGTGAACATCTGGTTGATCTTCTCACCAACCTCGTTGTCGGGGACCTTGACATCATCCTTGGTGTCACCGCTGTCGGTCATGAGGGACATGAAGCCATCCTCGGTGATATCGAGCTAACTTTCGGTCAACAAAACAGTCCAAATTTCAAGTCATCAGGGAAACTCACGAGCTGGTACTCCTTGCGGATAACGTGGGGGACATCCATGTTGTGGGTGGAGGGGGAGAGATCCTCAAGCTTCTTGCCGGTGAAGATATCGGTGGCGATCAAGTGAACCTTGGCGTGACCGTGCTTTCCAGTCTTGGAGGTAGACATGTCAATGATCTTGCAAGGGCGGTTCTTGATCACAACGTGGCCGTTCTTGCGCAGAGCAGAACACTGCATGGGGTAGGTGAGCGAAGCTCCGGCATCAGCCGACTCGAAAGTGACATCGTGCTGTAGTGAATCATGTTAGCAAGCGCTTTAAAAATTGCCAATATGGCGGGGTTAAGAGTCCAAGATGGCCTCGTGCCCTCGAGAAGAAGAGGGAGCCGCATGCGGGGCTGGGACAGAAATCCTCAATACAGCCATTGGGGGATCTCGAATTTGTAAAAGAAAGTACATACCTCCTCGGCAGACATGGTGAAAAGAGGTGGAGGGGTTGAAAGAGGGGGGTTTTTCAAATAATTTGGGGAGGGGAAAAATGAAGAGAAGAGGAGAGAGAAAATCAAACGAACTAAAATCTATCGTGGGCGGCGACGCTGTGGCGGGGTCGCTTACTGGACGCTGATTGGTCATGGAGGGTTGTCCACCTTGTTGGGTTTAGTGTATATAGGAGGAGAGTCCGAGTGTCCTGAAACAACCTAACAGTTACAACTGTTCGACCTTATTCTTGAGGTTACTTGGTGCATTTTCCCAAGTATACTCTGGATTTCTTGATTTCTTGATTTCTTGATTTTGTTTTGAACTCCCATGCCGTTCATCCTTTTACATAATGTGGCGCGACCGGATATCAGTCCAGTCAACTCCCTCCGGAGCCAATAGCCGCAACCTTTCTCCTCTACCGCGACGATCATCCTCCCAGCTATCTCCAAGTCCCTACAATAGCCGCCCTGGTGTAACATCTAGAACTTCATCAACATCTCTTCTCGTGACCCCCAACGACTCTACAGCCTCTCTGTCAACTGCGCGGACGACCAATGGCTCTCCTTTAAAGCAGACGAGTATTCAACGACCTCGACCGGCCAATGTCCCGGATCCGCTGGAAGTCTTGAATAAAATAATCGGGAAGGAAGCCCGAACAGATAAGGATGTGCCGCAACTATCATCAGTGCCGGAACGACCAGGACATTTGGTGGAAGCCATCCGTTTCGACGGGCTGAGCCTCGAGGACTTTCTGGAAAAGGAGGACCCAGCACCAAGGAAAAAGACCCGGGAAAGTGATGTAAACGCGCAAACTGTTCAGCAATTTGAACAAGAGCGAGATAAGTTCCAAGAGTTACACACATCCATTACTGGATGTGATGAGGTGTCCAAGTCAGTTGAGCTGTACTTGAATGACTTCCAGAATGAACTGGGTGCAGTATCGGCGGAGATCGAAACTTTGCAATCTCGCTCAACACAATTGAATGCAATGCTAGAGAACAGGCGCAACGTGGAACGGTTGCTGGGACCCGCCGTGGAGGAGATCAGCATCTCCCCTAAGGCTGTGCGGACAATTGTCGAGGGCCCGATTGATGAGAATTGGGTGCGTGCACTGAATGAGATCGATTCTCGAACAACAAATATTGAAGCCAAGGCTGCCGCTTCCTCCAATGGCTATAAAGCCATCGAGGATGTACGACCCCTTTTAACGGACGTGAAGACCAAAGTGAGTATTCTGCGCTCCTCATAAATTATCTAGACCTGCATTAACACCTATATAGGCAGTTCAAAGGATCAGAGACTATCTTGTGTCGCAAATTCGTGCGATGCGATCGCCAAACATCAACTCTCAGATTATCCAACAACAGCGACTGGTGAAGTTTAAAGATCTTTATAGTTATCTCTCAAAGGTCCACCCGAAACTGGCAGGAGAGATATCACAGGCGTACATCAACACAATGCGCTGGTATTACACTTCTCATTTCACACGCTACCTTCAAGCACTCGATAAAGTCAAGGTTTATCCTCCTGACCGCAACGAGGTGCTTGGAGGCGATCCATCTACACATCGATCAGGTAAGAGCTATGCTTCTCTGATACCACCCATATACTGATTATTTCAGGGAACATGATGCCTGGCGGCCGAGCTGGCTCTGCCGTGCATGACCCTTTCTCCCTGGGTAGACGCATTGATGTCCTCCGAACTGGCAATCTCCAGGCGTTATCCTCATACCTGGCCGAAGAGGATAATACCTACCATGGAATCGAAGTTCCATTCCGCAACTTCAACCTCGCATTGGTGGACAATGTGTGCGCCGAGTACTCTTTCCTGACTGAGTTTTTCTCCCCAAAGACCTTCCATCAAATCTCTCGCAATGCCATGGAAATATTCCAGCAAGTTTTTACCCTTGGTCAGAACCAGACCAAGAAGTTAATCGAGCACACCACGGATTCTTTAGGTGTTCTCATGTGTGTTCGCCTCAATCAACATTCAGCGTTCGAGCTTCAGCGCCGAAAGGTGCCCGTCGCCGACTCGTATGTTAATGGTACCAACATGCAGCTCTGGCCGCGTTTCCAGGTAATTATGGATCAACACGGTGACTCGCTCAAGCGAGTTGGGTCCAACACTGGGCGTAGTGCTGTCTCCGCCCTTTCGATCGCAGGTGGAGACGACTTGAAGCAGTCTTCAGCGCCTCACTTTTTGACTCAACGATTTGGACAGCTTCTTCATGGAATCCTGGTGCTCAGTAGCGATGCTGGTGACGATGAGCCGGTGTCCAACAGTCTGGCCCGGTTGACTGCTGAATTCGATTCTCTTTTGGCAAAGTTGAGTCGTAATGGCACAGACGCGAAGCGAAGAGAGCGATTCCTCTTCAACAATTATTCATTGATTTTAACCATCATTAGCGTATGTTGTTGTCTCTGTATTTTAAGGACGCGCACTAATCAGAAACAGGATACCCAAGGCAAATTAGCAGTTGAGCAGAAGCAGGTAAGCATTTGAATGGTGTCCATTAGAGATCATATGACTAACTTGGCTTGCAGCATTTGGAAGAGATGCTCAAGAATAGCAGCAGCACCAAGCGGTAGGAAGCGATTGCATACATCGCACAGATGCACATTCCATGTGGAATAACAACATAATGCATTTAGATATCCTTTCATATATAAAGATTTTAATTGATGTGTATACTTATCCCGGCATTTGCAAGACTCTTGTATGCATCTAAATATGTAGAAAGAGGACTTGAAAATATATATTGTAACAATATAAAGGTAGATTCAAGCGCTCGGATTGGAAGCACAGACTCAAGCACCTGCTACTCTTGAGAACACCTGATCTTTTGCGTTAGAGTGAATATATATATCTGAAGTGTCGGCTTTTGCATCAACTGCCGTATGCAGCTGGACCTTAAGGATGTTGATCTTCACGGCTATTCTACCCCACATTTTGTCTTCCTCACCACAACTCGGCTATGACCAGGATCCCTAAATCCCTCGCTAAGGCATGTCTACAATGTCGATCTCGAAAGATCCGTTGTGACACGAGCCGGCCTCGCTGTTCGACTTGCGAGACCCAAGGCCGGGAATGTATTTATCGGGTGGAGACGCCGCGGCAGAGGTGTGCATGTTCCCTTGCGTTTTGGATACCTGGCTAACCAATGTAGACCGACACTGGCTCAAATAAATCGGCTACAACAAGAGAATACAGAGCTCAGATCTTTCATTGCAAAAGTGAAAGGCGATGAGGGAAATATACCCAGCCTAGCAGTGACTGAAAGTCTTGAATCCAACCAGAATTCACCTAGCCAGAACCGCCAGCAAAGCCTCGACAGTATAGCTTCTTCAGATGAAGAATTTGATGTTGCACCTTTTATATCTGTAGACGAGGCAGGTCGACTTGGCACCTTTGGCCTTTCATCTGCCCTGCATTATCCAAATAAAAGTGAATCGTTGCACACAGTGCCTTCAGCTCAATTGCTGAACAGGGAGCACTTGAAGAACAAGCTTATTGCTAATGCAGCCCTACAAAGACAAAACGAGCGTCTGCTATTGAATCTTCCAGATATTGATGGTGTGCCTACTGAGCTCGCTCTGCATCTGTTAGATGTGCACTGGGCTCGGCAACATCACACCTTTCTTCTAACATATCGACCGGCAATCATGCGTGATCTACCTAAAGCCGATGGTCCAAACTGCTCCCGATTTTTACTGAATGCCATATTTGCCTGCGCAAGCAAATTTTCCTCGCGCATTGATGTGCGCGATGACCCGAGTGATTCAATCACGACCGGCCGGCGTTTCTTCCGGCGCTGTGACGAGCTCCTAGCCCGAGAATCCCATCTTATTCGCCCAAGTATTCCAACAATAATTGGTCTTTTGCTCCTCGGGTCGACATTTATTGCCCGTGGTGAAACTTCAAAGGGCTGGTTATACACAGGCTACGCTCTGCGCATGGTCTATGATCTGGGTTTACATCTCGACCCCAAGCAAACAAATGATGACGTAGAAGAAATGGAGATTCGTCGTCGTGTGTTTTGGGGTGCTTTTGTCTGCGACAAAATACAGAGTCTCTACTTGGGCCGGCCTGTCGCTATGGACCTGCGCGACTCGCATGTCAGCCGTGAGTTCCTTGATACATTTGAGGAACATGAGTTATTTATGCCGTCTCCCGACTCGAAATTGTATAAATCATCCTCACAGCCCCCGATATATTCCATCTCTACTTTTCAACAGCTTTGCCTCCTGTCCAGGATCATGACCAAGATCACCAATCACTTCTACACAGTCGGCAGCGTGCGGTCCTCGAGCTCTGCCATGACTAGTCTCCAGGTCGCAGACAAAGCCCTCAATTCCTGGAAACAAAACCTACCAACCGAACTAGACTTCAAACCATCGTCACCTTCGGGTGCTCATTCCCAAGCCTACCCAGCTCCAAATGTAATGAACCTCCACGGCATCTACAACTCTCTCATCATTCTCCTCCACCGACCCTTTATCTCCGATGGCCATTTACGATCTGTTAAAACGTCAGCTTCATCATGGGGACGCTGCACCACAGCCGCAAATAACATCACGAGTATCTCGCTGGCCTATAAATCGGCATACGGTCTCCACGGTGCACCCTACATCCTCAGCTACGCCATCTATGTAGCATGCACAATTCACGCCCGAAACGCCTTCGCAAATGCACACTGCAAGGAGCATATCTCTCGCTTAGCAGCAGGTCTCACCTGTCTCGATGATATCTCCGTGGTGAATCCTGGTGTCTGCAAGCCTGCAAGCATTATACGGAAATTGGCCGAGGCAAGCAAGCTTGACCTTTCCGCTGCTAATACAGTGGCCCCCGCTTTTCAGGTTGAGTTTGTTTCTCCGGCGGATGGTTTCAATGCCGGGGTTGAGCTTGATGCTATCGTTGAGATGTTCCCAAGTAGATATTCTGCTCTTGGTAATGGTCTAGAGTTTCCCACTGAACAGGAACACGATACGGCTTTGTTTGGACTTGATATTCCATATGATCCGTTGTTTGGGTTCATGGATGGTTCTATGGATTTGCCTGGGCCGGAGACGGCTCTTTTGTTTGCTGAGAATCCGTGAATATGCTTGTATATCACGAAGATACAACATTGAATATCATCTGCATGAACTGGAATGTCCTCGAAATAAATGACTCTCAAGCCAGCATAATCATCATGTGATAGATCACCCTCATCTTCCCTACATGTAGGCAACCACAGCCCCCGGGGGCCGGATGACTCACAAATAGAAGTACGACCTTTTCTTTGTATCTTATTCGAAGTAGATAACCACTGAAGCCCCGTTCCACTTAAGTAAAAAGATTGTCTTCTATGTCTGCTATTTGTCTGATAATTTGACAACCATACCTCCTAGATAATTATCGTCTAACACGGACACGACAAGATGACAGCCACCACAAGCATCCCCGTGACCATCCCAAAAGATGGCTCACTGCCCAAGTCCATGATCAAAGACATTATCGGTACATTTCTTACCAACGAGTGGCCAAACGTGGACCCAGAAAAGCTCATTGTGACACGCAATACTGGATACGCAAATACAAACTGTGTAGTGGAGCGACCAAATCCAAAGAGCGACATAAATTCCGAGCCTTTCAAGGTATTCCTCAAACTCCACGGCGAACTCGACGGAGAAATCGAGGTGTTAAAACACTTAGTTCCCAACAAACACGAAGAGGCACAACTATGCCATGCTTACGCTCAATCTGGTCTTGGTGCCAAAGTGTATGGTTTCTTCCAGACACAGGATGGCACTTTCGGAAGGATCGATGAGTTCTTAGATGCACGAAATTTGGAACCAGCAGATGTGGAAGACTCACATATCCGAGCTGAGGTTGCAAGGGAACATGCCGTTTTTCATACCATGCCGACACAACGAGAGAAGAAGCCGGTTCAGTTATATTACTATGCAGTGACCAGAGAGCTTGCAAGATATCACAAGATGGAGAAGCTAAAGAGGCTTGCGAAAGAAGGAGGCGTTAACATGGACGATCTTGTTGATTATGACTTCGTGTCTAGAATAAGACTAGTCACGGACAGACTAGACTCCATCGGCGGAAAAAAGGGGTGGTGCATCCACGATGTTCAATTCATGAATACGATGGTGAAGAACAGTCCCAAGGAAGAAGAAAGAAAGGTCGTGCTTATAGATTTTGAATTCGTTTTTCAAAATTACCGAGGATTTGATATCGGTGGACACTTTTTGCAAAAGATGTTCCAGTGGTTTGATGAGGAGAATAAGATTGCAGCCTGTCGACCTTATACGGAGGAAGAGAAGAGGCATTTTTGTGAGGAATATGCAAAGCAATGGAATGAGCAGACTGGTGATTCGGATACAGGGGAACGGGTTTTTATGGAATCTGAGCTGGGGTTCATGCTGGCCATCACGTTCGAAATTCATAACATGCTTTGTTTTATGGATCAGGATGATGATAAAGACCCGTTGAGCATCTTGGGGCTTAACAAGCTGTTTGAGGAGTTTGTTAATCAATATAAAAAGCTGGGTCTAGGGAGTTGAGAGGGTTTCGGTCGATGCAGTATCCAACGACGCATTCTCGCCTGTTTTCTCTGTTATAGAAGATCAATGGAATAAATTTATACTCAGCACTTCCTTGGGATATAATTCACTTCTGCATGTTTCGGTCATTGGAGGCTTACCGGCGCGGTGACACGACTTCAATTTAAGTAGCAACCAGTGTCTGTCGTTACCACAGCCTGCTTCAAGTCAATAGAGTACGAAGTATAACCAGTCGATTCCGCAAAGCACAAAGCAAGATAATTATGACCATCTCAGCCAACAGAAAAGTTCAAAAGTCCATTGAGGAAGTACCTTATAATTCAAGCATCCGGATCCAGATCCCAACAAGACCGATCAGATCCTTTCCCAAGCATAGGCACCCCCTCAATCCGGGGTAAACCCTAAGCACGCAGCTGCATATCCGATGTGACGCATATGCACCCCCTCTACACACACCCCTCAAGACACAATAGCCGATAACACCGTATCCCATGAATAATTCGCCAATTGGCACTGGAATCACACAGCCCATTTGCAGTGTCCGTCCGGGCCAATTCCCGCTCTTGCCGCAGCGGTCAAGAAGTTATCCAACACATGTGTCTCGATGGGTCGATTTGGACGCCTCATTTGACAGCTCTGACAACCCCCGGATTCAAATTTAAGCTATCGGTTATATCCCGTTCCGCGTGACCTGGCTTCGATTTTCTGATTCGGGAATTGCTTCTTTTTAGCTTGGCGGGTGCCGCGGGGAAGGGAGCGGTGAGTTGATTGGGGGTTCCTGGTGCGAGATAGGGACTTTCTTTTTGGCTTCGTCTCGCTTTTTCCGAGGAGTTTGGTCAGCTGGTGGGGAAGAGACTTTTGTTCTTTTGGGTTTAGCATGTCCGGGATATTGCTGACAGGTACCCGGGTGTTTTGGCCGTCTAGATGGCGCAGGAGGCATCTCGTGAGATGTTCAAGACATCCATTGATAAGAAATGACACATTGATGATTAATCGATATCAATCGATATCAATCCAGACCTATACAAGATCCATGACAGCTGAAGTCCAGGATGAACCCCCTGCGCCGAACTCCGCAGAGTTCTCCCGATTCGACCTCACTTGGCGCAAACGTAAATGTAAACGTAAACCTCGTATCCGAGGATCTAGAAGAATTGAAGACACGGGAAATCACATAGATAGCGATCTCCAATATTAGTGGAGCCGAATGCAAGCACAAAAATGACGCCGATCTCGACCCACATCGAATTGTAAGTGTCAATATGTATACTTCGTCCGAAGTAGGCGTTCAATATCGCATGGAGCGCTTTGATATGGCGGGCTGACAACAGATCCCACTATTTCATAAGCTCACCTCTTTCATAAGCTATATATATTGCTTTGATCATCTTGCTTCCCCCTCTTTCCATTGCAAAAGACTTTGGTATCTGATCAACTTTTCCCTTCTCTTCCCTCCTCATAACACACCGTCACACCATACCTTTAATCATGGCTATCTCTATCCCTAAGACCATGCGTGCTTTGCAGTACTCAGAGCCCAAGAAGCACAAGATCGTTGAGGTCCCCGTGCCTGAAATCCGCGAGAACGATGTCCTGGTATGGGAGCCGTCCATCAATTCGCAGGAAAGCGAACTGACTAAACCCTCATCAGATCAAGGTCAAGGCCTGCGGTGTTTGTGGTACTGACCTACACATCCACGAGGGTGAATTCATTGCCAAGGTATATATTCACCATAAACATCGTAAATTGGTGCCTAACAAATCTCTAGTTCCCTTTGATCCCCGGCCACGAAACCGTCGGCGTAGTCGCCGCCATTGGACCCAAGGTCAAAGACTTCGAGATCGGCGAGCGAGTCGTCGCCGATAACTCCGAGCTGTGCGGAACATGCTTCTTCTGCCGTCGTGGGGATGAGCTGTTCTGTGAGCACTTTGAGGCTCACGGCGTGACGATGAACGGCGGTTTTGCTGAGTACTGTGCCTACCCTGGTGAGTAGAGTAATGGCATATCAAAAGAGTACCGGGCTCTTGATACTAATTTCGGATGTTGATTTAGCTGGTAGAGTCTTCAAGATCAAGAACCTATCCGACATCGACGCGACTCTCCTCGAGCCCGCCTCTTGCGCCGCCCACGGTCTGGACAAGATCGCCCCGAAGATGGGCTCGTCCGTCCTGATCTTTGGTGCCGGTCCTACTGGTCTGGTGCTGGCTCAGATGCTGCGCCAGAACGGCGGTTGCAATGTCGTCGTCGTCGCTCCTGGTGGGTTGAAGATGGATTTGGCTCAGAAACTTGGTGCTGGTGATAAGTACATTGAGCTGTCGCGTGAGGCTCCCCAGGCTCAATTCGATGCTCTCAAGGCTGAGAATCCCTATGGATTCGATATTGTTGTTGAAGCTACTGGTAGCCAGAAGATTCTTGAGGACTCGATCAACTATGTTCGTCGTGGTGGTAAGTTGGTGGTGTACGGCGTGTACTCGAGTGAGGTTCGGGTTTCGTGGTCACCGGCTAAGATCTGTGAGTTTTCTTGTTTCTTTCTCTTTAGTCTTGATTTGCCTGCTGATTTTCCTTCCAGTCGGCGATGAAATCACCATCCTCGGCAGTTTCTCCGAGACCTACAAGTTCCCTGCTGCTGTTGACTATCTTGACTCGGGCAAGGTCAAGGTGGATGGAATTGTGAACAAGGTGTACAAGATTGAGCAGTGGGAGGAGTGTCTTGAGGCGATGCGTAACAAGACTGCTATCAAGGCTGCCATCACCTTCGATTAGGTCTGGATATTGTTGTGAATTTCATCATACAAGATACATTTTCATAGAGGATAGTTAATAGAATTGACTCTTCCTGGAACTATGGGGGCATCTTGGCTTTATATGTACTTGAAAGTGAGGACCTTGATAGACCGACAAGGTACTTTTGATATTAATAATTATTGGGATAATCCCATCTCCCATTATTTACTTACAGAATAAGCGCTCGTTTCCTAGATTCAGAGTATAAATCCACTGCTTTCCTATGGGCTGAATATCAAGACTCTTCCTCTACTTTCTTAGCAGTCCGCCAAGCATAATCTTATTATGAGATATGATGAGTGGTTTGCACTGAGACATAATTTATACTAACATATGTAAGAATATATGTATACAAAAAAGGAAAGGAAGTCGAAAATGGTCTATGGCAGCCCGAGATCTGTCCCAACCCCCTATGACGAGATTCTGCAGACTTCCTGGTCGGACTTGGTGGGGACGACGAATGCTACAGAAGAATGTTTGTCCTTCAAAAATTCCAAACGAAAGAAGGTTGGTTCGATAGACTTGATAAATTCCCAGGGGGATGCATGATTCTTCTAATCTACGAAGTGAGCAGAGTAACCTTGGAATAGCCCCCCAGAGCGGTAACCCCGAAGCGGTACCGCCAACCCTAATTTCTCCAGCAGAAAGAACTAGTTTACTCCGTCATCAGCCAAGCTCTACCTCCAACAACCACCCAATTCCCCAAACACAAATCCACCACAATGGTCAAGCCCCTCACATTCAAAGGCGACAAGCCAAAGAAACGCAAGACCCGCACCATAGAAAATGATGCGCGAGCTCCCAAATCGCGCAAAACCGAACCCGAGCCAGAACCAGAGGACAACCCAGAAGACCAAAGCTGGGTCTCCGCCGACTCCCCAAGCGATATCGCCGGCCCAGTAATCATAGTCCTACCCTCAGACGACCCAACCTGTGTCGCTAGCGACGCCAACGGCCAAGTCTTCGCCAGCAAGCTCGAGAACCTCGTCGACGGAGACCCAGGAACGGCAGAACCGCACGACGTGCGACAAGTCTGGGTTGCGTCGCGGGTGGCGGGGACGGAGTCATTTAGTTTCAAGGGACATCATGGAAAGTAAGTACTAACAATGAAACTGTGTTCTATCGCAGTTTACACATATTTACACCCCCCTCCCCAAATTCCCATATTCCCATTCTGTATTTGCCTCTTTTTTCATCTCAAAACTAACAACCAACCTCTCCAACCAGATACCTCTCTTCCGACACACATGGCCTTTTCACCGCAACCGCTTCAGCAGTCAGCCAGTACGAATCCTTCCTCGCAATCCCCTCCCCGGAAGTCACGGGGACATTCTCCCCCTCAAACGCACGGCGGCGACGGCGAGTCCTTCCTCTCAATAAAAGAAAACAGCAAAGCCGCATCCGGCGTTGAGATCCGCGGCGACGCGAATACGATTTCCTTTGAGACGACTGTGCGCGTGCGCATGCAGGCGAGGTTCAAGCCGAAGTTGCGCGCATCGAAAGAGAGCAAGGCGTATGAGAAGATTAGTAAGAAGGAGCTTGAGGGGATTGTTGGGAGGGGGCTGAATGATGATGAGGTTAAGAGGTTGAGGAAGGGGAGGAGGGAGGGGAATTTCCATGAGGTTTTGCTTGATGTTAAGGTTAGCGGGAAGCATGATAAGTGGGCTTGAGATGGAGCAAGTCGGATCTTTGGGTTCTGTTTGCTGGCGAGATTCTTTCGAGTTGTGCTAGCTAGCCACGGGCTTGGTGTCGCGATGACATCCGGGCTGGATCACTATAGGCTTTCCGATGTTCTCGTCTATTTGTTGGTCTAGCCTGTTGGGATTTAGGACGTTGCGAATGCATCGCGTGAGCCCCGCCCATATTGAGAGGAAGCTCAACATGCTGGGCTTCGTGGATTCAAGTCCCGGCGAGCGAACCATGCAGGTGATGCATGGTATCTCTGCAAGCCTTCGAGGGCTACCATGAAGAGACACGAGGGAGGAGGTTTAACGGCCCATGATATCAGCCTAGATTGTGGTTCATGCGTCTATCAATCGGAGAACTCGAATATCATTGTGAATAATGTACAGCGAAGTACAAGACATGAATGACAAATCTCTCTTCCAGGGCTGTACGAACCCCATTTTATATTTTCTCCTCTGGTAACCGTAAGCCTAAACCCTTTTGATCTGTGTACAAGTTGTGTAAGTTAAGAAAATATCAAATATCAACGGAGTACAAGACAAAACATGAGAATTTAAAATCTCAAATCAAACATTCAACTTAACTTCAATTAACATCAACAACGCAGACATCCATTTGTAGATAGAGATAGTTCTGATTATGGAAGACATAATTCGTCACGCAGAAACAGATCTATGGCGAGATGCGGGGCGGTAATGACAGAATGGGGGGATGTGTCCGGTAGAGCAACAAGCCCTGGGTATGAATTCTAACAACAGTAGTACAAACAAGACCTCTGAACCTCGAGCAAAAGCGTGGAACGTGAGCACACACAAAAAAAAGGCGCGATGGACTGGAGTTCAGGGGGAACATAACGGAGAAAAAAACAGCAACCGCGTCCACATTGTGGAAAGCATTCTTTGAGAAAGAAGAAAGGTAGACGAATAAAAGAGAAATAAACGAAGTGGCGGGGCGATATCTGTGTTAAAAAAGAGAAAGAGAGAAAAATAGCAAAACTGGTCAAATCTAGGGTCATAAGGAGTCTCTTTTACCACGAGGATAAGTCCCAGAAGATGAGATGGGACACAAATTGGTAGGGAGGTTGAGGCAGACGATTGTACAGAGATAGGCGAGGAGCAGAGGAGGAGGCATTGAAGGTGGATGGAGGAAAGAAAGGCAGTAAACGGGGATGGAAAAGGAATCTAGGAGTTGAGCGATAGGCCCTGGAACCGGTTGATCCATTCGCCTTGCGCTGGGTGGGCGCGGGAAGAACCATTGGAGCCGCTGATGTTGCCGGGGTATTCGAATGAATCTGGGGGAACAAAGCTAGATGGCATCTGTGAAGCGAAGATGTCCGAATGAGCCGGTCCTTCTGAGTGATGGGAGGACTGAGAGAAAGGCTGGTAGGACTCTCCGTAGGATGTGCGAAGCATGCCCACAGGGTTTGACATTTCTCGGCCCGTGTCGATGGTATCTCGCGATGCAGGATAGGACCTGTTCTCAAGTTGGTGGCGACGGTCTGCTTCCTGGCCATAAAGGGGGTTGGGCATGGTGCCAGGACCTGCCAGGCCAGCAGTAGGGGGTGTGACAAATGAGGCCGGGTTGATAGCCGACATCCAGATGCGAGTTTTGTAGATCTTGAACAGGTCAGTCACCAGGGAGTTGAAATTGATGTACGAATCAGCAAAGTAGTAGAACGTAAGCTTTTTCCAATCCCTGCATAATAATTAGTTCAACCGTCATGTATAACAATCGAAATCTCGTAGACTTACATTTGGAACTCGGCATCAAGGATCTCCATATTAAGCCGGTGCTCAACCACTTTCTGCTGGCAGACCCGCTTGGCTTTGGCTTCATTTCCTTCCTTATCGTGCAAAGTCAGGACCTCATGTTGCTGTGCCAACCGCTTGATGAGCTTTGGTTTGATTTCTGTCGCGGGTTCCTGCGCACTGTGGGGGCCATGGGGACCCATGCCACCTGTGGCACTTCGAGTGTTCATGCCCGAGTTGGGGTTGGTGAGGGTGGACCCCTCAGGCTGGCCGTGCCTAGAGAAAATCATGAGGGTCTTGTAATGCTCTTCCGCGTAATGCTGCTTCAACTCCCGCGCCTGTTGGAGCGATATGTTTGCATGAATGACGGTTCCCAAATCTGTTCCTCGATCCGCCTCCACAATGACGAGATCACCGGTTTTCACCTGAAGACCAGTATCTTCTTGGATGTAGAAAACGTCCGCGCGGCTGCATTTGAAGGCAACAATGTACAGCAGCTGATTTTGATGAGCATGGGACAATGCGGATGGCTGACGACCATACGCATTCGACATCGCATATTGGCTGAGAGATGATGGGATACCTGAGGAGCCATCTCCTCGTAAGGTCTGTTCGCGGGAGTAGTAGGGTTCTACAAGATATATTAGTTTGGTGCGATAGTATAAGGATGTAGCAAGTGAATAAACTCACGGTTAGAATATTCACTAAGGTTACCATAGCCGTCATCACGGTCTCCCATAGTGGCGCGAGGCGTAGCAGTAGAGTGCGAGTCCCCAGGACCGATTGAGCCATGACGCATCGGAATCTCGGCGAAAGAGTGTCGGCGACTTTGAGGCATATCGGGGATGCCACCAAAACCTAGAGACGTTTGCCAATGAGCCTTGCGGACATTGTCTAAAGCACGGTTTTCCAGTGGAGAGGCGAATGACGAGAACTGCGCTTCCGGGTGCGCCAAATGCTCAGAGAAGCGGCGACGAGGATTGCCACGCATGTTGTTGTATCCGGTAATATCACGCAATTCTCCTGGATCCTCTCCACCCAAATCCCCCTCTGGAACACCGCCTCGGATGCGATGCAGTGGATGGCCACCACCAATTGAGGCGGCTGATCCAGCTCGCTCACGGTATATGTTATCCATTTGACCTGCCGCAGCTGCTTGCCTTAGGAGTGCGTTCTCGCGCGCAAGCTGCTCGATCTGCCGAGCCTGACTCGCTGAGTAGCTCATGTCACTTTCCGAGCCGTTGAGACTCTCGTCGCCATCATCATCCTCGCGGACTCGGCCGAGCATTGCAGTATCGTGACCTAATTCACCGAGCATACTAGAACGTGATGCTCGAGGCTGAACGGTAGACATTTGGCCTGGACCGCGGGAGCGGCTTCCTGGGTATTGCGCACCGGCAGCGGGAGCCGCACCGGGCTTGCTAGCAGCGAGGCTGAGGAACTCAGGGTCCATCTGCCCAACAGAGTACGACTGAGAGCGGTAGGTTTTGTGAACTGGTTTTAACGGGATGGCGAATGGGATGGTGGATTGGATGGCGGATTCACCAGATATGGTACGGGTGATTGGGCTCAGTATTTCGTCTGGCATGTTGCTGCTCACAGGAGGTGGGTTGGTCATGGTTGGGGAGGGTACCATTTCAGCCAAGCGAGAAGGCGGTTCTTTGCGTGATTCAGTGTTCCAGATTCCTGTGCCTGTGCCCCAGGAAAATGCACTTCCTCCGGGTTGATTCCAATTGAACGATCCAGAAAGACCTGGGCTCGTAGTTGTTGCCCATGGTGCCTGATCACTAGCGGGGCTTGTAGGGTTAGATGGGGCGGAAGAAAGGTGTCCTCCAGACAGCGAATGCTTGCGCTGAGCAGAAAGCGGAACCTCATTCAGCCACGAGGTACGACGGACTGGTGGTTTGGTGGTAGGGGGATAATGTTCTGAGCTTGCGCTCCATGCTCTCCATCATCGTCCGAGGAAGCTAATGCGTCCGAGTCTGGGGTGGAGCGGCGCACACCTGGGTGAGTCTTCTCGAGGATGGCAGATGCTGTCGCCGCAGCGGGTGGGGTGGATGACTGAGCCATCGAGGTCGGTTTGTTGGAGGGCGCTGCCATTCTGGTAAGAGGAACACTGTTACAATGTTAGTATAGGATTCCTAGTGTAATATGTGTGACAAACGGGATTATTCTCTGCAGACTGTGCTACCATGAGCGCCACTTGACACCCAGTGAAGCAACACAACCAGAGCGGGGTTGTTTAATCAAGGAATAGCCCGAAACCATAGAGGGATGAGAAGTAGTTCACTGACCTGTACGATCTTTGTTAATGGCAAAGCTGTACTGTATAGGTGTCTCTTGGCTTAAACAAAAGAGAATGAACACATGCGATAACACCCGTCTTTGTTCCACGTGCTCGATGCGGTTGGGGTAAAGGATCGATCTCTGATCTTTAAACGGACGACGGTTCACTAGGTGTATGCGCTATGTTCAATTCTGGTTAAAGTAAAGTTAGCGATTGTTCTCATACTGAAGTCACGTAGTAAAGTAGGGGGCAAAAAGCACAATGACGGGAAATATAAGCATATGTAGGTGTGGCATGACCGAAAGCTGTAAGACAAAAGCGGAGATTGTGCAGATATGCATACACTCGGCCCCTCTTTGCGAGAGGGTCCAGAAGTGGGGATAGTAAAAAAACCCCCCTCAACCAAGAGAAAGCTGTGCACAACCCCGAATGACATGGATGTGAAGTACAATCGCGAGTAGAGAAGAAGAAGAAGAATGGGACATGCCCACAGAGAATAGAAATAGGAGAATAACCTGTAAGCAGACAGCGCCACAGAGAGGCACATTGCCCAAGACGTAGGAAAGCAACGCGACCGAGAACTAGACTCGAACGTACCTCAAGTTGGCGTCAAATATTTGAACGAGTCCTCTTTAGCCGGCGTAGCTGGGGCGTGTAGATCACCAAACACCTCTCAAGCAAAATAGTATCCACTCAGAAAATCGAGTCGAAAAATCAAAAGCAGTCGCGTGATCGCAATTGTGTCTAGGGAATTATCCACGTATCAGCCCAGTCGCGTTCAGGACAAGGGAAACTTGGTAGAAATGTTGCGCGACTCACCACTCTAATCGTTTCTCGCCAAATGTCTATCTGCAAGGTGCGCACGGTAATCGTGGATCTCGTCAGGAATTTTGGAGGAGTCCTGTACCCGAATTGGGCAGGTTAATTTCGAGTGAACGGAGGAACGAGAGCGGCGAGATGATGAGATGGAGGTTAGGTAGGCAACCGGCGAGAAGTAGAAGGGCGTTATTTGCGGGGATAGAACGCGGCGCGTGTCAAGGAAGATGCTGAATCTGAATGTTCGATGATCGGTCTATTAGGAGACGGGGAATGCGCTCGGAGAGTTTGCACGATCGAAGCTGTGAGCACAGATGACGTTGAGCGAGCCAGAACTAGGCTGAACTCCTTAAGGATGGCGCATCTTGCGATCGAAGAAGAGCGTTGATGATGATGAGAGTGGGAAGTGACGGGGAGGGAGGGGGAAGAATGTAAAAGATGAGGGGAACGCAAAGAGCCTGGGGTAACTTCTGTTACGGATCTGGCAACGTTGCCCCGGAGGACACGGACCACTATGGTTTGATCTTCGATTTTTTAGTCCTTTTTAGTCCTTTTTAGGGGGATTTTAGTGGTTTTCAGTGGGCTTACAGGGTTTTCTTTTTAGTGGGTTCTTTTTTTGAAGACATAAAAATTATACAGAATACATTCATGGATTCTGATTACACTATAAATATAGATGAAATAAATGAGAAGAGGAAGACGGAGCTCTCCATATTAGGGGAAAGTGGCGTAGACCCCCATCCAGAACAGGCGGGTCCCTTGGAAAAATAGGCCGATCATCTGGGGTTGTGGGCACTCATTTCCAAGTACATCTTATAACTAGGTAAAACATTACAATATACTAAGGTATATAATATATATAATATAATAGTATCTATATCTACATCTAGTACTGTAATAAAAGAAAAACCCTCGCACGGCCCTCGGGTCGCACACTTGCGGGGCAAATAAGCCCAGACTGTTCCCTTTTTGTTTTACCCCGGATTGATATGCACTTTCTGACACTTCATAACCCTTAATATAAAATGAGCTTCCACTTTAACCCCTCTTTTTGCGGGGATATCTTCACATTCCAAGCCATAACCCACCCATCTCTCTATATCCTCGGTCTATGCGCCTAGACCGTTGAACAGCTCTGTGGCACATAGTCATGTAGTACAATAAATAGTATTGTCAACGTGACTCTTTTGCCTCTCAACCCCTCAGTGGATGATTTCACCCCTTGTGCAATATAATCGAAAACAATATCTACATCCATGGATAGATATATAAAGTACTGTCAACAGGGAACTCAAAGGATCGATTTCCAAGGTTCATCTGCAACTGCTATTCTTTCCGACGAATCATGGCGTGCCCCGGGCTCTCCGACCGGCTTTATTCCCTGGCACAACCTGTTCCAACATCCAACCGTTGAAGTATGGCTCATTTTACTTGTTTGCTAATGTACGCCATTCCAGGGTTGTTATTAGGTACCGTTATGGGGTCTAGTTGGGAAACTTCGCCCTATCGTGATGTTCTTGTCCTTTCCTTTCCTTTCCTTTCTTTTCCTGGAGTTACATGTTACCCCGCAGTTTGAGGAGCTATACAGCTATACCCAACAATTTAAAAGAATATGTCCACAGCATTCACCACTAATAGATATATAGCACTTCCAGAAATTAGTGTCATCACTTACGATATACAATATACGCTCACTGATTGTTTCTCAAACCCTAAAGCCAAGACACGCCAAGCTAGGACAGTACTACATAACTCTTTAGGATGATTAATGGATACAGTACCATGTATCTTAGACTTGTATAATACGTGGATATGTACGCCATATGTAGTATGTCGTCACACCCAAATAAATGTCTTCGTGGACAACCAGTCATTTCCACTAACATGCAGAGCAAAGTGAAAGGGTCAAGTGGTGGAGCTTGAAATGAGGACTCGCTAATTGGTTGCTCAAAAAGCCAAGGGGTGTGCAATGCAAACCTTCCACAGGCCCCCCGACCTAACTAAACCTAATCTATCAGACCTCCCGAGGTCTAGCCTCTGGGGTTATCTAAGCGTATCTGTTGTCCACGGGTCATTATGCTGGATACTGGATGCTGTTTCTGCAAATGTTAATCCACACTCACCTAGACTCGTGGCGATTCTCTAGACAGACATGCGGTTTCCTATCGACTCAATTCCATGCCCGAAAGACAATGTCTGTGCACATTCAGTACCCGGACGAAAGATAATGTACACCGGTATACAGCTCGCTCCAACAAATCTTCTGCACCAAATAGGAGACCTGGCATGTCCCAGTATACACCGATCGAAGACGTCGAAGACTTAGACAGGTACCAACCTGGAGGATATCATCCTCTACAAGTCCGGGATGAGTTAGATAATGCCAGCTAGCAAGTGATTGATAAGCTTTAGCTATGGAGGATACTCGACCGTATGGTTAGCCCGTGACCTACAAAAGGCCCAATATTTGGGTTGACGGCCCTAATGACAAGCACAAGTGTATCATCACTCCGCCTGCACGCATGAGCTTGTTTGATGCCAAAGAGGCTTCAACCTTCGGGCTTTTCCGACCCAAGGTCGCGCGGTCGATTATCGCTCAGCTTATTCATGGAGTCGCATTCCTTCATAGTGAATACATTGTACATGGCGGTATGTAATGTTGATAAATGAGTTTAAATGGCTGCCTGGCTGACACCATTTACTAGACCTTCATTTAGGCAATGTTTTACTCCGGTTTCCTGAAGCAATAGACCGTCTCTCCACATTAAAGCTGTACGAAAAATTCGGAAAGCCAGAAGCAGAGACCATTGTTCGGCTTGATGGAAAGCCATCGACGAATGGTGTACCCGGGCAAGTATTCATTCCCGGTTGGTTAGGTGTCTGCAGCGAGGATATTGAACTTGGCGAGGAAAGGATCATCCTTAATGATTTCGGAGAATCTTTCAATCCACATATATCACCGAAACTCTCCTCCAAGACCCTTCCTCTCCTCCAACCACCCGAAGCCAGATTCTCGGACCAGCCGCTCCCCTTTGCGGCGGACATCTGGAAACTTGCCTGTACCATCTGCGAGATTGCTGGCTACCGCCCATTGTTTGAAGCGTTCTTTAAAACTGCAGACCGAGTTACCGCAGAGCAAGTCGAGGTACTTGGCATCTTACCTCCGGAATGGTGGACAAAATAGAGCAGAAGACTGGATTGGTTCGATGAAGAGGGTGAATTGATTCTGAAGCCAGGGATGTCTGGGCGCAGGGCCTTTGGTCAGAGGCTTGAATACTCTATACAAGAGCCATGGGCTGAGGCGGGCTTAGAGACTATGACGGATAAAGAAAGGAGGACGTTTGAGATGATGCTTCGGTCGATGTTGATCTATCGGCAAAATAAAAGAGTGATGGATCAACAGGTATTAGAGTCGGAATGGATGCAAGACTGAGGACAACCAGCCTTGGAACAGAGCCGGAGTACCTTTACGAAAGAGTTATGAAAAGACGGGCCTAGAGACAACCAAAGAGTGAAGTATGAGAACGATTTCTGTAAGTTGTAAGCAATGCAATCCAATTACATAGAATTCATCTCCATTTTCACAAACTAATGTACAAGGTATATGCTCCCGCATGATCTATTTTACGGCGCACTGTCCAAAGGCGCGCTAGCCGTAGCAGCAGCACCCTTCTGCTGGCGCAGCTTCTCCTCAAACTTGGAGAACTCGTGCATGGAAATAATCTCCTCCTCATCCATAACCTGCTCAACACCCTTGACCTCCTCAATCTAAGAAGCGAAGTTAGTAAACAGCCCTTATATCAACCCCAAATTGGAAAGCGGAGAAGGACATACATAGTGCATAAGCATAGACTCAATACCATTCTTCAGCGTAACAGTGCTGGAATCGCAAGTGCGACAAGCACCACGCAGCTTCAGCATAACAATACCATTCTCAAAGCCTTTCAATTCGATATCACCACCATCTTCTTGGATAGCAGGGCGGATGCGAGTCTCGAGCAATTCCTTGATCATGCCGACAACCTCGTCGTCATCTTCGTTATAAGAGAGCGAGTCCTCTCCACTCTCCTGTTCGCCGTCAATGGCACCCTCGACTGTCGTCACGATGGTCTCGCCAGATGTGACAGCTTGCGTGATGATGCTGAAGACTTCCGGCTTGATGTGCGCCCAGTTGGCGTCGCTGCCTTTCGTCACTGTGATGAAGTCTGTGCCGTAGAAGACGGATGTGACACCTTCGACATCGAGCAGTTTCGCCGCGAGTGGGGATGGGTGTGGTGGCGCAAGGGTTGATCGTGGTGACATGTACTCGAGGAATGTGCTAGGGAAGTCCTCTGGGAGGACGCGGTGGTTAGGGATGAACTTCAAGGCCTAGATTATCAAACATGAAAGGTAAGTTCGGGTTCTTTTGTCAAGACCATATAATTGAGCTCTGGAACTTACGTCGGGGTTGGGGGTGTTCTCGGTCTGGATGAAGATGGTGCGCTTGCTGGTTGGTGAAACACCGTTCACTCCACCCTGTGCGGCGGGCTGCTGGTGTGGTCGCACTGTTGGTCGGCGACGGGTCTCTGATGCTGTGATGGTTGGGAGTCGAGCTGCGCTGGAGACATATCTGTAGCGTGCGAATACCGGTCTGATTGTTCGGGCAGAGCACTCGACGGGAGTGGCCAAACGGCTGCTTAGTAGAGCGCGGCGGAACATTGTTGTGGATGGAGTGCTTAAAGACATTATGTTATAGAATATAATGTGTAAAGATAGTTGGTAACAGGTGAATGGTAGAAAAAACACTCAAGGGTCTATTCGGCTGCCGCTCTGACGCAATTTGATTACACGTGATCTTAAATCATAGCCGGATGACAAATGAAGACAGTTTTTCGGCCAATGAGAGGAGATGTTTTGCACAATTACAACTATGGATGTGCCGACTGTCGGAGGTTGAGAAACCAGTAGTTCATGGTCAATTGCCATCCCAGATCATATCCATGGATATCGAAATGAAATGTTGTGATTCGTTCTATACTCAGATAGAGTACCATCGTATGCAACCTTCATCGCAATCAGTCTTTAGGGACGTAGGTAAGCTTCTTCCCTATCTTAGCCTCGTAGTAGAGGGTACCTTTTGAGAACCTGGAAATAATAAAGTCTCATGACCGATGGACACTGAAGTATGAACTTAATCCCGCAGACTGCCATAAGTAGTCATACGGAGTGAAAGTCGTCTGGTATAGTGGATGTGATGCGGCCCTATTTAAAAAAAGGAAACTCGACGGTATCATAAAACAACAGTTGAAGCATCGAGCTATGCAATGATTGAGCTCAACCCCAAAGAGAAACTGGCTGGGACAAAGCCACATTGTGCGATGTTGTATAAAACCTCTCTCGCATTTCACAAACACAAGGATGAGCCCGTCAAGAATAGCTACCAATATAACAAGTGCTCTTCAGTAAATCAATCATGCCCTGGGAGTTCTCTTTTCCATAGTTGATAGATGTACTTTTTATGCATAGGTCCGCTTTCCGGCCACGTCACACCCGATAGACCCGGTGACCAGACAGCGGCAGTACGCGCCAACTTTGTGATTGCAATCATGATTCGGCTTTGAAAGAAATGCTGATCCGAGCGAAGCAACCGCTTTATCCAACATAAGTTGCGGTGGTGCCTGCATAGTACTTGCAGCCGTGGGATAACAGACGGAATATAATACGTGGAGCCGTCAACACTTCACTGATGAGGTGGGTGGATCTAGTAGGCTGTGATGTCTTCAAGAGGGTGGTGAGAGAAACCATGTACCTGGACAAATCCCCTGCCGTATTAGATTAAGAATCAGTAGCAGCATAGTGCAGGTATCACACGTTCATATCTGCAGGGTGAGTGGCATCCAGCAACTAGGAATGCTCACAACAAATCGGACAGAGTGCCGTAGTATCTTGCAGATGGGTACCAACATGATCTCAACAAGTCATAAATCAACCGGCGGACACATCAGCTGAAAGGTAACTAGCAATTTGCAACAAACTGCATTCGCAGGCGGGATTGGCATCGAATAAAGTGAGACCGGGATCCACCCAGTATTGTTGGGTTGGTACCCCCACAAGTGATGTCGTGGCCATTATGAATTTCATGCTTTGTCTCCCCGAGTGGTGGGTGAAGACACGATCCCCTGCATGCCCCATGCAAACGTGGCCGGCTCTTGATGTATCGCGTGCATTCTGGCTTTGTTTTGTCACACTAGACAGGGGTTAGATTTTCCAAGGTTGGATGTGGATGATCAGGCTCCAACCAGGTCTCGGGGGAAAATCCGACATTCCCTTTGCGCGTTCCGCATATATTGTGTAGCCTTCGGATCTAAATATATAGCACATCACCTATTTATAAGTTTCTCGTGATGCGTGTGCCTGCATATAGTTGATGCCTGAGGCATGAAAGATGACCCGAGCTTCTTTGATTTTTGTGCAAATCGTGCAAATCATGCAAATCGGGTAGCTTGGCCTTATCCTGCATCATTCTCGAGCAGGACGTGGACCAGTGAAAAATGAGGGAGCAAGTTTGATCACTGTGCAGCTGATGGATTCATTGGGAAATCGACACAATGCCTGGTTCCTGTGAGGTTTGCTCTTTAGAGCCCTCAAAATATCGCTGTCCCACATGCGGACTGATGAGGTACTGACATGATTAAGATTCCATCCCTATCCGTATGTGGACCAGTTGCTAAGAGTTATCGATATAGTTGCTCACTTGCATGCACCCAGTCACATAAGATATATTGCGCTCCGAAGCCACCATCGAATGAGGAACTGAGTAACACTCCAGCGCCCGATGTCGATCCCACACCCAAGAACGATATCAACGGCCCCGAAGCTGCAGAGCCAACTGGCACCAGCGCTCCCGTGATGACCCCCGCAGCAGTGGCGGCGTCAGCGGAGATGAAAGAGCTTCTGACCCAGCACCCCGAACTTCGCAGTCAGCTACAAGATATGTTCCAGTCAACACTGGAAGAAGAATGGGAGGAATCATACACAGCCCCTGCTCGTGGACGTGGGCGTGGCCGCGGCCGAGGCCGTGGAGGGTTTGCCCCTCGTAGTCGTGGCCCATGGACGTCCGAGAAAGGCTTCAACCGTGGCCTGGGCAGAGTCCGCAAGCTAAGGCAGGATTGTGAGGAAGGGACGGAGACTGGCCAGGCCGCCGAGGCGTTCATGCGGTTTATGGCGCTTGTCAAGAAGAGCAACTCAGACTCAGCCTGAGTCATCTATATTTTCTGGTGAAAAAGCAACATGCCAGTTGGACGATCGGCACATATACCTTGATTGCACCACATTTATATCCTGAGTTTGAATAAGTGAGACATGCAGATGCTACGAGATGGTGGGGCTTTTTGATCTACGTTGGCTGTTCCAATAGAGTAGCTGTCAGATTTGACAGCTTCAGTCATATTCAGCCTCATGCAACTCATGAATACGAACTCCTTAGTCTTATATACGATTCGTTATTCCATGCTACCCTCGGTTCCTAGGTTTGACAAGCGCATCTGCTAGTCTATGGGTAGATCAAAGCGATGAGCACCCTAGGGTGTTCAGGCCCATCAAGTGCAATATCGCACATGCGAATCCAGCGTACGTTATCATGCGAGCCACAGGCCAGCCAAAGCCCTCCATAGCGTGAGATTAGCGGCGCTTTTAGCGCCCCCAAGAAAGCGGAGCATATGCTAACGGCCCAGAACTCCGAAGACCAAAATTTCGGCGGAAAAAAGTACCAAAGTACTGAAAACTCGGAATCTGCATGTTTCTGACTAGTCACATGGAGCACGAGACATCAAAGATGAGGGTAGAGTACCCTGTATAGTACCTACATACTTACATAGTAGGTACTCCGTACTCCGTACCTTGTACTGCAAAGATAAACAGCTCTGAGATGACACGGCAGAGTCAAGGCAGCTACTACTGCAGCTCCAGTCAAGCAACAAATACCAACTTGGTAGGACATAATGCAACACTGTAGACCTATCGACTAAGCGAAATCGTCTTAGACCCAGCCTCGGTCCTAGTGGCCACTCATTTTGAGACCTTGGGATATTACCATGTGTCGAGTTCAGCTGAGCCGCTTTCACAAACACGATGATCTTTTAGGCTTCCAATGAAACGCGAGAATCTCCTAAAACAAAAAAGATGATCTTAAATCAAATTTATATGCCCCAATATATTCTCCAATCCTTGTGATCTGTCCATATTTTCTGTTTGCTTTATCATTTCTCTTCCTCGTTGCGCCAAGAAAAAGATATCCGACGCAGCTCCGGCTAATTAGGGTAGTTTTCATGTCAACTCCGCGGCAATTTTGATAACACATTTTGGATGGCTACCTCGCTGCTCTACCGAACTTGATCTGTTCCAACAATGGATGCGCTGCAGTGCTCGTTCTCTGAACCTACACAGTAATCAGAGCGCTGTCACACCGGGCCATTCCGTGGCCTAAGCAACCGCCGACCGCTTCCGTCATGATCTCGCAGCAATCTCGCCGAGAGAGAGCTCACAGCGATAAAGCTCAAACAATGACTGCTACAGCTTCACAACGACCAGGCATGGGAGGTCGAACCGCTTCAGCCCCGGCGGGGGGTCTTTATAAACTCGATGTGGCGCGGAAGCAGGCAGAACACACATTGCTGGAGGAGGATGAGGGGACGCCAATTACGGGCGAGGCGATCAAGCGAACACGATTCAGTCAGCAGGAAGGGGTACGTCTTGAATTGATACAGAGCGATGGATCCTTCATGGCTACGGTGTACAGAGAGCTTCAATTGCTGACGCCTCCTTTTTCCCTCTTCTACAGGAATCCACCAAGACCATCTTCCCCGAAGTGACCATTGCAGTGGCCGGCGAAGAAAATGCCGGCAAGTCCAGCTTTGTCAAATGTGCCCTCGATATGAAGAACCCGCCTGCCTCCCCTATGAACAAGAAGAAGATGTCATTGAACGGATCGGTCTATATTGTGCATCTGATGGAAGTCGACCTAAACGAGGTTCAGTTCGACCAGGACAAGAAGATTATCTGGCCGCGTACAGGGCGCGACAAATCCACGCCGGTGATTGATGGAGTTCTGGTTTTACATGATGCCACCAAACCGGATCGACTCTCTTTAACAACAAATCTTATTGGTAGGTTCACCCACGGGATGTACCTGGTATGGGGGGGCTGACTTTCCCCGGAATTTAGACTCATTGGCTGCGTCGGATCTTCCTTTCCTGCAGGTTGCCTGCAAATGCGATGTCAACCCTGAACCTTTAGAAGACACTGAAGTGGATGCGATCCATGATCGATACGAGATCTATCGAACATCGTTTTCGTCGCCTCGATCTCAACGGATGTGTATAGCGTTGGTTTTGGGGGCTGTGATTTCTACTCGAGAAGGTAAGCAAATATTTCCATTCCCTTTTCTGTCCTCGGATACCAAGCCATCGGAGTTGAAATGTGCCTTGACCCCCCCCAAGCGGAAGCGGGCCAAGGTGGGTCGCGGTAGGAGCGTTCGCTACTTTGTCATTCCCCGTAGAACTCGTCTTTTTTTGCTTTTCCCCTTCTAACCCCTCTTCTTTATTAGATCTCTCCGATAATCCTAATATTCCTCTGGCTTCACCGGCGAAAATCAAATCTGCCCACGATTGGCACCATACCCGTGCCAACTCCGAAAACCCCTCAGCCGTGTTCACAGCCGCCGGCGGCCCACAAACGGCCTCAGATCAATGTATCGACGGGGATGCTGAGGACCGTCTCCCAACTGATGGAAACAACTTGCAGCATACGTCCAATTCCCACCGTTATGCCCGCAGTAACTCGCAACCGGTGCGACCGCAAACTCCGCCATCCGGAGCGCGTTTAAATACCCACAAACCGCCGGCACAAGAACTAAACTCTCCCAATCACGATAACCGTCAGCAACGATTGCACAACGCCTGGCGGCACAGTGGAGGATCAGACGCTTTCAACAGTTTCTTAAATATGGACGACGAGGCAGACGATGAACAGAGCCGGCCCACGAGCCCTGGCGCAGTTGTCCGGCCAAAGCCGAGCAGCGAGAGCAACTCGAGTGCAGAGACAGGTCTATCGTTCGATGAGCTAGTCGATCGTTTGATTTCCTTGCCGCTGTCGAAACAAGACCAAAAGTTCCGTTCTACATTCTTATGCCTGTACCGAAAGTTTGCCGCTCCCGCAACTCTCCTGAGTGCCTTGATAAGCCGATTTGAACGAAATGAGATGGGTAACGAGGATCAGCTAGCCCGCATGGCGGATCAGTTGCGATTACTTGATGTCATGGCGCAATGGGCGTCGGACTACCCTGGAGATTTCGCTCACCCCAACCTTCGCAAACGGATCCTTGAATTTGTCGCTGTACTCGAAAAGAGCCATTTCTACATGTTTGCTGCCAAGGAGATCGGGTCGCAATTAGACTCAAATGCAGAAGACGATGATATTGGCTGGGCATATGGGGGTGATAGTGATCTCGAGGAGTCCGAACTGGTTGAGACATTCTTCGACAACTCCGGCCGAAGTTCTCCAGCCGCGGTTCCCACTGGCTCTACCCCTGGCACTAACACTTACGACACCGAGGAAGAACAAGACCCTATCTACAGTATGAGTGCGCTGGATCTCAGTAGTGGGCCGCATGACTCAACATCACGACTCTCAGGCACTCTTTCAGTCTCCTCGAATCCCGACAAATCGAACGGCATTACCAGCCAGTCATTCACATTGTTGAGCCTTGACGCAGCCCAAAAAGAGGCTTTGCGTCTTGAGTTAACACATAAGACTTTACTTGGCAAACTCCAGTGGCGGATTTTCATGGATACCCCAGAAGAGGAGTTCGCACGAGAGCTGACGCGGGTTGACTGGGTCATGTACAACTCATTCCGGCCGCGTGATCTTGTGCGTCATGTCAGCATCTCGGGCATGGACAAGGATAAGATCAAAAGCTTGACGAATGTCAATCGGATGATCAAGCAATTCAATCATCTGGCCTTCTTCGTGGCCAGCCTGATTCTCTTGCGTGATAAGCCTAAGCATAGAGCGCAGGCGCTGGAGAAGTTTATGAACATTGCAGTGGTAAGTTTTCTCAATCCAGCTACTAAAAGGTCAGCAGCAATTAACACTCCTCAGAAACTCCGACGCCAAAACAACTACAACTCCTTGGGTGCTGTAATCGCTGCCATCAACGGCACCCCTGTCCACCGCCTCACACAAACTCGAGACCTGATCCCCATCCCAGCTCAGAAAGAGTTCATGCGTTTGGTTATCCTCATGAGCACCCAACGAAGTCACTTTGCCTACCGCCTTGCCTGGGAGAATTCCTTCTCAGAGCGAATCCCCTTCCTACCTCTCCACCGTCGCGACCTTGTCTCTGCCGAAGAAGGCAACAAGACATTTGTCGGCGAGAACAAATCTCGCATCAACTGGAAGAAATTCGAGGTCATGGGTGAGGTTGTTCTCGGAATTCAGCGAAGCCAAAAGAGCCCTCATCCACAGGCCCAAAAATTCGACGATATCGAGCGACTGATCCTGGACTCGAAGCTCTCTGGAGACGAAGAGGTAAGATCTTTAATATTGTCGTGAATCATTGTTTCTTCTCACTAACTTTATCTAGGACTTGTATGCTCGTAGCTTGCACGTCGAACCGTCCACGGGAGCTGAGGGACGAAGGAAGTTCGGCTGGTTGCGCTCTTAAAGTCGCTTCTTTGACCGTCCCTCCGACAACCCCGGACACTCATCTCCATCAGCCTCAACACGAATTGAGGCTTCTCTCCTACACAACCATCTTATCTACTATCTTTCTTCCTCCCTTCATACTTACCATCCCTACCCTACCCTTCATACCTTCCCCTCCCCTCCTCTACTCTTCCTTACTCATGTCGCCATGCCCCTATATGATTGATAAATACTGTTGTTGTCTTTTGCCTGTTTTTCGTTATGAACCCGGTTCCCCCGCGGGGGTCGATATGACGCTTGTAACGGTGATGCATCTTAAAAAAAAATAGCTCCGTTACGACATTTTGTACATATGCGTGCTGAAATAGGTAGTGATGGTTATTGACTGTCTTGCAGATAGCAGTCTCCTAACCCGGTATATATTGACATCTTTATGCATATATCTCTTTCTATTCTCCATATATCTAATAAAACCATAGTCATATAACAAACAATATCGAATAGTTATCAAGATCCGAGCTAACGTTGACACTAGTAGTACTAAATAGTGGACGCCGCATACATTTCAAATCACGTGAATCAGTTATCCACCTATCTCAACCTCCAACCAGCTCCAAAAGAAGACAATCTCACCTCCGAACTCCCCGGTGCACCAGGGTCTCAAAAACCACCGAACCAAACCCATAAAACCAACCACAACCCGGTACATCCTCCCTCCCCCCTCAAAATGTCCACAACAAACCAAGCGCGCACAACTTACCGCGCCCTCCTCCGCGAACTCCCACGCCGCAACCTCAAAACACCCTCCCCACTCCACCACCAACTGCGCGCGATCTTCCGCTCATCACCAGCGACATCGTCACAATCAAATGCTCTGCCATTCTCAGTCTCCAATACAGACGAGGAACGAACCATCCGCGTCCAAGAAGCTGATCAGTTCGCTCAATATGCCCGCGCCCAGCGTGTCTACTCTGACCTCCTTGAACGCTATAACCCGGGTATGAGTATGGATGAGGAGGAGAAGATTCGTCTTACGGCGAGACGGGTTGGGTTTGATTTGCCTGAGTTGCATGTCGCTGAGGGGAAGGAGTAGTTGAGCAGTGCTGAGGTGTTGGTATTGCTTCGCTCAGTACTGCTTAGCTTTGTTTGATTCGGCTTGTTCTGTCAGTGGAATGTCGATTGTGGGAATTCTCTGCGTTCTGATTCTACGGTAGAAGCGGATTGTTCTAGGCTTGGTTGGAAGTTTTTTGTGAAGATGTGATTTTGCTGGGAAGCATGTATTCCACGGAATGGCGTTGTTATTGTTGATTTTGGGATTTTGTATACTACAGGCTTTATGTATAAAAGTAAAATAGAGAACATTGTCAAGTACCATGAGCTTGTTTTTCTTTTTGATTTTCTTCGTGCTATGCATTAACGCTGGATACATAGACAGGCATTTGTATTGACGTTCCAGTCGTAAATTGGGGTATCTGATATTCAAACCCTTGGGTCTGAAAATTTGTTCATTGCAAACCACATGGGTTGCCGCACAGTGTTTGGGGGCACCGAGAATGGACACCTAATGTTGGCACTGGGTGTGATTGCGTTGCAGAGGCGACGGCCTAGCAAAAGGGTCATGGTAGAAATGCCCCAGAACCCCGAGGACGCTGGCGCCGGAGGTTGGGCTTTTAAATATACGTGCTTTCTTGATTGAATTTTCAGGTAGCGCTGAGCTGGGCACGCTCCATCTGTCTCATCAAAGTTGAACTGCTTTCCTCGTCTTCCATGCCAACCCCAACTTCGATCGCAGTCTTGGGTCGGTTCCGGTTGAGACCGTCTAGCAGTGTGCACGCTTTGCAAATCCGCTGACTGGAAATGTAGTTACAGCGCTCACAGTGTTTGATAGTCTGCGCCTTGACAGCCTTACCAGTCGGGCCGCGATTCGGCTTCACGCGTGCATCGTTAGAAATCTTGATTTCAGTCTCGAGAGGCTCGGCCGCATCGTTCTCAGTGAGCTGCTTCTCCATTGCAGCCATCTCACCTCCACTGGTTCGTCCATTCTGACTACCACAGCCGCCAGCCGATTCCTCTTCTGCACCAGGTTGCTGGGATTTACCAGAGCCCCGGACTTCCACAGGTACAAGCGCGGCCATGTCCTCGCCACTCTTGACAATGTCGAGGATCGAACTGGGACGAATCTTCTCAAGATCCTTGATCAGGGTACGAGCACTGCCGCGGAATGCCTCAGGCGAGTAGATACATTCAGTAGTGAAGTAGTCGAGCTGACGGTGGTGGGCGTAGAGAACGATCTCTTTCTCATAAGCGTACTTGAGAGGCTTGCTGCGCTTGATATCCGAAGCGTCGGAGCTAGTGACGATACTAGTACCGCGCGACAGACGGGGAAGATCACCACGCAGAAGATTCATCATGACAGTCTCTGCAACATCGTCCGCATTGTGGCCCGTGACAACATGCTTGATGCCCAAGCGGGCGGCGCCTCGATCGAGTGCCTGCCGCCGGAACACACCACAGTACGTGCAGTTTCCCTTCTTGCCCACTTGTTCCACAACCTGATCCATTGTCCAGCCATAAAGCTCGCTGTATCCTAGGATATCAAGTGGCATCTCGTATTGCACAGCGTTGCGCTTCACAGTCTCGAGACTGTCATCGCGATAACCGCGGATGCCCTCGTCGATGGACAGTAGACATAGATCCAGTCCGTAGTTGTATCGCTCGTTGAGGGTTTTCAGTACCGCTGCTAGTACTGTGCTGTCTTTGCCACCACTGGCTCCGATCGCGACTCGCTCGCCGGGGAAGAAGAGGTTGGTGCCGATGATGGTTTCGTGTACTTCGGTTTCAAAAACTTTGATGAAACAGGCACGGCAGAGTTTGTGCCTGTTCTTAGGTCGGATGATAACGGCTCGCGCCTCTTTGCAATCGAAACATGCCGTCGGCGCCATGATGAGTTGGTTAGGCCTGTGACTTGGTGGCGGAGAAGAATTTCTTTTTCCCCCGCGGTCGATCGGGTGGTCCGTGCGCAGGGCGCGGGTTCCAAGGTTAGATCTATATCAACGGGTTATACTCGGCCTTTAGTTTTAGAGAAAAGGAGCCAGTCTAGAGAGTGAAATGAGCTTGATGAGAGAAATATAGCTATTTGTAGCCCTATGAGAACTAACATTGATCGTTTCAAATTAGCTGAAGCCTACTGCAATTCCCAACACCTGAAAATAAGACTGTCCAATGGATATGTTTGTATCACTAAAAAGAGAGCAAAAACGAGCGGAATGATACCAGGTGCTTAATAGTTGATTTATGAGGCTTTTAAAACGGCATCTTCCGGTGCCCAAATACGCAACTATCCAGGTCACGCTTGACACCCTAACTTCGACATACATCCCAGTACCTTCGGTCCCGCAAATAGTATCGGAATGGGCCTCTTTGATTCATCTGGCCTGCAATAGCGCCAGTGAAGCTAAAATTTACAAGATATGATTTTCTCAGAACGGTCCCGTCCTGTCCTTATGGTAGATAGATCATCAAACGTTTATCCCCGGGGTTGGTATGATAAGCCGCGCACAATTTCTTATATTAAGTTAGCTTAAAAACCCGTGCATAGTATTGCTCAAACAGCGGTTGTTATCATGCGGGCGAATTCGGAGATCTCATATGATATCTTCACTGCGGCGCGTTACGGAGTCCAATAAGTCAAATTGGTAACTTCAGGTAAAATTGCAGCTCTTCAAACAAGCACATGAATAACCCCACAAAAGGTACTGTATATAGCTTAGGATCAAACAGCTAAACAAGAAAAATGTGATATTGTGATAGGAATTAGATTGTAATGGTAACCAGGAACAAAAGCTTTAGTTGTAGGTGGCAACTGTCCCCAGATAAAAGCGGCTATAGACCCTCTTTGGGCAAAAATGAAAGAAGAAAAAGAACACTCAGTTCTGGCCCCATAAGAGTGCAGATAAAGCATTCCTATCTTAATGATAACAAGATACTTGATACCGATTAACTTGGTTTATCTCACGGCTCATTAACCCAGAACAAATGTAGATTGAATTTATTCGTAGAGCCATATCTTTTCCAACACTATTGAAAGTCTAAGCAGCGAAGATTAGACCTTTCCGCATTTCCTGTTCTATATTGCTTCTATATTATATATTCTGGCTTCAGACAGACGCTGTTCACCCTATCCCCCAATGGAACAATATAAATCATCGCAGATCAAGCAAGGCGAGGGCTATATCTTGACTTCTGAGCCACCCTCATCTGCAACCAAGATGAAAGACATTGAAAGTACGCCCCAGGAAGTAGAGGAGGGTACTACTGAGAGACTTGATCCATACGGTGTGCCACTGGAGCCAACACCTACAACCGACCCCCTCGATCCACTGAACTTCAGTCAAACCTCCAAAACATGCTGCCTTATTGTAGCGTTCTTTTACAGCTTTATGTTGATTTACTCAACCACCATCTATATCCCCGTCACTTTAGACCTCCAAGCTCAGTTTAGGGTCTCCTATACCGCCATTGCGTGGAGTGTCGCCATGCCCTCTTTGGGAATTTCTCTCAGCATGTTGTTAGCTAAGCCTTTTGCCGACTCGTACGGCCGGAGAATCGTTCTCCTCATCAGCGTCAGCATTGCTATATTGGCAAGTGGTTGCGCTTCGATCAGATCAATTAATCTAGGTGGATTTATGGCAAGTCGGTTTTTTCAAGGCATCGGCACAGGGCCAGGACTGAACGTTGGCCTCGCTATCTTGGGTGATATATCCTGGGGCCATGAGCGTGGGTTCCGAATTGGAATCTGGGTCATGGGGTCAACTATAGGTGCCCCAGTTGGGATATTGAGTGAGGGATGATAACCAAGCCCTAAGTATTGAAGCTAATCTGTCTGTATAGTCGGAGGTCTACTTGGCGAAGTAAACCAATTTTGGGCGGGCTACCACCTTGCCATCCTCTATTTTATCTTACTCGTTCTGATTATCGCCACGCTGCCGGAGACACTGTATCCTCGCGACTTGATGGTCTCTCAGGCATCGATGTGTTTAGCAGACAATAGCATCGTCCCCAACCATCAGATTGCAGAGATAAAACGAACTAGAGAGATCCGAATTTGGGTGAGATTTAGAATGAGATTTCATTCCATTAGATACGTCGCTGTTGGGCTAATGTGTATCTCTATATTAGACCGTTAAGCGCATACCCGGAGTCAAACATGCACCATTTTGGGCTGGCATGCTGCGATACTTACAAGTGTGGACCTACCCAAATGTTTCCATTGGGTGTTTGTCAGTGGTATTTCTCCAGTACTGGTGGTACGTATACACCATTGTGTTGATACGCAACGAGAAAAAAAAAACATTTGTCTGATTTCTGTCACTAGGTGTAACTCATTGATGATAATGGCTCCCGATGCCTATTCCATGTACAGCACTCAGGTACAAGGAGCCTTTTTTGTTGCGTTTATGTTAGGCTCAATCCTTGGCGAAGTCTTTGTGTCAGGAAGAATGAGCGATTGGATCGTCGGTACGATGGCGAAGAAAAATAACAACAAGAACCCTACGCTACGCCTGTTATTGTCATATGCAGCGGCATTGATGACTGGCATAGGGTATGCCTTGTGGGGGGTTTCTATCGACCGAGAATGGCATTGGATGACCGGGGAAGTTGCCTTATTCCTTGGTGAGTGTTGATTCAACGCATCTGGCTCTCATAAAGTAGCTAACTGGTCGACGCTTGGAACAGCCGGAGCTGGAATTCAAATTGGAAACACCGCAATTTCAAGCTTTATTGTTGATCTTTATCCAGAGCACCTCATGGACGTGATCTCATTCTACTCGGTTTTATTTAATGTGAGCCACAGTTTCCTATGCTCCATTTGTATATGAGTTGACTTTTCCAGCTCGCATCGTTTATTGAGCCCTGGTTCATTAGTAACTGGGTTGCATCCTCAGGTAACAAGACGCACCTTATATGCTTTTTTGGAACATTCTAACTCGGATGCATAGGTTATTTCTGGTGCTTTATCGCTCAAGGATTAATCACTTTTTGTGGAATGGTCCCGGCGGTGATATTGCTCCAAGCTTTCGCAACTAAATGGTCACGGCCCATGGTGTTATATGGAGACAGAGATATGAATTAAAATAAACCAACCTATAAGAAATATTTGAAGTATACTTATGCAATCATCGTAAATTGATAAAAGCCCAAGGGACGTTTTTATGTTGGTATTGCATCATCTGCTATTCTGATCTCACATTCCAGAATGATTTGGGAGTATATTACTTCTTCTTGTGGCAGATATTAGTTCCGTGCTCTATACTGCAAGGGAAAAGTGAATGGAAGGGGCGGAGAAGGAAGAAAGAAAAAGAGAGAAATATGAGGTGAGGGGGGATTTATACCTTCCCATTGGCCTAAGGTGATAACCCAAAAGGGAAGGTACGCGGGTACCTGTCTCCTCCTTATGATCCTCATGATACCAGAGCTTACCTAGGTATGTAGTCTATCCATGGATATTTACATAAAAATATACGTAGTTTGGTCTAAATTATTGCTTGACTGCCTTGGTCAGTCACATACAGTATATCTTCCGGTTTCGAATTTCAATGTTCTACCAGATACCTCAGATAAAAGCTCCAAGATTCATTTTGCTAGACCGGATAGCACACAAAGTCTAGGATATATATACTGGAATATCAACACAATATATCGATCACAAGCTAGTCAATGCGTCGGAAGAACTTGGCTTTCAAGTTTCCACTACTACCACTCCCACCGCAACAACCCTCCTGAGGAGCAGGCTCTTGGTGTAAGACCGACTGGTTGAAGCCTTGAGTTGAAGCAGGAACATCAAGAGCGGGGTTTTTCGTAAAGAATCCGTCGGGCTTGAGCATCACACTGATCTTTTCATGGGGCATGACTGGGAAGTCTTCCGGTCTTGGGTTGTGTGTCAATCCAAACGCTGAGAGCATCGGGTTAGCTGATTGAGGCACACGCAATGAAATGTACCGGGGGAAAATGTGAACTTACTGTGCCAAAGAACTACGTCCTCGTTTTCGATGGGGTCTTTTCTTGCTACCCACACATCGACGCCTTCCGAAGAGGTACTTTGATTTGTGAATTCGCCTGCAGCATAGAGTTCTCCGTCGTCATATTTGGTGACCCAAATAGGCTTGGTAGCAAAGCCAGCTCGCTGGTAGCCGAAAGTGCTTGGGTGCGCAAGAAGCATCTGGCTAGGCACGGTGTGAATCTTGTATGCCACCGGTTTATGTGTAAGTGGGTTGGTCACATCTGGGTTACAAATCTTGAATACTCGACTGCGATCGACGCTTGTCTCTGCACTGCCGGATGTTCTCAGCACAGTTTTTTCAGCGACGTATCCGACTCCGTACGGGTTGTCCTGGCTCACGGGAAGTGGGACGCTATCCTCGTAGAAAACTGTGTTTTTGAATCCATCAATCGCGGGATCAATACGCAAAGACCAAAGATGCTGGTGGTTCGGCGCTGCAACTCCCGGGCCAACATTAGTGGACCAAGGAAGGGTCTCTCCGTTCTCATTGTCAAATGGTGTCGTCGATAGAATTCCTGTTGCGCGGACTTCGAGTTCAATATTTGCGGCTTGATCGAAGATGAAAGCGAAAATGTACTCGTAGTTTGCAAAAGTGCAGATCATTTGAACAACAAGTTGTCGGTTCCGAACCACAGTGGCAGTGCTTGTGCGGTAGTTCACATGTTTATGTTGTAGACCGTTGTCTTGCTCGTGAAGGCAAATGATATTTTCCAGGCGGACAGGCTCGCCGGTGGAGTTCACGGTATGCCCGCTGAAGTACTTGATAACTCCCAGGCAGTCACATCCCAAGGATAGTTGATTGGCAGTAATTCCAAACCCAACATCGCCCATATCAAAGGCTTGCTTGCGATGATATGGCGCACGTGGGTCTCCGTAGGGTACCGTCATCTCGGAGAGAGAAAGCCGGTAGAAAGTGTTCCGGCCATCGTATGTCACATTGTGAATCACCAGTCCTTCGCGACTGTTGAAGCCCACTCTGAACTTCCACTTTTGCCAACTGACCAGATTGCCTTCAGTTGAGAAAGATGCGCCCTGTGGCTGTTGCACGATGTATGGTTTGAGGTCCTGTCGTACTGGTTCATCGAGTAGCGCATGGGCATACTGGACGGTTTTGACTGGCTTCCAAGGCTGCGTTTCAACAACGCTGTGGTCAAGTCCGGTTGGGAGGTAGTCCATACGGATTAATTCATGTGACACTCCATCGAAAACAGGTGAGAATCGACATGGGACTGAGTAATGGTTGTTCTCGGGGTGGTTAATTTCGATCACGTATAGATAGCACTGAAATAGACGTCGGTTTTGCTCTGCGGTGTCTGTGCCGTACATCCAGGGCTCAGTGCAAACAGTGACCCCAGGAGGAAGTTTCATCTTTGCAATTTCATCCTTCACTGCCGGATGCTCCAAGCAAAGCTTCTCAATCTCCTCCATCTCATCCAAATCAATGGGCCCCTGAAGGATATGTTAGTTGGTAATGGCAGAATAAAAGCTGGAAGGCTAGTCCCATACCTGAACATGCTTTGGCAGTTGCTTTGCGTAAATGATCGTTTTCTTATCGGCATTGAACAATGCCTTGTAGAACGAGCCATCGTCCAACCGATGGAAAAGGGCATACAGAAGCCGAGACGGCTTCTCTGGCAGTGGCTTGGACAAGCGCTCTGCCTCAATGTAAGGAACAACTTCCTTCTTGATTGGCTCCTGGATATCAACGCGCTTGTACCTCAAAGGTACGCCGGGGAAATTCTTCTGTAGGATTTGAACGACTAGCTGGATTTCCGCGGCAGTGATAGGATCAAAAGGGTGAGGATAAGACATGATGGCGGACAAACTCTGGATAACCAATGCAGTTCAAAGAAAGACTGGACAGAGCTGCGTATATTTATATCGAGGATGCTGTCGCCTTTAAATGGTGGAGTTGTTGGATAGGATTGTCGAATCGATTCCCTGCAGACTTTGTCGCATAAGATACGCTAGTAGACCAAGGAGATTAGAGTAAACCGATGAATTAAAAATACAAATTTCAAATTATGTCCCTTGTGGTATCTACCTAGGTAGTGCATACCTATTGTTCCAAATTGGTAATGTTGCCGCAGCGCAACCGGCACACCCCCAATCCTCATAACTGGTGAGTTCGGATTTGTTCCGCTTCCATTCCGAATCTGAAAATATGCTGGAGATCTATGATGTTGATGCATTTGGAGCTGGGACTGTGTCTTGATGATTTATCTGCCCTTGCTCTTCTTTCTACTTCTCTACCTCTCGCGCACGCACCACTTCTTCTAGCTTGATAAATACCATCGCTCTGGTTTCTCACTATCTGTGTCGTCAAATATCTGCCTACTACGTTGCTGTTGGTGTGTTTGTGTTTAATACATCAGTCTCCCCTCGAGGGAGGCCTGGCCCAGAGCAATGAGAGAGAGAGAGAGAGAGAGAGAGAGAGAGAGAGAGAGAGAGAGAGAGAGTGTGTGAGTCAAACTTATTTCCATTCATATAGGTCGTCAAAATAGTACACAGACTGATGCTTCTTGCAACTCCAAATCAGGCGTGAGTGAATGCCGCATGCTCAGGAATGAATACATAAGCTGGCTATCATCACTCTTCTTTTGCTCGCGCCATCGTTCCTCGAGTAATTCCATTGTACGCGTAACGTTTACAATGCATTGTCCACTTTTCAACACCTCCAGGCGTCGCCGAATGAAATCATGATGTAACGGTCGAGTGGTGCGAGATCCCGCAGTGAACAAGGGTAAAAGCATAAGTTTTGCCACAGGCGCATCTGCTGGGACAGCTGCGCAGGAATCCAAGATATGATTGATGGTAGATTGAACCAGGCCGAGATTAAAAGGCTCTTCCTTGGAGAAAAGCAGAAAGAGCAACAGGCCGGAGTAAACCAAGGCCTCATTGTAACTATCAAGGTGGGAGGGCGGCTTCTTTTCGTTCTTTCTGTGGTTTTTCAGTCGTCGGAGAAGCAACTGCATGCGAGTCTCTACATCCACAGAGTCCGTGTCTGATCTCCAAGATTCAGATAGATGGCCAGTCATGGAAGCATTGCGGCGATCACGCAGAACACCGCCTAAGCGATACAATAGATCCCCAACCGAGTGCGATATGCCAATAAAAGGGTCCACGTCTTGGAAGAACTGTTCACGGTTGGGAGAAACGTGATCCGGCTTTGCAGCGATCCCAAAATAATTCGGAGCATCAATAGAGTAATCGGTCTCATCTAGCAAAGCCACAATGTGAATGTAGCCAAGCCACCTGACCAGGAAGAGAAATGATTCATCAGCAGCGAGGTCTGTTGTGAAGCCCTCGCGTGCAATTCTCATCGCATGACCCAGGCACGTTCGGAGACTAGATATGTTTTCCCCTGCAATGTAGGCCGAGCACAAAGCTATCAAGGTTGAAAGTGTGGTCAAACGGTGGGTAGGATTATTGGGGGATGACTGCGTCTCGTTGCTTGTCGATTGACCTGATTCACGGGACATGACATCGCCAATGTACGAGACAGCTTGTTGTTCCATCCTAACGGCTGCTGTTGTGACTTCAGTCATGTTGACGAACAAGGGATGTTGAATTGTCCAGTTCGATTTGACGGAGTAGGATAGGAAGATGATGGCAGAGAATAGGGACGGCCAGCTTGCCGCGTTTGAGGCGAAGTACTTGGTGACTTGGTTGTTATGTTCATGATCTTCAATGCATATTCCAGGCGCAATTGATTGAATGAATTCCTGCCAGAGATATGAGGTTGCTGGATGTGTGAAAGGCAATCGCGGATTCAACGTCGGCTCGTTGAGATGAAGCGGCATACTGCGAGCCTGAAGTTCTGCCTCGGGGGTGTGTGAGGATGCCGAACGATACGAGAGTAAGTCACCAAACTGGTCAGGTGATATGAAAGCATTTTGAGCGGACTGGAAATCTTCAAAAGTGATGCCATCGATATCTGGAAACGAAGAACCTTCGTCATTTGCTAGGAAGAGATCGAGATCACCAACCGGAACGAAATCTGGAGGGGTGAATTGAACTGTTGATTGAGATGGCGATCCAATCTGAAACGCCGAAGTTTCATCTGGCTCCTCTATTACTCTACCATGCGGGTTTTGCTTTTTTTTAGAAGACCGTTGAGCACGGATGCGTTGACTGGCGGAGTCTACGCCTTCAATGCGCCATAGGGCATTTGTTGATGGAATGCATGTCAAATTTTGATTGCGGCAGCGAGAGCATCGAGATCTTGCTCTATCGCACTGCGATAAATCTATCTGTTTAATGGGTGTTGGATCGAGTTTCCGAGAGACTGCCTACCTTGCGTTTTGAGTTTTTGCAATTCACACATGGAGCTCTATTCCTCCTGAAAACGTCCTGCTGCGTGCCTGTGTCTGACATTTCCATGTGACCCTTCGGGGCTGATATATTCAGGAAAGCCGTGGCTAGTGGGAGGATAGGGAGGTCGAGGGTCAAGGATAGGATGAAGCGGGGGACTGAGGTTGCCACCTGCGGGCTCCCGGGCGCCGGCTACGTACTAAGGCGCACCTCTATGCCCATTTGTGCTATATACATATTGTTAACGTTCAAAGAGCGTAGACTAAATAATAGCGTGAGCAAGAGATAGTATTGCTATACTTTTTGAGCGGTTATGTGAAGTAAAATAAGAAATCAAAATAAGTTATTTTCCTTATTAGACAACGATTGCCCATCGTATGATTGTATTTTCTCACAATCTAATTCCATATTTTCTTTTTTTTTTCTTCTCACTCGACATTCTGTCGGGGCTGTGGGGGATCCAAGTCGAAATCGGCCGTGGCAATTTGTCCCAAATTGGAAATTCATGCCGCAAAGGGGGAACCACACGCCATTGGGCTTGGTTCGACTTAGTTGTCATATCTCAGGCATACGCATATTGCCTGTGTTGTTTTATCTCATCGGTCTCTCTGGCCCTGACCCTGGCCTTCGTTCTTTTTCTTTCCCCTTCAATGCTGATGTGGATAAATTTGAATCGAATGGCTCGACTCTTCATCCAACATACTTCGTGTCATCACAACCCGAATTGAACTAAACATCTCAAACTTCATTTTGAAGTAGCGAGGTGGAAATCTAGTTCCCAATCCCCAAATTGTACATTTCAACCTGATTTTGCCTGATATGGAGAATGAAAGCTCCCCTCTTCTCTCGCAACAAGACGACAAAGACACAAGTTTACTATGGAGAAGACTGCGCAAGCAACTGGAGTGGCGGTTATCCACAATCCGTGTATACACCGATGAAACCTTGATCCTATTCTGGAATTCTCTGCCAGTGATTTTCGCATATGCACTTCAAAATAGTTTGCAGACATGCTCGCTTTTGATAGTCGGCCGTATCTCGCCGGAATATCTTGCCACTGCAGCATTCGCATACATGTTCGCAACTTGCACCGGTTGGTTGATTGCGGTCGGCGGAACAACTGCGTTGGATACCCTCGCTTCTTCCGCCTTCACTGGCAGCTCGGATGAAGTCTATCTTGGAGTGCTTCTGCAACGAGCATTCTTAGTCCTTGGACTAATGTACATCCCAGTCACTGTATTGTGGACTTACTCTGAGCATTTGTTTATTGCCCTCGGGCAAGATGCTACACTGGCCAAAGACACTGCGCTATTTTTAACCTATTTGATTCCTGGCGGATTGGGATATATCTACTTCGAGGCGATAAAGAAATATCTGCAGGCGCAAGGTAAGAGTCAACAATGATTTAGCTGCTGTGTTTCAGCTGGGACTAACATATCTGGACCTAGGATTGATGTCGCCTGGTACATATGTTTTGCTTATTGTGACACCGTTCAATGCGGGCTTGAATTATATGCTTTGCATTCGATGGCAATTCGGCTTGATTGGCGCCCCTATAGCTACCGGATGTTCTTACTGGCTTTGTGCCATTCTCCTGGCCCTCTACTGTATCTTCGTCTCGGGGTACCAATGCTGGGGAGGCTGGTCTCACAAAATTTTCCAAAACTTGGGCGTGTTCTCACGTCTTGCAACCCTTGGAATCATCCATGTTGGAGCAGAGTGGTGGGCATTCGAGATTGTTGCCATTGCGGCAGGGTGGCTTGGTATCATTCCAATGAGCGCTCAAAGTGTGATCATGACAACCGACCAAGTGCTAAACACGGTGCCGTTTGGCATTGGTGTTGCTGCTTCTGCCCGCATCGGAAATCTGCTCGGGGCTCGTGATGCGCGCGGCGCCTCTCGTACCGCCAAGGCTGCAGCCTATCTGAGTATATTCCTAGGAGTGTTGATTATGTCAATCCTGATAGCTTCAAGATCTCAATTTGGGAAGATCTTCACCGACGATTTTGATGTTATCCGCCTGACAGCTGAGGTTATGCCATACGTGGCTGCTTTCCAAATCGCCGATGGGCTGAATAGTAGCTGTGGTGGATGCTTGCGAGGTATGGGCCGTCAACATATTGGTGCGGCCATCAATATCGTGAGCTACTACTGCTTTGCTCTACCACTCGGTATTTGGCTCTCATCACACGGCCACGGATTAATTGGTCTTTGGGTCGGGCAGTGCCTTGCTTTGTACTCCGTTGGGCTCTTGGAGTGGGGCATTGTTTCCTGGAGTGACTGGGACGAGGAGGTAAACCGAGCGTTCCAAAGAATGGACCAAGACGAAGATGTAGAATTTATTGAGCAAGCATAAAAATTAGACTAATGGTACGTGGTTGATCTAAGTTATACTAACTAGGCAGGTTAGTTTATCGACGCCATCTGGTGGCATTGTACGGAGTACGTGTATTCAAGTTCAAGTCGTATCCCTGCCCGGTTTTCCACTAGGTTGTAAACCTAATTCAACGGTGTAAAGATTAGATTACATCGTTGCTATCGAAAGAGAACGAAAATAGTTAATATATCCAGAATCCCGTATCGATATCTCGATCCATTTGCACTTCAATGTCAGATTCCACAGAAGCTAACCCGCATTCGGCAAAATAGCCGTTGATTGGAACGAGCGTCATCGATATGCAAGTATGTACTTAAAATCAGATAATTGCCAATTATTTTGCTCCCTCACAAATACTACATACTATGTTTTTATTCACAGTATTAGTCGCTGGACTGGGGTCACTATTTGCTCCCTTGACAGGAGCATTGGCTATCACCGATGGCTTTAATCAACAGAATTTGGGCGCCTCGGGCCACTCCTCATCATTCATTGATGGGAGTATTTTCAAAAAGCACGGGGAGATGAGTACTCTTATCGAGACTCAAAATGAGTTCCACATTGAGGACGATTTCAACCCTCCATACAGCGGCATCGCAACATTTGCCCATCTGAATTGGACCAACTGTTTTGTCCCGGCTAGCGATGAGAGCTTCGATATTGGAATTGTCGGTGCGCCATTTGATTTGGGTGTGACTTATCGACCGGGTGAGCGTTTCGGACCTTCCGGGGCAAGATCGGGCTCTCGCCGATTGGATCCGTCTATGGCCTACAGGTAAGGTAGTCCGATTCTCGAACAAACCAGATCACAACTGACACCCCTCCCTAGCATGGATCATGGTGTAAATCCTTTCCTAGACTGGGCATCCGTGGTTGACTGCGGTGATATCTCCAACACGCCATTTGACAAACTACAGGCTGTCCACGAGCTGGAAGCTGGATGGGCCAAGATTGGCTCGAGAAAACCACAAAATAAGGGAAAGGGAGACCATGTTAGACTTATTTCCCTTGGAGGAGATCATACTATCAGTAAGATACAATTCACTCATCGATAACCCTCATTGATGTACTAATATGAGCCAACAGCGCTACCCGCGTTGCGAGCATTGCAACATACATGGGGCAAGGTTGCAGTCCTGCACTTTGACTCCCATCTTGATACATGGGATCCCAAGCAGCTGGGTGGTGGGCTAACCAAGTACTCGGAAGTAACCCACGGAAGCATGCTTCATTTGGCACACAACGAGGGGCTGCTCTCCGAGGATAGCAATATGCACTTGGGATCGCGATCAATGTTATTTGACAAAACGTATGACCTCAAGAATGACGCTCGCTGTGGATTCACTGCTATTCGTGCGCGCATGATTGATGAAATTGGAATCGATGAGATCGTTCGAAGAATCGTTGATACTGTTGGCGATAATTATGTCTATGTCAGCATCGACATTGATGTGCTTGACCCAGGTAAGCACTAGAAACGAGGTTCTACTCTTCTCAGAAGAAATAATGCTGACCGGTGGAAAGCTTTCGCCCCTGCGACGGGAACTATTGAGCCAGGTGGATGGACATCCCGGGAGCTTCTTCAGATACTGAGTGGCCTGTCCCAGGCCGGTTTGCCAATTGTTGGCGCAGATGTCGTGGAATTTTCGCCGGTCTATGACAATAGGGCCGACACCACAGCGATCACCGTGGCTCAAATTGTCTACGAGGTCCTACAGTGGATGGTTCGAGTCCCAGTGAAGAAATAGGAAAGGTGGCCAAAAATACAGGCGAGAAATTTGGCTCTTGGCCGGCATGTTGATGACTTCGCGATGGTTACAGGGCCGGGTCTCATCAAGGTAGTCAACATTTGTTACATTAAAGCCGATAAAGAAGGCAAGTGTTTTAGCACCTTGCCAATTATCTGATACCATAGATGCTTCTCTGGGAAATACTTGCCAGAGCTTATCCATGCGTGACCTTTCGACAGGATGGCATACTTTAGTCTTGATATTCCTTGTTAGTCTAAAAAAAGGTCGATCTACGTAAGAATAATCGTGTCAGTTAATACAAGAAGTAGACGACGACAGTAGAGCACCTGCATGTACGATTTTCCATTCTGTGTGTACTTTCGCATTCATGCTTTTACATTCTTATCTAGGTGCGCCACAGGCTTTCCCTTCCGACAAAGCAGCCTAGCAGAGCAAAGAGGCCACTTCTTCTTTTTAGCCACCTCAACGGCCTGAAGATAAATATGATGTCGTCTCAAATGCAGAGAGTAAGGTTTTGACCGATCAGCAAACAACTGAAGATTCTCCTTCTCCTTATCGCCCAGCTTTTCTGCAGCCTTAACAGTTCGCTCCTGCGAAAACGCAAACGAAGTTCCAATAATCTTAAACCGCCGAGCCATAGGATGGATATGGGGAGAATTCCAGTCACCAGATACCCAAGAGGGCTTTGGGTTCCATGGCAGCCGTCTCTCCTTCTTGAACGCACGCCACCATTCCTCAGTCGATAACCGGCCCTGCTCCCCACTAACTGCATGGACGCATCCACTCGTCCCCAGCGCCACATGGACGAGTGTTCGATCGACCACGACATCAACCGGGACTTCGTCGATCGTGGATTCTTGATTTGGATTTTCATATCGTGTTGAGAGCTTGATCCGCCGACCTGGATGTAACATGTACTCTGCTGCACAGGCTGTCGATGGGGCTCCGTGTGAGGTCGCGAAACCGGGGTATGGGAATTTATCGGCTGGTCCGAGGACAGAGGGTCTGATGATTAGGACTTTGTCCATTTTGTTGCGCTCGGCTGCTTTTTGAAAGACTAGTCGTTCGGCCAGATGTTTGGCGTATGCGTATGGCCATGGGAAATCGTGGGCGTCGTATTCGTCTGATGAGCCAGTTTTCTGCACTGCGCTCCATGATTCAAGTGCAATCTTGTAGTAATCTTCCTCTTCTCTGCCGAGGGGATATATTCTCTCGTCAACTGATACGTCGGGCGATTCGTGGGATTTCCATAGATGGGCGTTGGCATATGCGGTGGAGAAAAATACGAAGCGCTCGAGGTTGGGGAATTTTAGGGCATATTGTGTGAGACATATGCTTGGTGCCAGCACGTTATATGCTAATTCTCGCAGAGAATTATGTAGTTGAGCTGATGATGCCGCGTGGAAGACAATGTGTACTGTCTGTTTCAGCATCTGTAGTGTCTCTTCTGATAAATTCATTGTCGCAGTATTTCCCATTTCGCCGTCAAGGATAGTTATCCGCTCGTTCTGGGTGAGGATTTGTGCCGCAGAGGGAGGAAGTATACCGGACCATTTTGCCTTTGCTTTGCTGGTTATTCAAGTCAGCAACCTTGGAAGTGTTGTTTTAATTTTTATTTTGGTCACTTACTCAGAGCCACCCCGACATAGCACGTATACTCGTTTCGGGGACGACTGGCTCAAAAGTCTACACAGAAGCGCAGTTCCAATAAAGCCTGTCCCCCCGGTGATGAACAGAGTCTTGCCATTATAGTAATCCCATATCATGATGGACCGCTGAACCTCCAATCTCCACCTTCACGGGTAAAATGGGAACATGCGGCATATATAATGCAATTAACTCGCACACAGGAGCCTTCAGGTGGGGTCTATGGCCATAATAAAAAGCAGGTTAGCATAGTCCTTTATTGGATCTTGTGGCTGGAAACTCGATGATGGCAGTAAATTCCGATTTCGGGTGCATGCAGATCTGCAGCTAAACAAGGCGGATGCAGCCGTGTGATCCATCACACTAGGAGTACCCAGGGACCAGCCATGTGAATTATTTAGAAATAAATAAGCGACAGGTATGGAAAGAGAGTAAATGATCGTGATGTGTCTTCAAGTTGATATTCCCTGGTGTGGGAAAGGTAGTGTGGGGGTTACCATAGGCTCGATGGGCTAAAATAACGAGAGTGTGATTAATTCGACATAGCATAATATCGAATGATCTATCTCAAATATTGAAACACTAATCGACCGTCCTCACTTAATAGGTCGGAATCAATGACACAAGGGGTGAGGTTCATGTTTGCCTGTAAATCAATGCACACCGCTTCATGCACCACCCAGCCAACGAGACAACATAGCCACTTCAATCTTCATGCATCTATATATCGAGGATTTATTAGACAACACCAGACCTTGAATTCTATTAGTTAAGCTCTAGGTTCATGCCGGACCGGTCACAATTACTTTGTACATCTGCTGCCTAAGGTGCAAACAGTCTCAATCCTATTAGGTGGTGTGCAACCCCTGCTATCTATATATCGCTCAAGCAGCCTCTAGCATATTTCTCAATTGTTTTCTTTTCAAAGCTAGGGCCATTATGCATGGACTCGAACAATGTGGATTTTCAACTCTACAATGAAAACAAATCCCCGATATGAAGTAAAATCAAATCTATGCTGGGCTGCTCATACTCCGGCTCAAATGCATCCCGCCAGGTTCCCACTTCTGAGTATTCTAGAAAATTGTAGATGTCATTAAAAGGATTCGGTCGATCTCCATAAAGAAAGCCGTGGACCTCGCGGTCAAGCCAGATGCCAAATCCCGCCCGGCGCATCGACTCTGTTATACCAACCATGAGTTTAGGTCTCGATGCCTTGTCTCGCTGATGCCAAGATAATTTTTCACGTATTCCGTTGAGCAGACCATACCAGTTGCCTTCGAGCAAGTCGAGGAAGCCCAACTCGATAGAACATACGGTCTTCGGAAGTGCAGCGAGGAGATTCAGTCAGTCGAATTGCTTCACTTGAAAACCTGATAACCCGAAGGAATAGCAACTTCTGGTAGAGTTGCCAGCAAACTTCTAGCGGTTGCGCAATATGAAGTTGCCAAAAGAGTCGATTTCGTCCGCCGTACTACCTAAGTTGCTGCCTTAATGCCCATTTTGGCCTGGAATATGCCTGAATCTTGTCTGATTTGAATCGCTTTTGGGCCCCTTTATAGTGCCTACATTCGGCAAGGAACAACTACTATGCCGATAAAACTAAAAAAATGAAGCTTTTCATGCTATACAAATTGCATACATCTCCATTTCTATGGTGGTTTAAACTACACTTTGTAAAATGAAGCTTTTTAAGCCATACGGAATTATGCACCTTTATCCAAAATATGGTTCAAATTTCTCAAAAAAAAAGAGGTGTATGATGTTGTATGCGTATGAAAATTTTCATTTTACTTGCCTGTCTAAGGCTATCAGAACCAGTGTACATTTACTTAATAGGGGGTCTGTAATGGTATTCTAAGTATCCATATTTTTCTGCCAGACCAGAATCAGCATTAAGGCACCAATCCAATGAACAGAACTCTGAGTGCTATACACCTGGGTACTTGCTTAACTAGCCGTTGAGTCCAGAGAAGATGGTTAAATAGATTTACAAGTGAAATCTGCTATTGGCCTTGATAGGAGGTCAAATAAGCCCACCATCGACAATTGCTGTCTTGAAATGTATTCCTCGTTGCCAGAATTGCTAATAAGTTTTAGTTGGTTATCACAAAATTAAGAGTCCAGCATCATACTTAATGTTGGAACAAGCTGGAATTCGCGCCTTGCAGTCAAATAGGGAATGACAAGAGTTCATATTCCCGCAAACATAGACGAAATATGCGATTGGTGCAGGACTATCTAACAGCGCATTTCCAATCTCCCTTAACAAGACTGCTGCTAGGTTTGGGCAATTATAAACGACAGATAGGCCTATATGGAGCTAAATGTATCATACAGCATTCCAGGCATGTCTCTGCGATGGTGCAGAATTCCCAATTGTGTATATCAAGAAGCTCATTGGAGGGGATCCACAAGGCGGGCATTCCAGAGGGCAATTATGTGGGGATGGACGTCAGAGTTGGGATAAACATACAGATACCAACATGTTTATTTTGTGACAGCCTTATCTGGGTCTCTTTTATCATTAATATAGCCTTCTTGGTTAATTTCATGGGGTGAAGTTTTGCTTCTCGTCTTATTTTACGATCTTTTGTGAAACCCGTTCTATATATCCTTCACTTGTGTCAACATGAAGCCAGGTTTATTGGATATGGGCTATGCCCGACCTCTCGAGTTTACTCTCTCAGTCGTCGTAGGGACCAATCCTAGTCCGCTTGATTTTCAATTCGCCGCCGATACACTGGTCTCACAATGGCCTGTGCTGAACTTGCGAATGGACCCATTGGTGAGTACTCAGTAACATCAACCATTGCACAAAGGCTAACGTTGAGCAGAAAACAAGATTCTTGGATCCAAAAGACCCCGGTGACCTGACCGAGGTATGGGAAGGAAGAAATCTTAAACAAGAACTCAGCGACATTGTCCAATTTTCCCCTAGGCTGGACTCGCCACAACTGGTTGACTCCGAGGCACTGGATAAGGCGTTAGATTTCGGGTACGGAACCTCGAATGCATGGAAGCAGCGAGTCTTCTCCATACGAACGGTAGTCTTGATCGATGCCTGCATAATAGGGTTCAAGTTTCTCCAGCCCCTTTGCGATGCAAATGGTAATTGACGTCCCGGAAAACAAACGGGCCGGTAGAGCTGACAATGTGACTATAGGTGCCCATCAAATAATTCAGGCTTATTGCAGCCTCCTCAGGGGAGAGAGAATTACCCACACCCTGCATGGCCGACCGCCCTTGTCTCTGAAATCAGAAGTACTCAAAAAATGCGCCGAGAAGGTTGAGTCTCATCAGATCGCGGACCTGCACAAACATTCAATGCATCGCACTTGGGTAGCTGGTATCGGGGTTCTCGGGAAGCAGATTGTGCGGAATATATGCTACCCTTCTGCGAGACGGATCAGCAAGACCTTGTTCATTCCTCGAGGACGGATCCAGTCTTGGCTAGAAGAAGCCGAAAGGATAAAAGCCAAAGTAACTGAGCATGATCTCTTATTGGCTTTTATCTACCAGGTTAGTAATGCTGCCCTCTATTCAGTCAACCCAAAATTGAACAGGTTCACTGAGATCATACCTTGAACAGGCTGCTTTACATCCACCCACTGCCCACAACTTCGGCCTAGCCATTGATATTTCAAAACAGCTCCAGTCCGAGGCAAAACTCTCCAACCCATGGTACATGATGGCCCTGCCAGATCCAATTCCAACAAGCGAATATAGCTCTCCTTCATTGGTTCGACTCGCAATACACATCCGACGTGCAGTCCACGAGAGCCAGCAACCAGAATGCATCGGAGAGATCATCGATCAACACAAGAGCTTGAAGAAAAGTCCCATGGTGCCAAAATCATATGGCGGCCGAGCGGCTCAACCGCGCATCGCTTCTTGGAAAAGCTTGCCGCTTTACGATCTCGACATCCAAGGCGAAAGCCCACTCTTTGTACAGGGCAATATCGATTACTGCGGACTTCTGCGCGAGACTAAAAGTCGCTTGGATGATTTGTTGGTGACATGGAAAGGGCAGGGTCGGGACGGAGAGGATGGTGGTTATTGGGTTCATGGGAGACTGCCTGAAGCTGTTTGGAGACGCATGGCGGATGATTTGGGTTGCTGAGGTTGATTTATTTTGTATTCTTTACACGACTGGAGCGTGTCTTGATCTTTGTGTTATAAAGTATAACTTTAATTAAAAGGAGGTGAAGATAACACGTTTCAGCGGAGTAGTTGTCTTATATATTATTGCAGAAAAAGGGTGGAATATGTTGCAAGGCCTTGGCAGTCTCAATGGTGCCTCCACATTCCCTCTTGTAGAAAAATAGAATTAAATAAGCTATACATAACTTGATAAGCCGCCATCATAATTAAGCATAGATCAGTTTCATTTATATTGTGTCTGCCTTGAGTAATGTGGCAATAATAGAAAATTAAGCTAGGTTAAGCTTTCCGAACCCGATCCCGAACGCGAACCCGACCCGAAGTCTCGCACAATTCCTCTGCCTGAAAACTGAGACCTTGTATAGAGTATGTTGTAGAAATAAGATATTCCCAAGGGTCACTAGGCTGCCATAAAGCCCTATTGTGGATCGCCCGCTTGGCATCTGATCTACATTGGATTGGTGATCCACCGTTTTGTATCGAGACTGCCTTTCCAGAACCCAACTAGGATCTTGCTATAAATGCCATGGGGGATCTGAGTTTTTCAATGCTTGGTTCCATCACTACTCACGTATACCTTTGAGAGCAAATTTTGTCCTTGTGTTTTATACAATATTCCTAACAGCATGTCTTCGACTACCTACTATCCCTATACGCCAAGTTTGATTCTTGCGGTGGTTGGAGTGGGTATATATTGTGCTCTCTTTGCGGGCCATGCTCTCCGTGTGTGGCGCTTTAAAGCATGGGATGGTAGCTATATGTTGATTGGAGCCCTGGGTAAGGAACAACTAGATCCGATTTCAAATTGTCTTCCTACTAACATCTTAATAGTTCAAGCGATGGGACTAGGAGCGCGAGTGTACTCCGCAGGGGATACCACAAGCTTTGGAGCCTACGGCGTTCAAAATCTATTCCTTCTCCTTGGGCCAACCCTATGCATGGTGACCGTCAATCTCACTCAGGTGAAAATGATGCGCTGTTTGAGGTCCGAAAACTTTGGTCTTCTCCCTACTCAATTTCGACTCCCTATCTACCTTATTACCAACATTCTCCTTCTTCTACTTCAAACCATCGGCGCCGTGATCCTTGCTCTAACTCACGACCTCGCGCTCATTGGGTCTGCAACGAAGATCCTCATGGCGAGCTATGTATGCCAGATGATATTTTGGATGTTCACTTTGGCGGAGAATATCGTCTGGAGTTTCCGATTTGGACGATCTTCGTTCGCCAACACCCAACTCATGATGCCTAACTGGAAACGTTATAATCAGCTGTTTGGCCTTGCAATCTCAATTGTTGCTATGGGGCGCAATATGACGCGGTTGACACAGATGGGCATGGGACCTGATGGCCTTTTGACGGTCAATGAATGGACTAGTTATGCATTTGACTTTTATCAGACGGCGATTGTTCTCTTGGCGTGGGGGATTTTCTACTTGCCGGGAATTTGCAAGGAGATCGAGTTTCAAAATGTGCACCAGGCGTTGCAGAATTATGAATGTTGAACATAATTTTTGTGAAATTAGATAGAGATAGATAGGAATCTACTCTATGCAGTGATCCCACGCTAGAGCGGCTACCCGTGGACGTTGTAAGGTCGTAAGGGTATCCCCGCACGAGATGGCGCTTGTGCGGAATAGTCAAGTCCACCCGACCTTATCATCTGGGGATCGTTGAGACTTCCTTTGTACATTTAAGCTTGGGGGATATGGAGATCCCTCTCTCACAAATTAACAACGCTGATGCCTGAGATTAGTGTGTTTTTAATTGATATACCTTCCACCGAATTCACTGAGCGGAACAGCTTCAAACCAATATGTCACTACCTGCTCTAAAACGGGCCTGTGATCAATGTCACACACTGAAAGAAAAATGCCGGCGACCGAGTGCAACAACGTCATGCGAGCGATGTGACCGATTAAATCAAACCTGCAGAACGACGCGAAATCTAGCGAAACTCGGACGAAAACCATGCGTCTCAAGAAAACTATCCTATAATCTGCCAACCTCCAACTTCAGCTCAGTCACTTGCAACACAAAGAAACTCGAACTATCTTCACCCCAAAACAACAACCCATATCCCCATTTCTACCTCCCATTCGACGAAGGCCTATTCAGCAACCCAGCCCTATTCCCAGAACTAGACCAGTGGGAAAGACACTTCCTAAACCTTATGAAAGACCTGGGCGCACCATCCCCACTAGACAAATTCTTAGTCGGGCCAAGCTTCCACGAGTCGCACCACCGTTTATTTGTGCAGAATCTTCTGCGGCCTGCGTCCACATCTATATTAAAAGACGCCACAGTCGCCTGTGCGGCAGTACTCCTTGGTGACCAATATGCGCAGTACACTAAGACAAGCGTTGAAGTCGGGCATCGGCGGGCTGCATCAGCTGTGTCGGGACTGCGCTCATTGCAGATATCCAAAGAACAGGATTTGGTTACTGCGCTTGTGCTCGGCGTGAGTATAGTAACCTTCGCTATGCATGTTGTCGATGGACAGCAATTTCTTATATCGCATTACACTCTGGCGCTTGTTAAGCCGGTTTATCACACTCTTTTGACAATGGATCCTGGTATTATGGATTTTTTGATGTGTTTGGTTAATACGGAGACTTTTGAATGTCTAATTCGGTCTGAGATGCCGACTATCCGGATCGGCGAACACGATCGCTGCGATGTTGTTGATCGATATATTGGGATTAGCTCGTCACTTTATGGTCATTTATATGATCTTTGTGAGGCCAGTCATTTGATGAGACTTGCTGGCGGGAGAATGGATATTGAGATGGTTGAAAGATTGGACGCGATAGAAGATTCCCTGGAGCGATGGAAACCTTCACCACCACCTGATCTTATTGAAAGATTTACCCAGTCTGAGGTCGTTGGAATGTTCGCTCAGGCTAAGGTTCTTTGTCTTGCAGCATTACTTATTGCCCATCGGCTACGCCATCCCTATGGACAACGCGACAAGGAAGCATTGCAGTTGTCCAGCGCTATTACCGCCCAGATTGACATGGCCTTGAAATCCACAGGGCGTTCAATACCATGCACGACACTTCCCTATACAGTTGCATGCTTTGAGATCACCGGGACTGAAGCGCGAGCAGCGGTCATTGGCAAGATTCCTGAGGTCGTGACTTTCTCTAGGCAAGCGCAGCTTCAAGTTGGGCGCTCCTTGTCCTCAGTATGGAATGCGAGGGATAGCGGGAACCAGATCTACTGGTTTGATCTTGGTAATTACATTCGCAAGACACCTTCCACATGGACGGATATATAATGTTCTAGTCTAGAAATCGTGTTACTATTCCAACATTTGGCCATAAAGCAGTCAAACCAGCGTGACAAACCCTTCAAACATCTATTTATGTCCCATCATTGCAGCCCATGTTATCCGAGTCTGCTCATCATGAATCTCGGGCTTTTCAATGAAAAGGAAGCTGTTTCCTGAAACGTGAACAGCCTGGGAATGCATCTGATCGCCAGCGACACACATCCCCTTGGCATCTACCATATCCCCCCCAGACAATATTTGTGATACTACACCTGTTACAACGTCCAGGGGAATAAATATTTCCCGTGGAAAGATCGCGTTAAACGTTTCGTCAGCAAGAAGGGGTGTTTCCACGACCCCTGGGCACAGGGCATTCACCCGGACTCCCTCTTCCCAGAGTCTCTCTCCGACAGAACGCGTGAATCCAATAAGCGCATCTAGAAATTCGTTAGCCATGCCCTGTATCAGAGTAATTTGATTTCTTTCTTCTCAACTCACGTTTAGTACTAGAGTACATCGGGGTCAGCATACAGGGGTATAGACCCCCGATACTCGACGTGAGTATTAAGTTCCTATGGCCTTTCGTTGACTCCGGAGAGCGACGGAAATAGTGCATCGCAAGGTAACTGGTATATAGAGCGCCATTCAAGTTGATATCGACGATCTCAGAATTCGGTTCGGGCGGGATACCATTCTCAGACTTGGCAAAGAAATCGGTATACTCCGCTCTTCCGGCGTTCGCGAAGACAAAATCTATTCTACCAGTCGCATTGAAGATCTGGTCAAATACACTGGCTAGGTGTTGATAATCTCGCACGTCGGCTTGGTAGAATGTGACATTGGGGAGGGAAGCGGCAGCGTCTTGGCCGCGCTCCTGGTTGCTGCCGATAATGTTGACCTGCCAGCTGCCGGTCTGGATCAAGTCCTTGGCAACTGCAAGGCCGATTCCACTAGCTGTTATTTTTTAAACTTTGGTTAATGAATGATCGACGATCCGTGCGGGGATTGTGGAAAGGTACATACTGCCACCGGTGATCAGAGCGACCTTGGCCATATTCTCTGTACAGAATTTCTAATCGAATGATGGTATTTCAGTGAAAAAAATTCGGAGACGAAATGTTTTGGTGGAGGGGCATTTCTTTGATCGATCGTGTGGCTTGACACTAATCGTCGATGGTATGCATCTAAAGTATCGTTTCTCTTTGATTGGCAGGGTCCATGCCAAGTTGGATTACTGCTGGAATCAACAATTGGATCGGAAGGAGATTAATCGCTTCCAAGGTTCATTGTAGGTCCACAGTGGAGTCAAAAGCAGGGAATCATCGGCTCAACATCCAATGAAACCACGTCGTTGGGTACTGGGAATGGCTCGGGATTGGAACCTTGGAAGGGTGTGGATCTTCCCGGGAAGGTGCAATCCTGGAAATGAGATGCGGCTCCCGAGGGCTGAACCGTTGAGGCCGTCAGCCTTGTGGGTTAAAGCTGCAGGTCAGAATTGGAATCGCGACAGCTGCAAGTGTGTGTATAACATTTCCTCGTGTGCAGTTCATGTTCAAAGGCCGTGCCCAGGAATTTGGGTTCTATTCGGAACCTCCTTGTTTTTCGAACGGTCCTGTGCGTTGAAGGTTTGTGTATACTTTGCTCGTAGTGTGGATAGCAATAACAATATTGGAAGAGACTAACTGTTTTGAATTCTCGCTCCTGGATTGAGATAGCACGTCAGGTCATAGTACACAAAGTACAGACACTTGGGATAGAGCGGGACATGTTAGACTTTCCGGCTTCGAGGTTTATCGAGGGCATTGGGCGACAGAACGGCAAGGGCGAACGGAAACTTTGAAGATGAAAGATGAGGTGGACCTTCTAGTGACATACTCTGAAGAGAGTCGGGGTATATGTTGTAATCTCCGATATAGCCCCTTGCGAAGATCGGGGATCTTCACTGTGGAGCACCAAGTGGGTTAGTTCGATTCATGACATTTTCCATCGCGGATAATTAAACTATCAGTTGTGTAACACAAAACTGTGCTTAGAACAATGTATTGAACAATTCCAATTAAGATTGCATTCACCATTGCATTTATGCATTTCTGTGCGACAATCCAGGAAAAGCAACTTAAGATCATCACTCCAGGTGCAACGAACATGCAACCGAAAGCAACAGAAATTCAATCCAGCTGCATGAGACGTATGTTGACCTCGTAATCAATGACAAAAACGCTATCATGTGGATCAAATATAACGGCTAAATTGCACTAACTTCCACCATGTGGGCTACAATCGGACGTGTCCGCTGTCTAATCGACATATCATATCGGAGAAACCCCAGACCTTCACTGGCTCATTATCCGAGGCTCTACCAAAACGGTGACCTCGGAAGAGTATTTGACGATCCGTATTTCTTTCAATTATTGGACGATCATGGCGTTTTTGGCTACCTTGTGGGCTGTACCTCGGGAGACAGCTGTCAGTGACTGGAGGCATTGCAATACTCCGTACCAGGTGTAGGTATATTTCCGATTATTCTCCTTGAGCATGGGAAACTCTACCCCGGTTTATGTGTATGTCAAAAGCGCGTGGAATTCTTTATTGTTAATCCCTTGCCTGAAAGGTAGGGATAAATTCTGAATTTCGTTGGTTAATCTTCCGGGTAACAACTTGACTGCAAAGCAATGAACAATCATTCTCCGCTGCGGATTTTCAATAGTTATCTCAATCAAAAAGCAATGTGCCAGCACATACTGTCATACCGCTCAACGCGTCCTATCTACCGGGTTTTCCGGAAGAATGTGGGAAGAATGTCTTGCAACAAAGTGGATCTTACAGGTGTCAGATCCAAATCTGATATATCCACTCTCCCAAGATGATACGTCGGGAAAGGGTTCTTATGGCTCGATATGATTGGCTAAATCTCTACGACCAAGGTACATAATACTTCGTTGTTTATGATCTGACGGGCCGTTGATTAGCAGCGTCTTGCGTTTTCTCTTGCTTTTTCCTAGGCAAAATAATCCCACAACACAATGTGTAATCGTTCGCACTGGAGCATTCTAGGCTGAAATGCCATCTGCACCTAAGTCACACTCAGTCATTGATGTGATCGGTAAACCTGTTCATGTCATCTTTGCGTTATTTTCATAGTTCTCGAGAGATATGACACATACATAGATGGGGTTCCCCTCCCCCTTCCCCCCCTTTCTCGTCTCCTCGAAGTATATTAAAGACCCCAAACGGAGCCTTAAATAATTCCAAATCATTCAAACCAACAACTTTCTCTCGTTTAATTATACCTCGTTGTTGGAGTTGATCCACCAGTCATGTCTTCCACAGAGCATTCCACCACCCCCACGTGGACGCCGGGAGACTTCGAGCACCCGAATCAAGAGTTTCGCAGGTCAATGATTATTGCACTGGTGTTTGCTTACAGCTTATCCACTCTCTCGGTTGTTCTGAGGATCCTGGCGAGGAAGGTGACGGGAAGCAGGCTGTTCATGGACGACTACTTGATTATGGTTGCTCTGTTCTTCAAATATGCATGTTCCAGTGGAGTCGTTGCTCGTGAGTGACATGAAAAACACTGCATTGAACCAACTTCATACTAACTCCAATATTAGTCTTCTTCAATGGATTGGGCTCACACATCACAATGATCCCAGCGAAGAATCTCCTAGTTTACTTGCAAGTACGTTCACGTGAAAAACTCAGCCCTATATTAAGTACACGCATTGACTCAAGATAGCTCGGATTCGCCAACAACTTTATCTACACCGGCTGCATCGCCTTCATTAAATTCTCCATTTTGGCGCTGTACAAGCGACTCTTTGCAGTCCGACACATGACAATTGCAGTGAATGTCATGTTTATATTCACCTGCCTCTGGGTTGTGGGTGTTTACGTTGCCGGTGCTCTCATTTGCATTCCCGCCAAGAAGTTCTGGGACCCGACCGTTGAAGGAGCCTGTCTTGACACCTCCAAATTCTACTATGGCGTTCAGATCCCCAACATCCTCTCCGACGTCGTTCTCTTGGTCATGCCTATGAGAGTCGTGTGGACATTGCCTATTCCCAAGTCCCAGAAAGCGCTTCTATCTGGAGTCTTCCTCGTCGGTGGCCTGTACGTTTAATATCCCATTCATCTTACGGTGGAAGAATCTAACACTTTGTTTCTAGAACCTTGATCTTCTCTTGCTTCCGCCTCAATGCCATGATTCACCTGGTTAATCAAGGTCCTGATATTTCCTGTGAGTCTCAACATGCTATTACTTCTTTCAATCTCCTGTTCTATATAACTAACCACTCATCCAGACAACCAAGTCCCCGTCATCGTGTGGACCTGTATCGAAGCAGCAGTTGGAATCACAGCTGCTTGTCTCCCCAACCTCCGCCCTCTCTTCAAAGTAGGTCACCGCAACTTCTGGTCTCAGATACGTTCCTCCAACAACATATCCGAGAGGACTCTTGTCAGCTCGAGCAATGGTGGAGGCACTATTACTTCCAACCACAAGAAGAGCGAGTCATTTGCGGTTCGGCAAACTTTTGAGATGCCCCGATTTGAAGACTACAAGGATGAGAAGGCAGTGGAGAGAGTCTAAATCTGCGGACATTTTGCGGAATGGGAAGGCTCCATGCGGATTGCACAGGGTGGTCGGCGGAGTCAGGCGAAACAGGAAAAGGAAAAACTTTAGCACGCTCTTTTATATTCTTCTTTGTGATACCTTCTTTAACACTATACACCTTTAGTCTCCTTATTTATACCTTTATGAGCTTATCTCAAAATATTATACCATTTCTTAATGTCAGAACTAGAGTTTCAACAAATACAAAGACTCCTTCCAATTCGTCGTGTATGTATCTAGGTGTGAAACTTTACATCTAAATAGTCCGATGGCTAAGTTGATTTGCCGCCATTTTCCTATAACTCGGTGCCGTAGCAATTCTAGCTTTCTTACCCCAGATGAGAAGTGGGACGGGGATCAAGAGGATAACAAAGGAGATAACTGCACACAGAATATGCAAGTCTCGCAGACCCATCTTATTGACCCAAGGCGTGAGCACAAACAGTACAATCACCGAGAAGATGTTTCGCATGAAAATAACCCCAACCAATGCGTCGCCGATAATCTAGAAGCCATCAAATTAGAAAGAAAACCCCAACACTCCAAATTGAAATCGGCACTCACCTCTTGATAACAATCCATGAGATACGAAAGCGCAATACCGCTGACGGAAGCAAGTGAAAACCCAAAGAATCCAAATCCGACAGCAAGAAGAGCCCAGTGCGCACCCTAGACAGTGTTAAAAAGATTCAAAACTCTTGCCTCGAATTCGTCACTCACATAGGCAAGACCCAAACCGAACATTAGTATTCCCGCAGGACTTATAATAGCAATAGGCAGAGCAAGCCAAAGGCGCATCTCCGGTTCATAGATACCACCATTGTGCTTGGATAGCCACAAAATGGACTTGTCACTCAAATGTCCGCCAAAGGGAAAACCGAGAACGGCACCGACAAACGGAGCCACATTCATCAGTCCAACACCAACAGCATCGAAGTTATATGGTGGTATAATCATGTAAGAAGCCTGTAACGAAGTCATGATCGCAAACCAGCTCAGTGTAGAACCATATGTGATGGCCGCATACGAAACAGCGGGGAAAGTGAAGAGTGCCACGATCGGTTGATAGAAATGCGGCCACAGCGCTTCATCGGTGGTAGTCACCAAAGCCATGCGCTGGAAATAAGTTTTCAGTGGAATATCCGGGTCTGTACGTACGCGACTGGTGGGCGTCTCATGTGCGCTCTTTGAATCTACCACATCCGGATCTTTGTGTGATTCGGACTGTTCACCAGTCACTTCTCCAACGGTAACGTCACGGCCATCCAGATAGGGGACATATTTCGATTCCTCAAAAAGGAATATCACACAAAGTAGCGTGACTCCGAAGAAAATCACACACCACCACCACATCCATCTCCACCCTTGTGCCACCACGATGTATCCCGAAGCCACGGGGCCAAGGAATGCGCCCGCCGACTGGACGATGACATACCATCCGTTCATCGTAGCGTGCTGGTGCACGAAGAACATGTCAGCGATGGTAATCTGCACGATGATCTCGCTGATTGCGCCGCCGATGCCGGATATCAGGCCGCTGCCCATTATATCGCCGACGGTGAACATCTCGGCTTGCCAGATGCATGATGCGAATTGTAGGGAGACGCTGAGTATGTAGATTGGGCGTCGCCCATATTTGTGGACTAGCGGCATGAAGAATATGCAGCCTACGGCCAGGCCGCTGTAGTTTATAGCTGCGTTGGCATTTAGGATGTCGATGGAGTAGTTGAGTTCTTCTTGCATTGGACCCCATGCTGTGAAGCCGATGTCGAGTTGTACGAAGGTCCATAACACGAAGAAGCTTACTAGGGTGAAATTGAGGATCTTGCGCGTTTTTGACCAATTGAGGGGGTCGTTGGGGTCGGACGATGGGGTGGGGAAGAGAACTAGTTGGTCTCTGGATTGGTGGACTGACTTGGTAAGTCAAGTTGTATATGTAGTGTAGTATTGGCGGTTGCGTTCACTTACTATCTTCCAGTCTGACTGTTCCTGGAGCCCAAGTGGTTCCATCTTGATAAGTGTCATTCTCCATAGTTGATAGTTGGATACTGAAGGGAATAGCGAACTTAAACCATCATGACGGGCATGACGGTCTGTCTATTTAAGCAATCCAGTGATTTGCGCTTGCGGAGATTCCACCGCAAGTCTTATCAAGTGTGAATATAGACTGCGGGGAAACCCCAAGTATACTGGCAGGTGGCTTTGATACGCCAGTCGTCGAATCAGGATGCGTTAAACGTGCCGGCTTGGCGGGATTCGGGGTCAACAGGAAGCCTCGACCGCTGATCTTTTGATTATCTTTGATTCACATAGGTCTGCAACTGCACTGATATCTTCGATTTCGCCTCAATTTAAGCTTCCAACCCCTGCAAAAAGAATATTTTCACCCTGAAGCACTGATAAGAAGAAAAGCGGCAATTGACTAGAACTATATACCGAGCAACAGGACATTCCCGAGGTCAACTTCCGTTCAAGAAACAAAATATTAAAAAAAAGCCTAGTCAAGCGACCAAATGTAAGCGCGAAACATCTCTCGACTATAATCACTCCACGGGTAAACAGTAAGATCAAACTCCGGCCGCAGCATTCTCCGATCCCTCTCAGTAAGTTGAAATTGACGCAGATCAATACAACAAGGACACTGAGCAGTGCAATGACCCCAACCCTTCCTCCTATTCGGATCAGACGGATTCTCACAACATTTGCACTCACGACCACAGCACCCACCGCGCCTCGCACAATCCTGGCGCAACCACTCACTCTTAAGATACCACTGCGGCTGCTTTCGAATCCACATATACCCGCTCTTGATAGGTCCCACCGGACAACCTGCTAGGAGCGTATCGTATATCCGCTCGAGACGCGTGTACTCGTGGTCTAGAGCTATTAACTCTTCGATCAAATCTGGTAGAACGAATTTTCCTGCTTCGCTGGAGCCATTGTGGAATTTATGGATCCACTTTTTGTGGAAGTTCTCACGTTGGGTGGTTTCGCGTAGACGCTCTTCTGTCTCGATGATCGATTGCGCCCAGCGTGATACGACGTCCCAGTCTGTCTCCCACCATATATGTCGCTTGCCGCGTATGATTTGCCAGTTGATCCATCTGCCGGAGGTTTCTGCGACATCTTGGACGTACTCGACGATGTCTTCGAGCGCTGGGAAGCGCATTTGCTTGACTGGGTTCTTCATTTTGGCGTGCGATTTTGGAAATGCATTTGGGAGGTGATTTGAGGTTATTTGGAAGGGTAGAGTTATTACTTACATCACTTTTTATCATCCGATCGGTTGATGGCGTAAATATGGTTTGCGCATCCATGGTGAAACATTGGTATAATTTATTTCCGACTATTCCAAGAAGTGTGACAGAGTAAACAATAACCAAAATCGGGTTATCCCAATACTTCCAATGTTGAAGGGGATTTCGGCGTTATCGCCCAGTGAGGGGGAGAATGTCGATAAGAGAGGGGAAGAAGGAGACTCCGAGCTAATCAAATGCCCCCGAGGTCGGAGCTCCCGTATTGCATAAAACGGCTTGGGTTAAATGCAATTTCTTGACATTGTATCCTCCAAAGTCATCACAGAAAGTCAATCAGTCCAGCATGTCCCACGATACTACCACAGCAAAGCGCCGAGTGTTGGTGATTGGATCCGGTGGTGTGGGGACAATGGTCAGTGTCGCCCTCGAAAGATCTGGACAGGCATCTGTGACTTCTGTGCTCCGATCCAATTACGAACAAGTTCTCCAACATGGATTCGAAATTGAGTCCATCGACCACGGAAAACTATCTTCCTGGAGACCAAGTGCAAGTATGTAACGAAACATCGCAAGTCGAAGACAGTTAGCCAAGCTCCGTCCAAAGCTAACACATAGATAGTCGTCAATGCTGTCCCCCTAGCCGATCCCAATACCCCATTCGACTATGTGATCGTCACAATGAAGAACATCCCCGAAGTGAACAACATCCCCAAAATCATAGCCCCCGCCATAACCCCCGATTATACAACAATCGTCCTCTTCCAAAACGGTCTGTACATCGAACCTCCAATCATCGCAGCATTCCCCTCGAACGTGGTATTATCAGCGCCAAGTTACATCGGCGCACACGAACACAACGGCCACATTATACACGATGACCACGACAATTTCCACATCGGCGCATTCCACAACCCATCTGTGGACGCCGCAGTCGAGCGCGCCAAGCTCGAAGAGTTTGCGAAAATCTATAATGAGAGCAAAGTGGTCGACGCGGATGTCGTCGATGACATCGTCTTCTATCGCTGGCGGAAGGTGGTCTGGAATGGGATTTTCAATCCCATGTGTGCTATCACTCAGCTTGATAGCGCAGCGGTTCGACGATTTGGCGGCGAGCATAGTTTGATTAGGCCTGGTATGGCGGAGATGGCGGCCATTGCGAAGGCGGATGGGTATGATCTTGGGCCCGGGATTGTGGATGAGATGGTTGATGCTACTCCTCTCGAGTTGTCTTTCCGGCCTAGTATGTTGGTGGATGTGGATAAGGGGAATCCGATGGAGGTGGAGGTGATTCTCGGGAATGCTTTGCGGGTTGCGAGGGAGAAGGGTGTGAACACACCGATTTTGGATAATACCTACCGGTTTTTGAAGCTCACTCAGGCACGGCTGTTGGCTGCACGGGGCTTGATTGTTGAACCTAAGGAACTGCCAAAAGCAGATCTGATATAGTCATTTATCTAGACTGTGTTTCGGTTCAAAGATGTACGGTTTGTCAGCCTGTCAGTTTCATTGTTCCACGGCATTGACAAGGAAAAAAAGAAATAGTAACACAACATGTACCCTTGTAGTTAATCTCGAGTCGGTAAGCGATAAGCGAACAGCGTTTCATGAGAAAACCGGTGAAGAATACGAACTACGAATGTCGATCTTAGTTGCGGGGATGCATTGCAGGACTATAATATCAGCAACAATCCCCCAAAATCAACTCCACACACACACTCACAAGATCCAAAATGGATAGAATCGATGTTCACACTCACTGCGTGCCACCCTCGTATCGCGAGTATTGCCTACAGAATGACTTCGCAGGCAGAGGCCACCCAGATGGAATGCCCGCGATCCCAGTGAGTTCCCTCGGAACGTGCACATCACACCGAATTCCCATGCTAAACACAATATAATCCAGGAATGGAGCGCCGAAGCACACATTGAACTAATGAACAACCTAAACATCCAAAAATCAGTACTGAGCATGTCCTCCCCAGCAACACACCTAACCCCAGGCAACGACGAAGAAGGCCGCGCCATAACCCGACGCGCCAACATCGACATGTCCAAAACCTGCGCCGATCACCCAAGCCACTTCCTCTTCTTCGCCTCTCTCCCCCTCCCAGATGTGGAAGGCTCCCTTGCAGAAATAGACTACGCACTAGACCATCTTGGCGCAGTGGGGTTTCAAATCCTGACCAATTCGCACGGCATCTACCCGGGCGATCAGCGCTTTAGTCGTGTTTTTGACAAATTAAGCGAGCGAAAGACCATCGTCTTTTTTCATCCGACTACCTGTCTTATCCGGCACGATGATGACTCCCTGGAAAAGGTGACGCCACTCCCTGGTGTTGCTGCGCCTATTATGGAGTTCATGTTTGATTCGACGCGGTCGCTTATGAGTTTGCTTACTTCTGGGACGGTTGATCGCTGTCCTGGGATTACTTTCGTAGCTTGTCATTGTGGTGCGACTTTCCCACCGATTATGGAGAGGATCGCCGAGTTCTCGTCTATGGTTCCCGGTGCAGGTGATGGGATTAGTGGGGAGAGGATTAAGGAGCTGTTGCAGACGCGATTCTATTTTGATCTTGCCGGTGTGCCGTTCCCGGATCAAATTCATGGTCTTCTGCGGCTGGTTGATTCATCTAGGTTGCTGTATGGGAGTGATTACCCCTATACCCCTGCAGCACTGGCTGAGTCTCTAGCGAAGAGAGTGGATGATGGATTGCAGAGTCTATTTGGATCGGAAAGAACAACACAGATTTTGTTGGACAATGCACAGGATCTTCTTGGGGCAACCAGTAAATAGCATAGCATTGCAAGCAATTCATGATCAAGGAGAGGGACACCCTGATCAGCAATAGAAAACTAATAATTTGGGCTGGTTGTAATCAAATATTATCGAGACCCACTATCACAATTATAAGAAAGCTGTGTAATACTCGTGGACAAAATTCCGAATGTTGAACTGCTATAGATCTAGCCATCCGAACAGCGGAGATGGCTGTGTTGGGATTAAATTAAGCCTGATCCTGGACAAATTCAAGAATTATCGTAACACCGTTGGCATGGCGCAGGTATAGCTGCAGGGTTGACAATGATACCGTTCTTTCACTAGTTGTAGATAACCGACAGATATCTATAACATCTTTGGGCAGTAGATTATCCATTGCATGGTGAATTGAGAGCCGGCCAGGGGTAACAAACTCGATATCAAGAGAGATTGCATCGATCTGAACCACAAACTTGCGTTGAATGTTTTTGATATCAAGTGAATATGGCAGATCGTCTTGGCTAAGGAGATAGGATGCACTTCCACTTTTGCTAAGGAGGCTTTCGCGCCGGTTTCTCGAAAAGCCGGTTATTGCAAATTTCGTTTCGTAGTCGAATTCAAGGCTCGATATGGGGGAAACGTGAGGGAGATAATGTTGTTGTGTGATAGTTGAAGTATTACTCACCGTCGAGCCACTAGTTAGAGGTAAGAATGCAATGCTTTGCGCTCCATACTGCTTCGGAGGGTGAAGTCCTCGCTGAAGCCCTGCGGTCACGGTTACCATCTCATTGGCCATGGATGCCAATATGACTTGGAGCTGTTGAGCCTCTTTAGAAGTCGAATGTTCCAGATCTGGCAGAGTCCATTTGTGATACAGTCGCCGATGAGCATGGGAGATTCGGTACTGGCTATGCTTCTGTATAAACATATCGCAGAGATAACATGCAGATTTGCTGCATCCGATAAACCGTGGACTAGGATCATGGGGGTGGTTCGTGTAGTGGAAAATTTGCTGCATTTCTGCATGAACAAAGCATGAGGAGGAACATCCTTCAGGCGTCCTTGCTCCGAAAGCTTCTAAAGTTTCAATGGTGATGTTGGAGAACAGCGTCTTGTACTCTGGACGCCTACCAACTCTGATAAAATCTCGACACACAAAGAAGTATCGCGCAAGCTTGTCAATTTGACGTACTCCACCTCTGTCACGGGTATGAGGGGAAACTTGGAGCCGCTGAAGGTGTTCCTCCAGCAATCCTGTTCTGCCAATGCTAGCCAATTCAGCACAGCTTTTTATGACATTCTTTTGTTGTTCCTTAATCATGCTCTGGGGAATAGGCTTTTCGAACGGCGAAAGGCAGGCTATCAGCTGGCGTGCTGGCTGCACCAAGATCTGCAGGGCTGGTGACCGAGTACCGATTGTGGAAATCTCGTCAACAAATGCTTGGACTTGCGAGAGCAGACAGGGCCTTCGTTTGGAATAATGATGAGGCTGAGGCAACCAAGGTGGACGAATTCTGCTAAGAATTCGATCATTGCGGATATTAACAACCATGTCGAATATTCTGTCACGGAATTCATTCCGTCGTTTTCCTACATACACATGTCAGATACACTGAAGATGCCATTCGCGTCCAAGTAAGGAAGTACCTTCGAAGGCATAATTGCTCACCAAATCCATGGTTTGAGTCAATTCGAAGACTGTTTTATCTGTAGGTGTGTGGTTGCTGGCCAGGCAGATAACAAGCCCATTTGGCTTCTCCTGAAGAGTCACAGCTGTCACATTTTCGACTCCCTCTTTCCACTGAGCTAAGAAGGCAATATCATCAGCAAGCTGCATCTCATCCTCAGCTTTCAACAAGTATTTTTCTGACTGTGAAAGTGGGTAGGTTCGATAAGAGTGTTCTTCGGATGGTTGGTTCGTTAGATTACGCAGGTTTCGAACCGCTTGGTAAAATTCCTGCGAGGCTGACATTTGGCTCGAGTAACCATGAGCAGGTGGCCGATGTACAGCTATCAGAAGATTGCCTTAGTGACAATAACAAAAATGGAGAGCGCGGTTCCCTTTCCGCCGAGTGTTTGGAGACTAGCACAATCCATATACACGTAATTGATGGACCAGGAAAGCATAGGGGTTTCGAGCTCTCTGTGACGTGGCATATGAGTGCGCGGATATATGCATATTAGGCAAATCCGCACATGCATGACAGCCCTCCCTTTTCCAAAAGTCCCATTCTCCCGTTTTTTGTTTCCCACTGTACTACCAGAATTGTGTCCATCTACTAAACCTATCCGGATTTATGAAAGAAAACGTCAATAGGTGGTCTCTCTTCTAAACCAACTTTCAAGTCTCTAACGCTTCACGCGAAGCGTAACAACACCGATCGGTCGCGAGGCCAGCGCGTTATCAATATAAACACCCCGAGAAGTACAGGAGATATTCTCCTGTTCGAACGAACAACAGTTACAAGGTGAAACCAACTGCAAAGAAGACGCAGTATGCGTCTTTTCCAACTTAGACGTTAAATTAGACGTCAGAGTACTCATTTCAATGAAATCTTCACATAAAGCAAAATACTCTACTCGCCCTATGTATTTATATTGCATATCAGGCTGTATCAGCCTGACGCTCACTAGCTGCCATGAACACACGTGTACTCACGTGAATTTACACGCCAATATTTACTCTATCGAGTAATTTTCTCAGTCTTTCAGGCTCGCCAAGCCTTTTAGCGTAGAATACGCTATTAGGAAAGCGGTCAATACTTGACCGCCCGTACGGGGTTGGCAATACTGCCACAGTACTGTACCGTACCCGGTACTAGCCCCTTCGGGTCGCGCAAAACGCTTTCCGGCCTATGGCCGGCGGCCCCTACCCCGTACCGAAGGCTCCTCTGTGTACCAAAATTTCCCCCAAAGGGGGATTTCACTTGAGGCTCAGACCCGAGTTTTTTGGATACAGTTTGTGTTGATCTCGCACTGTCTTTTGTCCTTTTATCCCATTCCATCCTTCCAGAATGCGCAGTTATTTGTGAAACTCGCGGCAATCCTGTTCCCCTCTCTTCTAATTATTTGGGTACAAAGCACCTTGATACCGGCTAAGCTAATATGTCCATATCTGTCGAAGCCATCATCGCAATCTTTGCTCTATTTGTTGCCTTAAGACCATTGTTTTGCTCTATTTGGAAATACATAAAGAAATATCAGAGTATCCAAACAAGTAATGATCCCACAACACGTTACTTGATAAATTCTAACATTCGCACTTCAGCTATCCCAACCACGGCCCTACCTTTGTATACTATCGCAGATCACCCACACGCGGCGCCACTAGCTAACCAAGTGCGGAGGCCCCACTATGATAGACACGGTATGTATATATCCTTTTACCTGAGATTTTTTAGCGACTTGACTAATTACCAATGCTATACTATAGTCAATATACAAATGCTAGGGGAATTCTACTTTGAACGGACAATTGTTGTTGGAAACTTTCCACGACTAGGAAACTTCTTGGGATGCATTTGAGCGTAATTTTGGGAGGAAAATGTTCTGCTACATTTTGTAATCCCCATAGAATTCATGTCTGTTAACCACCTACTACATTATGAAGCTACCTCGGTCGTCTTGTCCTACTTGTCCGAGCGACTGTTTAACTCATCCCGTGCTGGAGCCCTCTCGTCCTAGCGGAAGAGTCGGCCCGGCCCGGCTCTTTTTGTCACTTCCTATTGGCTGTCGCTGTAGATCCCATAACAGACGTGAAGCCAAGGAAGCCTACGTCTCTCTCACTTCTTCTTGCTTTAATAGAAGAAACGTCCAATATTATTATTCACTTTATCTGCTTACACGCATAATATTATTTACCCGCCACCGCCACACGCCACACCACTTCCAGTCCTGAGCCCAAAAGTAAGGAGGGCAGTCCCCAGTAAGTCAATTAAGTGTACTAAAGATTCAGGCACGACCTTCAAGGATGGAAAATATATAAGTTACCAGTTGTCAATGACTGGGGCTCCACCACTGCCTTGTCTGGTCCCAGACTCTCTCCTTGGTAATAGACTATGAACTCAATAGAAGCCCTGGAAAATTTCCATTTCGTAGGGTTTCACGAACTGGTCCTCGTTTGCATGGTGCTGGTACCAGTCACCTCGAACAGGTTTTGCTTTTGAAACATCCCCACCCTAATATGAAACTCAATACAGACTGTCATATATCTTCATAGTTGGAACCGGGGAGAGACCCTCGTCATGTACCACTCCATCTGGTTCCCGGCCATCCTGTTGCCTTCCACTTCATCATAGTATTTATCCTGCGCCTGGTGTATAGCAAAGCTATACTCTGTGGTGTACTTAATACCTAAGCTTTGTCGTGCGATGGTTGACGCGACAGTAAGATGAGAGCCAGCACCACCGTGTCCGTCTAAAAAGCCATTTGACTTTGAATGACTTGCCATAGATATATACATATACATATCACCTCATACCTTTTCTTTGAATGGGGAGGGCTCATCCACCGAGACCTACGACACACTTACAACCCTCAACAAACGGCTTAGCAAAAAGCCCCATGGGATTGAGAAAAGAGGGAGACAGAAGAAGAGGACATGTATTATTGTCTACAAACAAACTAAAGCCATCTAAATGGCCTATGAAAGCCTAGCAAACAAAATATAAATGGATTTATCTCAGCACACTCCTTCTACCTTCGTTCTTCTTCTTTCTTCTCTTGTTTCTCACTTTTCAATCTTTTACCACCTTGTTTTTACTTACTTCAGAGCCACCACATTTAATTAAAATGGCGCTCCCGGTGGAGATCCAGCTCCGCATTTTTGAAGAGGTGGTCGACACTTTGCCTTGGGAAGAAGTGTGGAGGGCAAGGCTTGTGTGCAGTACGTCGATTCCTTCAGTTATTGCGATCCAGAAACCTAACCTTTCTAGACTCATTTGATCATGAGACTACGAGAATTATGGTCAAAAGTCCCCGGTTCGAAATCGAAAGCTTGTGGTTCGGACCTGGGTTGAGCGAACAGGAACAGGACCGCCAGGATACTCGCATGTGGACTACCCTCCCCATTCGCTTAAAGAGTCTCTATCTCCATCGAAAGATTCAACAGCATGATCGCAACCCATCTGTGTTCTCAGGCTTTGTGCGGGACATCCTCAACCTCCCAAACGAACGGACAAGCGCTGAAACCCACGCCTTAACCGATAAGCTGGTTGATGCTTGGATGTGTAGCAAATTCCGACCAATGCGACCCTTTGTTGATTCTACCGATTATCATGCCCACATGGAATGGGCCATCAATGACCTCCACGGAGGCGTTATCGAATGGGAGCCACTCGAGGAAACTCTCAATCTGGCACTCGCAACAAGCGCCATTCATCGAAATGATTGTTCCGAGCTGCGCACTCTGCTAAGTCAAGGAGTCAATTTAGCACAAGAGAGTGTGCGGTTTGGAATCCTTCCACTCTCAGAGGCGGCCGATGTTGGGTCTAATGAGGTTACGGAGATACTTGTGGCCAATAACTACCCGGTGACCTATGGCGGGACCACAGAGCTGTACCTTCCTTTCAATGCGCTTTATACACACATGATGCGGGGTAACAAGGAAGGGGTGAAGATCTGGGGTGATCATCTCAGAAGGACAGGACAGGACATCTCTGAATACTTACACCCGTTGGACACCGTGGGATTTTCAGACACGGAAATGGTCTTGTTCATTGATGGAGAGTTTGGGGACGAGCTGGGCGGGCCTCTATTCCGTCGCAAGTTGTTTGCAGCCGCCGTCTACAACAAAGAAGCGGAGACCATGCAGGGTTTGTTCGCTCGGGGTGGAGTTGATATCAACAAAATGGAGGGTGAGAAAAACGTATCGCCGCTTGATGCAGTACTGAAGCTCCGATAGCCTCACCATGGGGAAGGGATCACCCATGAGATGGAGAGCAGCAACCTAGTGGTCGAGTTTCTTCTGAAGAACGGGGCCAACCCGGATGGATGTGTGGAGCCAGTGGGTGTATACACACCGTTTGTGGAAGCAGTCGCGACTGAAAACATCCCGGCGGCCACTATGCTATTCGAATATGGCGCTACAGTGGATAAGGACCGCATTCTATCACTTATGGTGAATGAGACCAATGTTGATTGGACCGATTTGTTGCGTCGTATGAACATCACCAGAGGGAGGATTCATGTATCTCAGCAGATTGATCATTTCATCAATATCAAATGGTTAATACGAAAATCTCCCCAATGAGAAAATGATCGATGACCCCATACGTAACATAGTGATAGAAGGTGAACATGCCGCTTCCTCTATTTGAAAAAGAAAAAAGAAATTTGATATGAGGAGTTTACTTCCATTGCAAAGCTATGTAATATTTTTGTGTTTTTCCTCTTTTACTCCAACCCCAAGCAAATACCATCATTCCATAAGCAATCTCCTAAGCAAATTTGTAAGAAGCCAATATCAAACTCCACCTTCTCCACCGAGTTCATCTCTTAGATCATATCAACAATCTCATCCTGGATCGATGCAATAATAGCCGCAGGTGAACGCTGATCCCGCATCTTCTTCAGCTGGAGTCGAACCCACTCGGAAGCCTTGCCATGCACAAGTTCCCAAACAGCCCTCGAACCCGTATGTTTCTTCCGTAACCATCCCATTGCTAGCAGGGTTGCGAGAACAGTCGCCTCGTCACCATGCGGGAACCCTTTTTCAACCTGTCGATTGACACTGCGGTACATTGTGACCAATTTGTTGATTGTCGAGTTCATGTTACATTCTAACAACTCGAAGAGTTCATTCGACCACATCCAGCTGCCTTCAAATGTTTGCAGTTGGATAAGCTCATGCATTCTCATCTGCGGGGTTTTCGTCGAAGTAGGAACCAGGGTGGTTACAACTGGTACCGTTCGGTGCAGCATGCCACCAAGCCTTGGGGCTGCAGGTGATGCCGTTGATCCACAAAGAGGTCTCGGGACTCCAGGTTCCATGGTTCCAGGTGCTGCCACTTTGGCTTGCACCATGCACATTGCGAGTGCAGGTGCTGCGGCACGACACAGACGATTCGAATCTCCAGGTCCCATGGATGTAGAAGGTGCTACTTGGTTGCTAGAGGTATCGCGGAGTCCAACCTGCATCATAGATCCCTGAATATTGGGGGCACAATCACCTTCTACACCACCAGTACGGCCACCACGTAAACCAACTCGGCGACCATGCACACCACCAGTGCGTGTAATTCCAGGACCTGAGAAACTAAGAGGGGCCGGAATGCTCGAAAATCTAGCAGACTGGGCCCTGAGAGAAACTCGCTCGACGACATGTTCTCTTGGGGTATGCTGTTTGTCCTGTTGTTCTGAAGAAGAAGAGCTGTTCTCTTCCAAGGCCACGAAAGAGCAATATTTTCCAGTGACCTGGAACTTGATTCCCAGGTTCTGGCATTCACGCTCTGCAAGTCTCTGCTTTGTGTCGGCGTGGAAGTGTTTGAATTTGTTTCCTTTCTCGTCCTTGGCATGGGACACCCAGCCGTGTCCCTCTTCGAGCTCGATCACGGCCTTGCGCGAAGCCAGATGGTGAATCGTTTCGCCGGTTCCAATGTCGCAGACTGGAATTCGCAGCTCCAGTGGACTATCGTTGGAAGTAGCAGTGAACTTCAGCCACTTGGGAATTCTCTTGGACGAGTGCGGGTTCATAAGGAGGAAGACATTTGTCCTGATGAACGGGTACAGAGGTGGGATGTTGTAAGGAGCTCTGATTGCTCTTGGGGGGGCGATAGTGGGAAGGGTTTCAGCTGCTCTCTTTTCGGCATCGACATTTATGTTGGATTCCTGGAAGTTCTCATCGTATAGCAAAATCGGCTGCGATGAGCGCTGCGATGAGCTGCCTGTTGTTCCTTCCACGGAAACGTCTCCATCTCTCTCCTTCTCTTTGCCATCCGTCTCACTGTCGGTAAAGTTCTCGGTATCGCTCACAAAGTCGAACTCAGGCTCTTTCTCGGTGTCGTATGCAACTTCGAGCTCGAAGTCGTGGATATGAGGGGTCAGGGCACCCTTGAGCATGCGGACGACCTTGCGATCGAGTTCTTCGTACTCCATGACCGACTGGCAGAATCCATTTCCTGCTCTTGCAATTCCCTCAATCAAAGAGTGAGATGCTGCTTTGCCAATACCGAGTGAGAAGAACCGAGCAGTGTTATCAGCAGCCTGTTCGCGGACGAAGTCGAACAAATCGGTCCTGGTGGTCGATCTGCCCATCAGTGAGGAGCAGCACATCCAAATCTTTGAAATTGAGTCGATTTTGAACAGTTGCCATGACTGCTCTCTGCATCTGAGTGCCACCCATATCCGCCTCGACGGTGTCAACAAAATCCAAAGCTTGCTGCAAGCTTGATGCATCGTACACCTTGCTCGTTGGCCACATGAAGGAGTAGGAATATCCGAAGGAGCAGATATTGAAGCAGATACCGACAGGCAAAGACTTCAGGAGAACTTGGAGTGCAGATCTCAAGGTTGGGATTTTGTTTCCCATGCTCCCACTTCTGTCAATGACAAAGACCACCTCAGGACTAGCCTGTTGGAGGCTAAATTTTGGCACGAGGGTTACCATCAGGGCTCGCTGGTTAGGGATTGTTGGATGTCTTTCAAGCAATGCGCAGGGAGTATCAAGCCCATCTGCTTTGATGAGAACGACAAAGTCTTTTTCCAGGGCTACAGGTTTGTTGCTCTGCTGAGAGATGACAGAGGCAGATGCTTGCGATGGTTCGAAGTTAGACGATTTGGCCGGTGTAGAAGAAACTCGTCCGAGAGAGACCTTGACCGAATGACTTGGGGATTCCAGCTCTCGGATCACCAAACCCTTCTCCATCTGAACATCAACGGTGATAGACATTCCTTTGAGGTTGGCTGGCAGACCAAATACAGATAATTGGGTTGAATCATAAGGCATTCTAGTTCCATAGCGAGGAGCGATGGTGCTTGGTAGTGTGTAGCGAATTCCATCAGTCTGGGAATCTTGTTTCAACTCTCCCACGAAGGTGATGTCGACGTTAATCTTTCCGTGGGCGGGGACATTGCCGAGTCGAATGACAAAAATGTCATTCATGGAGGTGTGATCCATGACGGCAGCAGTCTGATGTTGAGCCGCCGCATTTTTGTAGTCAGCATTGGCTTGTGACTTAGTCTTCGCCTTGCTGCGTAGGAGACGAGATCCAACCTTGCATTCAAAGCCGACAACACTAACACCATCGTAAAGAGGGAAGTGGTAGGATATCTCTTCGATGGCCTTGTCAGATGGATTGACAAAGGTCTGTGTCAAGGTTGTACGGGCGGCAGAGGAGAGGATAGTGGCATGGGCCTTGAGTGAGACCTGTGGGAGGTACTGAGGCTTATTGTTATCAGGATCGTACCAAAGGCATCCATAGTAGCTAGCCATGATGGGCTACCAAGCTGCAGTGAAACAAGGACAGTGATGTAATGTGAGATAGAATTCGATGTGTTGGGTGCTGGTTTTGATAGATGAATTAAAATATGAAGAGGATGAAGAAGAAGAAGAGGAGGAGGAGGAGGAGGAAGAGGTGCAAGGAAACTGCAAACTTATATAGAGCCGTTTACCTAATTTGTACATCTGTGCAGCCATCCAGATCGGAGCCACCCGTTTGCTGCCTATGGTTCAGCAAATGCTTATTTTGACAAACAATTTACTTCGGAGATAGTTCTATAATGACTCATTTGATTCACTAGGATCTATCTAGGTAGTGTCAGGTATATCATGACAGAATTACATTTTGACCACTTCTCTAGATGGGTCGTAACTACAAACTCCACATTTTATATGGCCGACCACATGCTATTAGTCAAAGGCATCTTTGTTTTGCACGGGTGAAGTCGATATATCTTCATGTATAGTGGATTTATGAATCGTCCAGGTATAACAGATAGGAAAGGGTGGCTGCTTTTCAATAAGCATATGCATTTGGCTATAGGTCACTTAGAACATGAACCTCTTGCAATCTACTATGGACCGTCGATGGTGCTACGTTGACAGTATCAATTCCAATGATTAATGTTGCAAAGGCAGCTCGACAACCTCAGCTGATGATTTCATTAAAAAAATGTGCTACTACCAATTAAGTATTCACCATATCCAATAACTTTTACAACCGAAACAGCACCTCGCAAGGTGCCCAACCAATGCCCATATCATACATTCCACATAGACCTCATGAATCCAACTGAAACCTCCATATCAACAAAATACTAAATTGTACACACAATTACAGCTTGTACTGCAACAAGTTGCCGACCATCTCACGGGCAGTGATGCGGGTGGTAGCCCACAAGGTCGGGAAGTCCAGGGTGCTGGAGAAGGTATCGGCGTAACCGAAGAAGAGCATGGGAGGGATCCAGCCACGGGCGTACTCCAGCGCGAAGCAAGACTCATCCATCTTGTACTGCTTGACCTCGCCGCGGACCAGGTGGTGCACGCTGCCGGCGGGGTAGACCTCGGGCTTGAACTCGCCGGGAACGTAGGCGAGCTGGGTACCCTGGAGGATGTTGAAGTAGTCATCGGCGGTGTGGCGACCAGTGTGGCCTTCAGTGCCGATAGCGGTACCTGCGGAGAATTAAATGTGGTTAGAAAGGGAAATGGAAATTGTGGTCGACTTTGTGGCGGGTGTAAAAACTCACCGAAGATAATAAGGTACTCGGTGATACTGGCGTGGATCACGTACATGGCGCCCATGGCGCCGCCGGCGTTGTTGAATACCCACTCCTCCTGGGTGCTCAGGTATTTGGGGCCAACCTTCTGCTCCAGCTCGGCGACGATGAAGTTGACAATGGAGCGAGTGTCCTCGCCGTGGGCACTGATGGCGCGCTGAGACAGATCATGCAAGTGCTCTGGGTCAAAGACGTAGAATTGCTCAAGGCGCGCATCGAGGTATCGGTAGACGGCGGAGAACAGGGCCAAGAAAATGGCGAGGTAGCTGAGGGTCTTGAGGGAGAAGCAGCGGCAGCGGCAGCCGGAGCTGGAGCTGGAGGACTTGGAGGATTTGGAAGGCATCTTGGGAGTTGTGGAAGGGTCCTGGAGTAGCAAGAAGAGGCAATCGAGCATTTAAATTTAATTTCAGCCCCTGGCGAAAACCCCGGAGTTCCACCCGGGTGGGGCCTCAAAGCAAAACAATTGATTAATAGTTGAACACCCTCGCTTTGGTTCAATTCATCACTACAAAGTACAGTCTAGATCAATTCCTTACTCAAACATGTCTCATTTCTTACTTCAATACATGCACCTCCCATGTACTAGATATCTAATTTGTAGAGTGTTAGTATAGTTTGAAAATGTGTTTGTAGATATGTTTGTATATGTTTGTACATGTTTGCATTGTTTAATTTGGCTGACACATCAACAGCCCATGCCGGATGCTCAGAATCCGAATTGGCGTCTCTTTCATTGGCCAATTGGCCAATTGTCCTCGATATCCCCTTTCATCAATGATGTTGCCTACTCCATGCTGTCTAACATATATGCCGTATTATGTCCTGAAACCGGTACCACCAGCTCAGGACTTAATAGAAGATATCATGGAGCATAAAGGATCCTACAAGTATATAGGGTGGGAAGGAACAAAGGTGTGAAGCTTCCATATATAGTTGTGATAAAACACATCAGAGACGAGATTGTAGCAGTCCATCCGTTTCGGCAATTCTGAATACATACTTGACTGCACTTGCCTTCCCACCTTTCAGATCCTGCAGAGCACGCTCGATCCCTTCCAAGCCCCCAGGGACGACCTCATAGGGGTGACCCTTGAACCAACCTTTGAACAAACCTCTGGCGAAGAATTTGTACATCACAGACCCAAAATCCTCATCATTCAATGCACCCACAAGCGGCTTTTCTCTTTTAATTCCTGGGTAACTGGAAGAGTGAACTTTCCCGACTTGGGTATATGAGAGCTCCACGCTATCGGGTATGGTCTCATACTCCTTTCGCGCCAATACGACGGCAATTTTGCCGATACGTGCGTCCAAAACCTTCGCCAGGTTCTGATAGCTTCCTTTTCCGGTAACAGCATCGAAAGCATACTCAAGCTTTTCGCCGTCTCCCAGCGCTTCGCGCAAACCTGCGACAACTGCATCGTCGCCATTGCGGTAGTCAACTACAGTATCCCCCTTTGACCGATCAATGAGAGTCTCAACAAATGAGCCACCCTGGCCAGCCACACAGATCAATGGGTGTATGTTGGATAGAGAAGCTAACTTGACAGCGAAGGCTCCCACCGCGCTCGCAGCTCCGTAGATGACAAGAGGGAGTCGGTTTTGGGCAGGACGCCAGGGAAGAGGTAGATTAAGTCTCTGATATAACCCCACGGCGGCAGTCATACCAGCTAGTGGGATGGTAGCGGCTTCTTCGAAAGAAACTTGTTCAGGGATGTGGAATGTAGTATCTGCGCGCCCGACTGCATATTCGCCATAGCTTCCATGTGGACTTAGCATCTCATGGAAGCTGGCGACTCTATCTCCTGGTCGGAATTCAGTTACGTTACTGCCGACTGAGTGCACAATGCCGGCTATGTCATCGCCTTGGTTGATGCCAGGGACTATGGGCAGAAATACATCAGTAAAGCTTCCAATTTGCTGGTAAAGAGAGAATAGTAAACCCACATCGCTCGGCCATCGCCCAATCCTTAGGATTGGACCCAGAGACATGCACTTTGATTATAAGATGGTCTGGGCTTGGGATTGTTGGAAAGTCCACGTCTTGGATCGTGACTTTGAGGTTTTTTGACACCACAGCTTCTTTCATTTTAGCGGTGCTCAGTAAAATAGTATAGTGCCTCTCAAAACAGCAATGACACAGGATTTCAGACAAAATCAGCAACCGAATTTAGATATATGAGATTGTTAGAACTGAAGATTTGTCGGCGAAATTGATGTATCTTGTGAATTAAATTCCCCCGAATACCGACTCCACCCCTGCCGAGGTTAATGCAGGTTGATTACATATCATCTATTCCGACAGGTTCCTACCTGGGCATCCCTGTTTGAATTCAATCAAAGTTAGTATTTAACTACATGAGACATCGATGGCACCTAGACAAGTTCCCACAGTCTGCGGAACGCGATCGCCAGAGACATCAAACTTTAATCTTCTATCATACTCCACAAGGCCTAGGGGACGGAGTTAGTTCAACAGGGCTAGTACTGTCACAAGCATAGCTTGCAGCTAATTCTTCCCCAGTGCTTTCTTTGAGTACATTGTAACCGGTGAAGGCGTAGAAGCCTTTCTGAGAGCAGGAAGCATACGTTGTTTTGGTCGCACTGTTAGGAGCCATTCCACATTGTCTCATCGCATCTCTCTGCACTTGCCGAAATTATGGTTCAAGCTTCATGCGCGGTACGACGTGGACAAGGAGAAGAGGAAATAGATCATGCTGTTTTCGTTTGGGTGTTGGCTCTTCCGTACCAAGCAAAACTTATTGCCCGGTGTAGACCAGAGCAGACTGAATGCAACAATGACGCTTCCCTTGGGACAGAATGCCAACTTTCACTGTTTTCCTTCTTCTGTGGGATCGCTGTCGTGGTCAATTTTGCCAGGGGCCATGTAACCTCGAAATGGGTGATATATATATTTGGTAGAAATACATCTAGTCTTGAGTCAGGTCCACTGGGTATATATATCCACGGATGTAGTGGTGTCAAAGCCGCGGGGCTAACTGTTACATAGTTTGCGTAATATCAGGGAAGCTACAACCTTGGAAGGTGCCCGCAGCAATCCAAGTACCCATGTACCTACCCATCTGTGCCTTCCCTTTTGGGTGCCTTCCCTTTTTGGCCAAAACTTGTCACCCATCTCAGTTCCCCGTTTGCCCTCAGGCACTGGGGTGGTATAAATACCCCCCTTCCCCCACTTCTCTCTCTTCTTCTTTCTTCCTCCTCCATCCCTCCGGGTCCACATCGCACATCGTGTTCCTGTTGTCCAGTGAAGGTATCCTGAGGGCACTGATGATTCTTTGACGCGGTCCAGTTAAGGCTGAAACTGGGTTAGGGCCTCTGTCCTAACTCAATGGCACGAAGCATGTCGAGGCCTGGATTCGTTCCCCCCGCGACCTCTGTGGATACAGACTGTACTTTTCTGGGTTCTCCACTGGTCTATCAGGAGCTGAACAACGTGCTCTTTGAGCCAATCTTTGAGCCAATTTTTGGAACCTATCATACAGAGATAACGCTCTGTTGTCTATGGGTTCCTTCCCAAGGACATTTTTTTCTTCTTCTTATTTTCAATGTTACTGTTTGTTGCCAGTGTGGTTGCCTAAGACCTGGTTGTTTGTTTTACTCCTTGACTTGATTGATTCTTGTCTTTCTTATACATATTGTCAGTCAGTCATGAAGCGTGTTCCTATAGATTTGCTGTTTTGTTCTTAGCTATGTACT